GCCCAAGTTAGAGGGGCGAAAAAACCTGCCCTGGGGCAGCTTTTATCGTGCCCAAGTTAGAGGGGCGAAAAAACCTGCCCTGGGGCAGCTTTTATCGTGCCCAAGTTAGAGGGGCGAAAAAACCTGCCCTGGGGCAGCTTTTATCGCGCCCAAGTTAGAGGGGCGAAAAAACCTGCCCTGGGGCAAGGTTCCGGGGCGAAAAACCTTGGCCCAGGGCAGTTGGGTGGTTGGTTCTTTGCCGCCCCGCTTAGGCACGATAGGCCGACCTCCAGGATCGGCTTTTCGTGGGGCACGCTGGCTTTTCCGCCGCCCGAATAGGGATAGTTGGAGGGTTGGTTTTAGTTACAAGCGAGATGACCCACCTCACGCGCCCCAAACGTTTTCGTTGCCCATCTACGCCCCTGCGTTCTGTTTTCTCTCGCATAACACGAAGCTCGAGCCGCGGCAGTGCGAATGCGTCGGGGGGAACGACAGAGGAGAAAAACGAAAACGACAAAAACGAACCACCCCTCAAACAGCGGCCCAAGTGACGCCCGGTTTTCGTTGGGTGCGCCAATGAGTTCTACAACCTAAGCACCGTAGTAAACAAGAAATATTAATATACATATACATATAAAATATTCTAGAAATAGGCACCTGTTGGCGTTGGTTGGATGAAGAAGAGGATACCTAAGTGAAGAAGATGTTTGTGTTTGCAATAGAAGCTCAAGATGCCGACGTAAATATATCTTGATCATGGAGGTTATTTTTTCATAAATTTACCTGTACACAAATAAAAACTTAAACTGTACAAATAGAGTTGCGCTCGAAAGCAATCAGAAAGAAGCGCAAGCGGGAGCACTGCTGAATTTATTAGCGGCATTCTTCTAGCAATGTATGATATGCCATGACCGGATCAAAATTGTGTCTGTCGCGCAATAGCGCCAGGTATTGGCAATGCTGTATCAGCGGGTCCGGGCTGAGTCGCGCCCACAACTTGAAATTAGAAAAACAGAAAATCACGAGCCCACTCTCCTTGATCACATATGATATTGTTTTCGCTTAGGCAGTAGAGGTGAGGTAGAATGAATAAAACAGAAGCCTGTCAACACGAAGTTTGAATTTCCGAGCGGAACCAAATGAGGCGCTTATTTATATTTCCTGCTTCTTTTTTTGCTTAATGTGGTTGAGTTGATCATAGGCAGCGCGACAAGAAAAGCGCCAAGACTAAAGATTTTTGTTTTCTACTTGCTCCCCGATGTTCCTCACTCCCATCAGAATCGAAAATCATGATCTGAATTAATTTTATCATGAATCGAGGGGATTCATCATAGATTTTAATTTTTTCGGTCATCCTTTCTTGAAGATTGCATATTGAGATTTTGATATTTTTTGAAAACCAAAATCACATCCAGAATAAGAAATATTCCATATATGATTGAGAGATTTTCGAAAACAAAAAAGAAAGACAATATAGATCAAAAATATTTATTCGAGATAGAAAATGAAAAATTTTTCAAATCTTATCCATATCTAATTATGGGAGAATGATGTGATGAATTGATATTTTAATTTTGGTTCTCCTGGTTGGTGGGATTTTGTGCCTAAGCGGAAATATTTCGGAAAATCCAAAAACCCCGCAAATAAAATCCGAAAAAAATCCAAAAAAAATTTCTCCGTTATTGCTTTGCAGCAAATGGCCGGGGCTTCGGGGTTTCTATGGTGGTTGCCTGTGTCTCTCCGGTATCCTTTTCTCCTTCGGGTCTTGTTGCGTCCGTGTTTTCTGTGTCTTATGGGCCAACTCTGTGTTCAGTGGACCCAGCATGGGGTGGGTTGGATGGAGGTTGTTTCTCTTCATGTGTGGGGTTTTCCGATGTTCGACAAAATGTCGGGTGGGTGTGTCTTAGGTTTTGTCTGCGAAAAATCTCGGGCGCCAACCTTTCGCCGGTTTCTGTGGATGTGTAATGGTTTTCTGAGAACCTTTTCTGCGCTACAGATTTTCCCTGGGATTTTGCCGCGGGGGTGGTCGCGGAAAATCTCAGGAAAATTTCGGGGAAAATCAAGAGAAAACCAAAACCATCGCAAGGAAAATTTCAGGAAAATTTTAAAAATCGGGCAAATTGCAAAAACGTGAGGGATTTTGCGCTACATGCCCGATTTTCAAAATTTTCCGGGACCATTTTTGAGGTCCGTTGAAATTTTCCTGAGCCGAATTGAAATTTTCCTGAGCCTGTTTGAAATTTTCCTGAAATTTTCCGAGCAGGAAATCTCGTGAAAATTTCAAGACAGGCTCGTGGGGTTTGCGACATCCTTTTTCCCCACGCCCGGGCTGAGCAGGGAATAGTCCATCGATGAAGCCCTGGGCCCCATTGCCCAGCGCCGGGGATTTAAGTCAGGGCTCGTTCGGCTTTTTCCATATGCCTGTCGACTACCTCGCGCGCAGGTTGTGGCCCTTCTTCCTTGCGTATTTTGTCGCCCCTCCTCTGGAGGCTCAGGCAGCCGCGCGCCCCTCACAGAATTATTCTTGCCTCTGCCTCTCCCACCTGTGACGCTTCTCGCCTCACCATTCTCAGGGACCACCTTGTCTTTTCTTTGGTTTCTCGGACAATGGGGCATCTGCCGAAGAAAAAAAAAATTCGAAAAAATTTTGGATTTTCCGGCCTGAAAGCGTTAGGGCGAAAATCTACCCAATCCTGGAGGAGGATGAGACTCAATATCTTTCATCAAGATCATTCAGATTATGGATATCAATGGATATCCATCGAATGAGATTTGTATTCTGATAGATTCTTTTCGAATAATCATGATTATTCTGATAGATTTTTTTCGAGGAATTATGATTTGGGATCCCTCATTCATATTTCCTCCTCCAATATGAGGGGAAATCCATTCTTTTTTATAGGGAGAGAAAATTATAAAATTAAAAATTTTTAAATTTCGATCGATCCTAATATCAAATTTGTTCAAATATTTCGATCGGATAAAATCTCTCTATCGATAACATATTTCCAATCCAGATTTTCAATCCGAATAATATCACAAATTCATTTATATTATGAATTCCGGAAAGAAACGAAAAAACATAAAGAAATCATGATGAAGGATATTATTCCAGGGAGATTGAAAAGAATTATGATTCATTTCATCGGATTATAGATCTTTTGTTTTGTGGCTTCTATGGAGAGAAAATTTATTTAAAAATGAAACATCCATAGACACACACATTTAAATAATCGATGGAAACCATTTTATAAAAAATCATTCCACCCCTCTAATATGTATCCATGATGAGACGACATGGATATAGAATTCCGAGCGGGCGGAATACCCTACTTGGATATTCTATTAAAATGTTTTCTAGCGCGACCACCATGCCATTTTCGAAACAATGCAAACGATGTGGACGCGAACCTCAGGTAGACAATGTGGCGCATTAGGCTGCTGCTAATGCGCCAAAACTAGACACAGGGGGCCTCGCCTGAGCTTCCCCGAAAATGGACAACTCGCCAGAAACCCGCTATATATAAGGCTCGAAAAAAGACCACTCTCACTTCGTCATGCCTAGTTTGTCCCCCCATATATTTCTCATATATATTCATCATCTTCTCGGATCATAGATCTTCTTCTTTATGATTATGATTTCTCATATCTATTCATTCGATATATTCCATTCGATGAAATAAATAATTTGACAGATAGATCGGAGAAAGAATCGAAGAAGAATTTCCGAGAGATGGGGGTCTCGGTATCAGGAACATTGAATGATTGAGTTTAACACCGCTCTACTGATTTCCGGTCTCCAAGAACTGGTGGCGAAAAGACTTATGAAAAACAAAAAGATCTCACTGAGCACTTATAGCAAGATAAGATGGCATGCTACAGCGGAATGCAAATCTGTCATGCAAAATGCTATTTGTGCTAGTGTGAGATGTTTTTGTTGATACGCGACACGGAAGACGCTCCGCTCTTCCTTCTCCCACTACTCTTTCTTCTAAACCCGATTTGAAGCCGCGACTACTTTTCGAAGTGGTTTGACATGAAGATTTTTGTTCTCGTTTGATTCTTCTCTTGCGGCATTCCTGCCAATTGCGACGGAACGGAGGGAGCGAGCCGATACCCTACGACTGAGGCTCGACGGAATGCCGCTTGCCGAGAGACGGAGAAGGACGAGGTATGAAAGTTAATTAGTGATGGTGCGATGTGTCAGTGATGAAGAAAAATCAATGAGAAAGTCGAGGTGCAAAATGTTGCGTTGCAAGGAATTGCATAGCGCAACGGAGGGAATAAGTCATCCAAACTGGCACACTGCCCCATCACTAATTACTTTCATACGATCGCGCTTTTGCGATGACATGAGACTGTTGCTGCTGACGTGCGACATGAAGCTTTTTTCGATTAACAAAGATACTGCTGACTTGTGCTAAAAATTGCTACTGCGACTTGGTTTTGCGATCTTTTCTCTCGCTGACTGCGACTTGGGTTTTTCGATCTTTTCATCTCGCTGACTGCGAAGAGCTTCTGCTGACCCCCTGACGAATGACGACTTGCTCTACGACTGAAACTTTTCTTGAACGATTGAAACGATGACGACATTGTGTGCTGTGACTTCACTCTGACGATGACTCTCTTGGAACTCGCTACGGGGAAGGTCGTTCCGACGATGCCTTCTCTCACTGGAAAGACGATGGACTTCTTTTTGTCTGGACACGACAACTACTACCAGTGAGTGCTACCCGACGACAGAATTATGAAGTTGAACAGAACAAAAAAGGAACCGAGGGTCGGAAATCAGGTTCCGCTTGTGTTAAATACTGCTACACTCGCGCAGCTCCTTCCGCACTTATTTAAGTTTATTTGTGTTTGGAAATGTTCCATCAAGAGAGGTCGTGAATGTTTCGTTTTGAAACTTGAGATCCAAGACCCAGCAAATCAGAAAAAAATACATAGTGGTGAGAGAATAATTTTAAGTTTCTATTAGTGGGAATTAGGTCTGTCTTCAGTGTTGATGGATCGAGTTGTTGCGCTTTTTCGAAACATAGACTTACCACTCATATCAATAATTTCTATATAGTCGAAGCAAAAATGGCAAAACAGCAAAAGCAATCTGCTAGTCCCAGATGACTGAGATAGAACAACCAAAAATCAGTTGCAGATGGTCGCACTATTTTCGTTCCTTCCACCAGATGGAAAAGGTGCTTCGGTCCCTGCGATGTTGTTTGAAGCCGAACCCTTTTCCGTGAAAATAGACGGCGAGGACGGACATGATGTTATCATACCTCTCTTCCGGAGGCGGCCGCACTAGGGGGTGTCTCAGCAGCTGTGCATCGTGGATCCAATTGTCTTGCCAGGCTCGACTCGTGATCAGTCGCATCTCAAGCCGGCACGGCCACACATTGGGACCTTCGAAGGAAAAGGTGTTGCGACCGAGTTGCACGCTGAGCGTGTACAGGGAGAGGTCATCCGGTACTGGTAGTGGTACCTGAAACTCCTGTTCCGAGACGACCAACTTGCCACGCACTTTGTTCTCGTACCCCGGCAACAGGCGCGCAGAGGTCTGCTGCAGTTCTTGCAGGTACCGGGCCAGTGCCGCGTCGAGGGTTTGCTCCAGATCTTGCAGCCGTCTCTCGTGCGCTAGGCGGGCCAGGTAGCTCGGGTTCAGCAGCACCGACGTCACAGGGTCGCGCAGGAAAGATTTAATCTGCATGAACAACTCAGAGGGCAGGTGCGCGAGCGGGACCGGCAAGCGAAAGACTCCGTCCGGCAAATTGCTTCGGCGGCCACTTTGCTCACCCTCGCCGAGCATCCTTTTTGCCGCCCCACGGCGTACCGCGGCCATCCAGGCACGCGTCTGCTCCTGCGCCACGGAATCCGCAAGCGGCTGAAACACCGCGGATAGCTCCTTCGCGTCAGCCTTGGGGTAAGTATCCAGTCTGGATCTTTCGCGAACCCAAACCTCAAGAGCACGCCCGTCATACATCATGGTAGGCCAAAGCTGATTTGGGTTTGCGATCGGCGCTGGGGCGGCTCCATTGTTGTTCCGGACTTGATCTCGGATTGCGGGGCCGGGGTTCGGCGCGTCTTGGAGATTCGGCCCGGCAGCAGCTCCACCATCTTGATCTTCAAGAAAGTCCTCCGCTCGGACCTGGGCCAGGTTTGGATCGTTCAGACGCGGCACGGGAATTCTGTTTTTTGTGGGTGGGACCCAGATCATCACCGCTGTGCCATGGCCGGCTATTGCGCCCGCGCACGTCGCATTTAGCGCCCCAACGTTGACCTTGCAACACAGATGTCCCTTTTTCGCAGCTGCGACGCAGGAGGAATGCACAAACAGCGTTTCCTTCACAATCAACTCCGTCTCCTGTGTCAAGGACGCGTTTCTGCTCAAGATGTCCGCGGCGATTTCAATTTGAACAGGGTCCAAAGTTCGCAGTTCTCTGTTTAGCAAGTTTGTAGATGATGCGGCCTCGTCCTCTATGTTGCGCTGGAGTTTCAGGTAGTAATCCTCCGCACGTCGTTTAACCCAGGTCCCGTAGGTAGAAGAGGCAGCGGACTGGAGGCGAGATAGAGTGTCGGCCGTGTCCACCATCTTATCTTAATCTTTCTTGATGTTGAATAACAGATGGACTCAGACTCTTAGTCTTACTCTTGTGTCAAGAGTAGGTGTGTGGTATCAGAAGTTGCGCTCTGTTCTAAGCTCAAAACTACTATAAGTTCTATTTACTTTTTGCTTTCACTAGCCGCGTTCGGGCAAGAAGGTCATGGACAATGCAGCGAACATTCGAATACAACAAAGCTCACAATGTTTGCTAGTCGCCCAACTCTCGCTCAATTTTTCTCGATCCAACTATATCACCATCGAAAACGAGCGAATTTGCGAATCTCCTCGTCGCTCAGCTGCTACACATACAGACGCACCGCTTGTCCAACGACAAACTAAGAACGAGGACTTCGACATCCACATACAATGATCTCGAGTAATATTTACTTTCGTGATTCCACCGAGTTCTTCTATCTTCGTACCATACAAATTCAGACTACGTAGCAAAACAAGTTAATACTTCCGTTGAAAAGTGCTGCCGGGCTGTTTGTCCATTTTTGAGTTTCCACACAAGAACGCATTTGAGCGCAAGTGCAACGAGTGGTCTTCGTCTTCCTCATTACCATTCCGCATGACCACGTGAACATGTTGAAATGGAGCGACGAGGCTTTTCCTTCGTACACACCAGAGCCACTGTACTATGAGGGATCGCAGCTGAACTTTTCTTATTCTTACTCCACCTCGTGCCACGATTTTGTGACGCATGCATCGATCCCGACACGTCAGCTCGCAGAAAAGCAAGGAGCCAAGCTGTTGGCTCTTTTTTTCAAGATTACAATGGTTTTCCACCGCCTTTGATTGTAGTTTTGTATCGATATCGTTCTTGTTCTTTGCATTGTGATATTCATCTGTGTTCGCTTCAGTGAAACTTGTGGCTGTAGAGCGTCGTCGCAGTTCGTTGCGCATCAAAAAAACGCTTTATCTTCTGATCTGCCGTGCATCTGTATGATTTACTCACGTAGGCAGTTCAAGACAGACTATCAAGAAGTAGGAACGAACAAAAATACGTTTTCCGCATGCTATCCCTACTCCTGTTAATCGTTATCGTCCATCCACTGTCTTTCAAGGTTTCATCGACTCTTCATTCACTTCCACGACTCGGAGATGACGAAGCAGGGGCCTTTCGGGTGGCGCCATGTTTTGCTTCATTAGATTTGTCAAAGAACCGCACCTGTGGAGGACCACTAGAGGTCTACTTCCCCTTTTCACTTCCGCCTCGTCCGATTTCTTTCCCTCCAGCCTTCTTGCGCCTTCGCAATCGACGCGGCTTTCATTGCCTCGCGGTTCTCGCGCAAAATCACGTTATCCTCCACGTTGGTCGCCGATTCGTTGCTTTGCTGCACATTGACGATTCCCGGCGCAGAGACAAGACCGCCGGGCAGACCTCCCTGGTTGTTTGCCGATAGGGTGACACGACCTGACGATAGTTTTTTGTGTCAATTCTGTATTTCTGCTGTAGTGAGGAACAGCTGCGAGGGTCGTGCAAGTATCAGTTTTTTCAATTTTTATCATCGTATGACATCATGCAGTTGCTTTTGAGAAACAGCCATTGCCATACGTTCTTGAAGTACAGTTGTTCCGCAGGAATTCCTTGTCGTTGAGCAGTCTGGCTTGCTCGTGGTATTCTTTGGAGAAAACTCCGCGGCGCCCGGTTCCAAGCTGGTTCCGCACTTCCTGAATCAACTGGGGCACGGTCTGGGTGTGTAACCGGCGAAAAAAGCTCTGCATGGTTTCCTGTGCAGTAAAACGAGAAGTGTGATCTTTGCATCTTTCTCTTTGGTCTATTGGCTACAAGGGAATGTGAATGCGTTTGCTTTTTATTCAAAACCCAAAAAACTGTACTTGCGCATCATCTCATCATCTCCAGAATTTTTTTTTCCGAAAAATGATGAGCAAAAACCCATCAACATTTACCTGTTGCACGATCAGATTCGGTGAGGAGACCCCGCCAGCCCCAGGCTTATTCCCCCCTCCATCCCCACCCCCGCCCTGTTGCTGCATTTGCAAATCGCTGGTGGAGCTGAGAAACTCGGTGTAGTACTGGTCGAAAAAGGATAAACTTTTTCCCAGACGCACCATCCACTTCCGTAACTTGTCCATTTCGATGATTTTCGCCTCCGACAGCTCCCGAGACTCCGAAAACTCGCGCTTGACCCTGGTCAGCTCGTTCTCGAGCTTATCCACCTGCTGGTAGGTCGAGGACAGAGTGGTTATTTGCTGCTGCTGAGGACTTGATGTCACGAGGTCTTGTTTTAATATTGCTCCAGCCGCGTCCTCCCGCAGGAGGTCCGTATTTGCACCGTCTCCTTCTGCGTCGGTAGAGGAGGAAGCCCCGCCGTCAGTTAACATTCGTGGCGCGGTGGAAGAAGATGCGTCCTCAACACCGGCAATGACACCAGCGGCAGGATCTTCGCGCACGCCCGAGGGAGCTTCTGCTTGTTCATGCTCTCCAATAGATGATGAAGCTACTGCTGCACCTCCTCCTGCTCCAGCCGTCGGCAAATTGGCTGAATTGGTGATTTCCTGCTCCAAGTCCTTCTTCCGTTTCTCGTTTTCCACGACGTTCTTTTCCAATCTTTCGTGCTCCACATCGCGATTGAGAAATTTCTGCACGATTTCGGAAACCTCGGTTAAGCCGGTGACCTCCCGGATGCGCTGGAACCTATCAAATGCAAAAGTGTTTGGGTCTGGAAGATTCTGACACTTGTCATGCACGTTTTGCATGAGCCATGATGTCTGTGATGCATACCCTAGCAATACAGATTTTTTGAGGGCTTCTTGATGCATAATCCATTTCCGCATGACAAATGCCTTGTTCTCAGCGTAGCAAAAATTGCATTCCCCTTGGCACTCATGCAATACAGATTTTTTTTGGAATCCAAATGCAGCATCACAAGTTGCATTCTTCCAGACCCAGACATTTTTGCACTTGGTAGAACCCGTCCTCGGTCACTTGACTGCGTTCCACCTGCTCGTACATAATGCGCTGGAGACAGTTACCTGCAATTTGTTGTGGAGGTTACGGAGACGCCTTTTACTGAGGTGAATATCGATGGTCATACAGAAATCCAAATCCTACTATAAAAGAGCCAAAAGTCGAATGCTGGCGTGAAAACAAGGAGCTTCAGCTTCAACTTCAACTTCTGTGTTCTTGAATACGTCTGCAGCATGAGGATCTTAGAATACCGCGCAGCACAAAAGAAAGGACTACCTGTCAACTTTTCCATGGCCCACATTTTCCTCAGTCTGCTCGCACTCGCAAACAACGCCTCCGTTGCGGCTTCTACCGCGATCTCCTGCCGCCACTTCTCAAAATCCGTCCGTCGCTTCACCGCCTCGCGCTTGCTTTCCAGCTTGCCTTCGTATTCCAGGAGCGTCTCCTGCTCCCGCTCCGATGCGTTACGGATGTCGGCCTGATAGATCAACATGGGAAGGCAAATCAAGTTCAACAATTGCAATATACGAATGATATATGATAACATTTTTTCAGGTGTTGTGCTCAGATATACTCACCTCAAGCTTATCCAGCTCGTGCTGCTTGTGCTGTTTCGCCTGCGTCAGTTTCCGGGACAGTGCGAGCTTGCCCTCCTCTTCCAGGGTGCGCTTGTCCAACAATCCTTCTAACTTCAACAGCCGCTGGCGCAGCACGCCGAGTTCGGTGCGTGACCGCTCGAGGATGTGTTTGTAGACTTTCCTGCTCACCTCGAGGTCCTCAATCTGTAGCGCGTTCGGGTCTTGGCTTAGGAGATCTTGGTCGGATGAGCTACTCATAGTTGCACTACCTCCTGCCGCATTTGCAGCATTCGTGGCATAATTCGGATCATGAGGCATGATCTGCTGGTCTCCACCAGAAGTGCCAGTGGAGGAATGAATCTGGTCGGATGAGCTGCTCCCTCCCGCCCCGCTCGTTCCCGCTGCAGCTCCGGTGGTGCCGTTTCTGTTAAAACCACCTGCGTATGAGCTCGAAGACGCAGACGAAGCTTTGTTTAGTCCACCCGTAGTTCCTGCAATTGACCCTGCTCCGGGTCCGGCCGCGGGAGCATTATTTCCACCCCCGCTCGAAGAAGTCGGTTGTAGTAGCCCCAGTGACCGTTGGGTGCGCTCCTCTTCCTCTTTTGCGGCTTCCCACAGGCGAATCGAGTCGCGGATCCGGGTCAGCTCCTGTTCCTTCCGTTCGCCGTCTACCAGCACTTCGTCGTATTTTCGTTTTGTTTCCACCAGAATACGCTGCATATCGCGGATCAAACCGCTGTTCGACGAATGGTGCTTGTTATCAAGCTTCATCTTGGTCGTGCTGGGCGGGTTATTTTGTGAGGGGGGCTGCTGATGTTGGCCCGGCATTCTTGTTGTTACAACAGAAGCAAGTGGCAGTATTGATGGCGCTGGCAGTCGTCGTGGTTGCCTTGTTACTTTGCAGTAGCCCAACAACACTTGATGAAGATGAACGCGCACCAGCAGGACCGGCAGGATATATTTTTTGCTTAGGATGACTCATCAACACGAGCAGCTTGCGAACATGACCGGCAAGGAGCGCAAAAAGGAGAAGCTGCTAGCTAGGAGCGTTGCTGCTAACATCTGTCGCCAATCATCGAGTCCTTTTCCTTACTTTGTTTGTTGTCAGTCTGCAGGCGCCAACCAATGGAAATCATTTTGAAGAACTTAATATCTGCTCGTCATGTATTCTAAATTTCAAATGAAAAATTCACGACATAAAATTGTTTTTCCTTCCGCTCTTTTTCTCTCAGTTCGTCCCTCACCCTCACTAACCACACCTCAAGTAGGGTTTCATCTGCAACACGTGGACTTGCGGTCACAACAAAATCGCATGTAAAGAAAATTGAAAACAAGCAGAACAAATCTACATTATTGTGTGACAATAGAGGATGGAAGATTCGCACCGTAGTTGGCATCTTCTTCATCAGCTGCAGGCACTTGCTGTGCGGCTGACGCTGAGGTCTATTCGAAGGTCCGCAGCGTTTCTGCAAAATAGACATTTGGCGTTACGGAATAGTCTGAAGAAGAGACGAGCAATGCACAAGCGGTAGAACTGTCAAAGGTACAAGCGCGAATTGCAAGACAGCTTCGATAATTCTGGTACAAAAAGTAGAAAAACCGCAAAACATAGTCACTTCCCTGCAGAAGCTGCGATCAAAAAGGTGACCGCATGTTCTGTTTTTCCAAGTAGATTTTTACGTAACGAGTAGACAAACTCGACGCGAAATAAAATCACTTTCACAATCACGCACAGCAGGTGCAGCACGCGATGGTGGTGCACGTTCTTGCACCACATGGGATTGCTACTAGTGTTCAATTTTTGTGCACAAAAGTTGCCTCGCGACTGGTGGTCACAAAAGTTACTAATCGCGAAGCCTTCCCTATCTGTATCTTCTAAATCTGATACGTGTACAATAAGTCGTACATGTACTACGTCGCGCACGGCCTCTTGACCACAGATGAACTGCTCGAGTCAACACTTCTGGACGCCCCGGACGATTGTTGAAGCTGTGTCGTTTCGTCGATGCTGCAGAGACGAGAGGTCAGCGATGTCTTGGGTGAAACTACTGCAGCGAGAAGTACGGCTACAGCACAGTACAAGGAGGTCCCGATGCAGCAATGCTGAACGCCTGGTGGCGCACTTGCTAGAGAACCGCCCTCGCGAAGAGGAGATGAGTCAGGAACGCGCAGCTACTGATCCTGCTGATGCTAATTTTCGTCTCAGACAGAGGACTAGAAATGGAATAACAGCACGCTGTCGCTGACTGTAGATGAATCGTTCTTCCTGCCTTAGGCCTCCTTGCTCCTCGTCTACTCCTTCTGCAGCAACTTCAGAGAAGGCGGCTGAGATCGTGCTGCCGCTTCACTGCATTCCACCACGTCTCAGCGCCGGGCACGAAGTAGCACTTCTGCAGAAGGTTGGCGTGATGTGCATGTCTGCGGTCCACTGGTGGTAGTCGTGCAGTACCACGACGGGCTTTCATCTTCACAGCGAGCGGCTATCGATGCACCCGCGCACGACGGTGCTGCTGCCCCCGGAACCGGATAACAAAGTAGTTCTACAGGATGTAGTGAGGGTAGAAAGAATGCAGGTAGGTTTGTTTGGAGCCGATGACATGTTTCCGCTGAAGAACAAGAGGATGTTGGATGGCGACTGCTTGCGTGTAGTTGGGGAGTATCTTCACGCCGTCGACAGGGGGAAGGTGAAAAAGGACAGCAGAAAGGATGTTGCAGTACAAGAAAAAGTTCGGTTGTTTTCCATGAAACTCTTCGTGCCGACTGTGATGATAAGAGGTGGAAGGTCTTGAATGTGGATGGCGAAGATGTTGTAGTTGCGGTAGCACCAACATCGACGTCGAGATGAATGTGTAGATGAAGTTCTTCTTCTTCGTATATTGAAGCTGCTCCTTCTCAATCATAGTAGCTGCTGTTGCAAGCATTTTTTCTCGTCTTCTCTCAGTTTCCTTGGTCCTTTATCCTTTCCGCCCACCTGTAGGTTTTAGTTTTTCGCATCGACAAATTTCGATTTGGAGGAACCGTCTTTACGGTTACTTAGGCTAGTCACCATGACAAATTCCATTCATGCTGAGCAAATCAATCTCGTACATGTAAATCTTCAAAAATTCTCAATACGTTTTCTTCTTCTCCATCGGGTCAATTTTCGTCCAGTCGTCCAGCTCGTCGACCAGTTCCCATTCCTTTTCCAAGCTCAATTTTCAATATGACAGTGCACAACTGATACTTGCTCCACTCATTTCGCATGGCAACCCCAAATCTATTACCATTCATATGCTTGCTTTTGGTTTTGTCTTTGCTATTGTGCATAAAAGATCCCAAGGACAGCGCAAACTAACACAAGCACAATAATCCTCATCCTGCGTCGTGAATTTATTGTGATGCAAAACCCGCTCAATCATCTTTGGCTTTGCCAAGAGCTCTTGCTGTTGCTGTCTTCCAAATATGGAAAAAACCTCGTTGTGCGCTCTCATATTGGAAACGCCCGCTCCCCCACGCCCTCGAACTGTTTTTTCGGCTCCCGCGTCCTCTCCTCTTCCAACGCTTCGCGCTGTTTCGCTCTGTTGTTTTGATTTTGTTGTGAAGATTGGACATTTGCTTGATCATTTCACATGGTGCTTTTGTTTGTAGATGAGGACGCTGTTCAAAATTATGCACGACCAAATCAGGTTCAGGTTGATCTTGATGATCAATACGCTGCCTCCTGCCCTTGGTGGTATTTCGTGAGCCTTATCATCCCTTCCTCGCCCGCGTACTGTGCCATCAACGACTCAATCTGCTGCTTGGTGCAGAAAGGAAACATCTCGCAGAGCTGGGAAAGGGTGTACTTCTTGTTCCTGATAGTTTCATTTTTTCTTACGATGTCAAATTTGCAGCTCTTTCCGACGACGTAAAATAAAGGCATGACAGTCAAATGCTTGCAAAAAAAAAGTGAGTCAGTTAGTATATTACCCACAATCGTATAGCGTGTTGCACTCGTCTTCATCGTCGTCACAAATGCCGGCTTTTTTGGCGTCGATCTGCTTCTTGCCGAATAGCTCCGGGCAATCCCGGGTGTTTACCATCGCGGCCTTGCCTTCACCCATATTTGTCGATGCTCTACTACTTGTTCCCGTTTGGCAATGATAGATAACCACCAAGTTGCACAAGCGGCCCGGCCTTTGTAGATAGTACTACTTCTATTTGTGCACTAAATTACTATATTTGAAAAAATGTAGTTACTACCGAGGACAACTTCAAAGTCGCTACGAGAACGAAGACGAGGACCAAGAACTTTGTTCTACAGTTGTGGCAATTTTTTTCAACTTGAAACACAAGAATGGTGTTGACACGATCAATTCTTGGCTGATGTAACGTAGTAAATGCACGCATATTTTTGAATGATGCTCATCGCGATCGCACCACTGGAAAAAACTCCCGATGCTTTTGACCACCACGAATCGAGCGACTTCATCATTGGCAGTAGTAGTTCCCGCCGACGCGCGATGTCGCCTCTGCTTGCTGTCGTTCTCAGTTTCCGCTCCTTTTCCGCTCTCGGAAGCCTTCGCTCAACAGAATCAGAAAGCCTTTCATTACTATCTCACACCTCTAGAGGATCTAGAAGCAACTCAAAGACACGAGGACGAGTTCAATCCGACGACGCAACTCTTCATCTGAAGTAAGTAATGCTCATTTAGCAATAGCCACTACAACACGATTTTTATTTCACGAATTTTTTGAAAACTACATTCATCTGCGACGCACTTCGTCACAGGTCCACGTATTAGAACCACAAAAACCCAGCTGGAGATCGATTTTTCTTTTGCGTTTTCTTCGAAAATGTTTTCTATCGTTCATCCGCCTCCTGCAACACTTCGAAACAAAAATCCGAAACTCAAATTTTAATGTTGGCGGTGTCTAGATAGCGTTCGACGCCATAGCCATTGTGTTCTTCACACTACTTTAACAAGGTTAGAGCCAGGAACTACAGCTGCCTCAACCCGCCGCCGCCGCTTCCTCTCCTCCTCCTTCTGGTGCAGCTGCTGCTCCAGGTTCGTGCTCCGCGGCGCCGGCCGCTTCCGGTGCTGGTGCTGCATCAGCAGCTGCTTGTTCGCCACCTCCAGGAGGTTTCTTTGTTGCTTTCTTTCCGTGTTTCCCCGTCGTTTTTGACAGTACATACTCGTCCCAGCCGGGCGGCGTTGCCGGTATCGACACGAACAGCCCCAGCAACATGATCACGGCAAGGGTTCCTAGCGCCACGAGTACCTCGAGAAAGATGTTTGCCGGGTTTGCGGCCATGACAGTTTCGTGAACGGTGGCATTGCTGGTAGCGTTATTATATCCTGTGCAAAAGTATCGTACTCGTATAAATCCGACCTTTTCATGCATGAAACCTTTCTACAACTTCTCACGTACTTCTAGACAACTTCCCACCAACTTCTCACCAGCTTCTCCCTAACCTTTTCACCAACTTCCCAGCTGTTGAGAAGTAGGCGGGAGTCTGCGGGTGGGTTTGTTCGGGGGCTTGGTGCGGATTTGAACTGTAGGCGCGCCAACTTCTCTACCAGGCTTCGCCTGGTGTTTCTTTCACGAGTTTCCCGTGGCCGCGTGCGCAGTCACGAAGCAGTTTGGCTGGGTATACTTCGGTCGCGCCTCCGCGCAAATGCAGGCGCTGTGGGAGCTCCAAAGCCTCATCTTGCTGACAGCTTCCGGGGTTCTGCAGGCGATCTTTTGAAGTTGCCACGCAGTTAATTTGCATGAAGCCTTCGCTTGGAAATTAATTGCATGAAGCCTCGAAAAATTCGCCAAGTTGGTCGGATGTTCGTCGCGATGTTGGTGCAGAAGTTATGTAGAAGTTGTTGAGAAGCTGTTGAGAAGTTGCGAAGAAAAAACATTTTAAATGCTGTAGGCTACACGCAAAAATGCATTTTTTGGCAAAAGAAACGCCAGCCCATTTATCATTAATTGCGGAATCAATTGAATTTAATTAATTATACGTAGCTCCGCAATTTGTCATAAATGAAAAACATCAGCGCCCCTGCGCCGTGCAGCGCCACTTCGTCGCGCGTGCGCAATCACCAGAAAGGCGTCTGTGCGTGCAGCCATCACAGACGCAACTTTTGCCGCCTCTCATCTTTGTTTTCGCGCGTGGGGCCCTCGCGCGAACTGATCGAGCAGCGCTGCAGATAAATGGAAAGAATGACAGTGGTCATCTTTCTATATTTTATCTGCAGCGCAATTCTCTCAAGCCCTTGCAGCTGCAGCCGCAAGCAGCGAAGGCTGGCGATAGAACTTGCCGCGGCGGAGTGACGTGCCACGCCACTCGGCTGAGCCGATGACGGCGCCAACACGGCCCGCCACTTGTTACCGGCTTCCGCGCCAACTTCTGCGCCCACTTCTCACCAACTTCTGCGCCCACTTCTCACCAACTTCCGCGCCAACTTCTCAACAACTTCCCACCAACTTCTATACTATTTCGCGCCAAAAAAAAAGGTTGGATTTATACGAGTACGATACTTTTGCACAGGATATATTAACCGCGTCGGCTGTACTAGTTGCGTTGATGCCGGCGCCGCTGCTTCCACTGGCTGCGTCTCCGGTTGCTGACGCGGCAGTGACCGTGGCAGAATTGGTCGTGAAATTGCCTGTGACATTGCCTGTGACATTGCCTGTGACATTGACCGTGGTATTCACGAGCAGGGTCATCAAGGCATCGACTGCCATTTTGTTCCTTTTCAATACAAGAGAGAGTACTTACTGTTAAAGCAGGAAGGGCGAGTTGTCTTCTTGTTCTTGCGATTAATAGAGTAATCGACCTGATTTAGCTTTCTAGCGGGCTCGATCATGAAGATTTTTCCAAACCAAAGCATACAATTGATGGAGCATCATGCCAACTGAAGTTGTTTTTCGCTCTCTTCTTCTATTCTTATCCACTCTAAGTCGACGAGCTGCGAATAGATCATGGCTTATTCACGAGATGGCCTGCCACCTTCCACCTCGACCCTGAGAAGTCGAAGTCCGCTCGTGCACTCTTGCTTTTTTGTTTTTGTGCTGGCTCTTCAATGTCCAGTCTCATCTCCTATCTTCTTCATCTTTTTTCGGCTCGAGTTAGCTACTGTGTGGAAACCTAAGCGTATCGAAGTCTTTCCATAGCGGACAACAGCGCCGGGGGTTTCACGAAAATCAGTACTTAGTTGTACACAGAAGTAGCGTACGAACAAGTAGTGGAAGCAGTCCTCCTACGTACTTGCGGCTTTATTCATGCACATTCTACGAGACATTTTCATTTGAATTCGCCCTCTGAGGGGCAGCTCTTGGTTCCTTGTATATTAGTTTATTTTTGTTCTCTAGTAGAAAGATATGAATGCGCTCAAGAGTAGCAGTGCCAGCACATAGAAGAAGACTGCAAGTGTGTGCGTCAGTCTACTCTTGGAGTTCCATGTGCATTTCTAACAGCCGAGCGAATTCATCGAGCAGCAATGTCCTCACCACAAGATGAATCTATGACCCAGGGGGCGCTTGCGAACCGGCCCCGGCAAAGCTGATAGACCCCTGAGGCACGCCATCGCCCCCTGGCGCTTTCGCAAAGCTGATCGACCCCTGTGCTGCAGCCGCTGCGGCCGCATTGGCATTGCCCCCCGATGTTGCGTTTGCGAAGCTGACGGATCCTTGCGGAGCTCCTGCAGTAGACCCTGCTTGTGGTCCTCCCCCGCCGAAGCTGACGGAGCCCATTCCAGGAACTGCTGCTGCTGCTGCTGCGCCGGCTCCTGAAGTTGTTCCTGCTGCGGCGAAACTTGTGGAGCCTTGTGGTCCGGTTGATTGCTCGGCGGGGAGTGGTGCTGGGGGTGCGGCCGGCGGGGCGGCAGTTTGCGGTGGCGGCTGCTGTTCTTCCTCTGCTCCTGCGGCCTCGTCTACAGTCGCCGCTCGTTCCTCCTGTTGTACTGCATCCTCTTCCTCGACGGCCACATCAACCTGGGGGTTCTGCTTCGATTCTCCATCTCCGTCTCGGTCTGCGGCACCTGGTGGTACAGTAAGTTCAAATCACGACATGACTTTGAAATTTTAGTTTGGTGTAGTTGTCTGCACACCCACAGAGCTACTGCTGCTGCACGATGATCGTAGTGACGACGATCATGGGACGTCGAGGGCGACGTACTAGTAGTACTGCCCACTGAGTGTAGTAGTTGTCACCACCAGGCAGAAACTTAAACTACATGATGATGATGATCGCATCGTGCTGTCATGAAAATCACTTTAAAAAAGCCTGCAAAAATTCCATTCCATACCTGCATCCCCTCCTCCTCCCTCCGATCCGCTTCCCGGCTCCCTCGTGACAGGCTGCGGGGTCGTGGAGCGCAAAAAAGCGATCCAGCCGCCGGTCTCCGGGTAGGCAACATAGAAGTAAGCCACGATGAGCAGCAGCAACGCACCCGCACAGATACCGATCTTCCCCACCACGCTTAGTTCCACCCCCGCCGCCTTTCCGTAGGTGGTCGGGCCCGTGTGCTGGCTCTGCACCGCTCGGTGCGTGCCGGGGCCCGTACACACTCCGTAATTGTGGATCTCCGTGTTCGCGCAGAGCGCCTCGCAGACGCTCCCGTACTGGGCGCCATCCGTCCCGCATATGATCCGCGGCTCGAGGTCCTCCGCCGAGCAAGCGCACCCGTGGGGCAAAGTTGGCGTTGGGGTGTGTGCGGGTTGTGGCGCAGCTGCTGGACTGGGGGCTGGCGCACCACCTCCCGCTGGTGGTGCTGGACCCGGCGTCGGCCCAGATGTTGTTGTTACGGTCGTTGTGGTCGTGGTGGTGGTCGGTGGGTTGGAGGGCGGCGTAGGGGGCGACACGGATACGCCCATAGTCGGGTTTGCCGCCGCAACGGCCTGGAAGCTGGATAGGACGCTCCCGGTGGTGTTCGGACTTGCCGCCTGGGCGTTCACTGCGGCCTGCTGACTCGCGTTCATGGCCGCAAACGCGGGGGAGTTCGGCACCACGAAGGTTACACCCATGGTCGCACTGTTTTTCTTGAGCGAAGATGTTGTTGCTGTGGCCGCATCATGAACATTCACTCTGCCTGCTTTCCGCAGCAGCTGCCTCTGCTCCACCTGCTGGTGGTGGATCAGCGATGATGACTGCAGGCGGCTTGGCGGAGTTCCTGTCATGACGCCGTCCCCATGATCGCCGGAATCCGTGATGAGATACAACGGCAGGCTTTTCAGACCGCTGAGCTGCATCATCATCTTTTTCTTGTCCTCTGTCGCACCATCTTCAACCCAGCTTGACGGCCGCGACAGAGTAGATAACAAGGAGAAGCTCGTGTTGGTGCTGTTTTCATCCTGTTGTAAGAAGCACCCTTCTGGCACTTCCTCGACGACGGGGGATTTTGCGCCGGTCACCTGTGGGGTTCTCAAACGTTACATTCTCAACTACAACTGTTACAACATGAGTTTGTTATGCAAAAACACCATCATCATGCTCACGATCGGGCTGTTCCGCATGAAAAATTTGCGAAAGGCTAAGCCGCACCTAAATCTGCGCCAAACTTGTAATGCAAAAGGCGCAATCTTCCTCCTTTCTTTCACTTTTGCCAGTCTTGCATTACAAATTCAGTTAATAATTGAGAATCTAACAATTGAGAACTCCATATCACCGGGTCCATGATGTTGATCTCCTGGATGTCGATGCCCTGACTGGGATCCAGCCCCGGGTTGCCCTCCATCGCCTTCGCCGCGCCGAGGACAAACGTAGTCGCGATCGAATCCAGAAACGCCTGGTCATTCACGTCTCCGGAGCTGGTGTCGATGTCGAATTTCGACTCGATCGGCGGTGCGAAAGATTTCGGCCGCCAGCCGAGCAGTTTCAGGTCCGTGTGCAGGCGCCAGGAGGTGGGCAAGGCCGACGCGCCACTAGAAACAACCTCTTCCGGGTTCTGCACCCAGAACTCCACACTAGCTCCCTGCGCCTGGTAGTCGGAATTGATTTTCACATCGTAAAACGACGTTTCGAGGTACAGCAAATCTTTCCGGATTTGCCACGCTCTCTCTTTTTTCCGCTCGACCGTGGCCGTCTGGGCAGTCCAGCCGTGCCAGTAGTCCGCAAGCGCCGTCACTGTGCCGTTCTTCGCGGTGAGACTGTCGGAAACGAGGAGCGAACTGCCCGAGGAGATCAATTGAGAGTGAGAGTCGGCAACTGCCTGCGCAGACTTGTCGAGGTAAAAATTTTTGTAGAGAAACGTCTTCAGATCCGCGACGGAGCTCTGTTGGTGCTCGATGAGGACCTTCGTGTCAAACAGGCCGGAAGTCTTGTCGCGCAGTTGTGTCGTGTACTCGATTACTTCAGGCTTTTCCGTGGTCCAGACGTCGCGCACGAGTTGGAAGAAGCCGCTCGCCGCGCGGCTCCAGAGCTGCCCGATTAGCGGCGTCATGCGCAGGGTTTTGTTGTTGACGCAGTGGCATTTTCCGGTGTCTTGATCGCACCAGGAAGCCGTTAAGTCCTGCGAGGACCCCGTGCTCACGCACGGGACGCTCCACACTAGAACCCCGCCCTGCTTCCAGAGTGTTTCGCTGGTCGGGGCGTACATGACTTTGGGGAGGCCTTTTCCTTTTTCATTCCACAGAGGAAAGGATGCGTTGTCCAGTTTCATCGGATTTTCAAAAGACACTTCCAATAGTGTCGCCTTGTGCTTTTTCGCCTGGTACCAGATCGGATCCCAGTCGGAATAGTCGGAGAGATTGGTGCTCTTTCCTCTCGCGATCGCCTCGTCCCGCCACGTGGTGTTGTCCAGATCTGGGATGAGGTAGTCGAGGACAGTTGCATTCCCGTAGTCCGACTGCAAGTCCGCGCCCCACAGCTCGAACCGATTGGAAACAAATTCGGGTGTGGTGATTTGTCCGACGTTGTTTTGAAGAAAGGGTTGGTAGCTACCGCCCCCACCAGGAGCTGCGCCACCCCCTTGGTCCGCACTATCGTAGATACCGCACAGCGAGTGCAGGGGGCCGAGTTTTAGTACCTCCCGGATCTGCGCACTCGTATTGGACTTGAGCGCGACGACAGACTGCGTGACCGCGCTAGCGTACGCAGTTCCGGCCTGGTAGCAGTGCTGGAAAATCTTCACCGCGTTGTGCGCCATTTCCGCCTGTTTCCCCCGCGCGTGTCCGGCCGTCGTGCACTTTTTGTCAAACTTGATCTCAAGATCCGCGACTTCCTGGCCCCGATTCCCCGTGCGCTGCGCGTTGGTCGCGCGGGCGACGGGGTAGCTGGGAAGGTGCAGCGTCACCGTGCTGGGGTCGAACTGCATTTTTACGTTTGTCAAAACACTGTGCCCCATGTCGTACAGCAGGTCCTGGGCGTGGCCCTTCCAGGCGGCGCCCGGGCTGGCGTGGAATTCGTGGACGGTTGTGGTGGCTTGCACAGCCCCGGTGGAGGGGTCGGTAGTGTTTTTCGTGGACAATTTCACGTTTTTGTCGCCCGCTGCGGTTTATGCAATACAAACTTCCCGCACAGCACGTTCTTTCACGTACTACAACAAAACGCATGACAAATTTCGCCATCTTCTACTTAGAGTCTAAAACTTGTCATGCTGACTAAGATCGAAGGATAGCTTTGTAATGCAGAAACCACATTTGGAGTTGTACGGAAAATTTCCTGTGGATACGGTTTTGTCGAATTCTATCAGTCCCATTGTCATCACGTCATCCTCGATGTCGTCGTTGTCCAACGGAAGGGCAATTAGGTAGGCGCCGCGCCACTTGTCCGCAGTTTTGTCGTGCCACAGGTAGAAGAGATTCTTTGCCGGTTGGTACAGGTACTGGGACACCCGGGTGCTGTTAGTGAAGTCCAAGTCTTCAAATAACCTCGGCTCTTTCTCTTTATCTTTTTCGGCTGTTTCGTCTTTCTTCGTTTTCCTCGCTCCTTCAAACACAGCGCCCTCTGCGAACGCGCCCCAGAGTCGTCTGTCCAGCTTCTTGCCCGAGGGGTCCGTCAAAACAAGCTCGGTGAGGGATGAAGGGGAAGTACTAGAGGATCGCGTCTCATCTACTGCAACTGCTTGTGCTTCGTTGGTTCCTTGATGTGTGCTGCTACTGCTTTCTCCTCCTTCGTTCGCGAGAAGAAAGTTTCTATCTTCTTCTCGACCAGCTCCGGAGTCTGTCAAGACAAGTTCTCGAGCCTGTGTTGTTGGATTCTGACGTAGCACACCTCGTCGAGATTTTTCCACAAACGACGTCGCCACCGTGCTAGCGCCCGCACGGCGAAGGCGGTCCTGCGTATGCTGCGCGAAGGCCGCGGCTGCAGTTCCGGGTAGTTTTTGTTCGTAGTTCAGACGTTGTCCACCTGTTTGGGCTACTATGGATTGCAGAAGTATCGCACTCGTAGTAATTGCTATCATGCATGACAAATATCATTTTTTTAGTTGAATCGGCATTACAAATTCGGTTTTTCCTTTGAGAAAATTTGTGATGCAATTTATCCTAAAATACGATACTTCTGCAATGCATAGCTACTAGCTGCAACAGCCGGTCGGCGTTCTCGTCGATCCACGCGCGATACCGGTGAAACTGGCTTGATGCTCCGGTTGCTGTACTGGAAATACTTCGCCCACCGCCCCATCGTCCTGAACTACTGCGGAAGCTGCCACTTGGGCCGACGATGCTAGAAGCCTCCTCTGGTGCCCCTGGGACACCACCAGTGCGGGCATTGACTGCGGCGACCGCGGAGGTTTCTTCTGACAGAAGCAATTCGGCACCTGGCGTAAACAGATCTGCGTCCTCGTCAATGTCGTACTGGTGGTGCTGCGCAGCGGATGAGATTGTGCCGTCGATACTAGTACTGGAGCGCAAGAAAGAACCGGCACTCGAATGGTCCAGGGCAGAAGTAAGTGTGGTGCAGCTCGACAAGAAGACGAAGATGATGGTAGGGATCACAGTTCGTGCAAGGAACTCCTTGCAAGGGCTGGCGCGACGAGAAAACATTCTTTAACGGTTTCTGGTGAAAACGATACGACGTGACTAAGATTATGTCGAAATCTACGATGAAACTTAAATGTTAATGTTCTGCATTCCCGTGTGGCGCCGCTCGACGACTAACCAAGGTCTATCTTCGGGCCAACTCAATCTCTCTTTTTGCTCGTATTTCGATTTCCTCAAGTTCTGCGCAAGCGCGGCAACGGCCGCCCTCGGTAACATCCCTAGATGTACATCCGTGGTGCACATGTCTTCACGTTTGACAAGCGGTTTCAAAATATGTATTTGCGGCTCATCGTCATCTTCCTCATCTCCGCATCCGAGAGTAATACTAATATGATCCCAACGTCTCTCCCTGTCATCGGTCCCCTCACTCACGTCGAATCGACAAGTGCAAGAACGCTGAGTGAAAATATGTGGTTTTTTCGAACGACAACGTCAATAATTGAGTTCAACGAAGATTGCATTCGCGCGGGGCTTCAACACTAGCGATGATCGCGTGGTTGTGGTTTCAGATACTATGGTAGCAGCTACACAATCTTTTACTGATGAATCACAATCCATCTTCTTTTGCAGCTACCATTTGTTCTTTTTTTTCCAGCAATTTTACAACCATTTCGGCAATTGCGACGTCCTGCACTGCAATGCCTGAGGTGTCAAAGATTGTCAGCCCAGTGGCAGTGCCCCCGCTAGACAATTTCGTTGCCTCTTATGAAAGCCTCAGGTTGGAAATCCTCAAAGTGGACATCGACATGGTTTGTAATGCAGAAAAGCATTCCAGTTGAAGCGCCACTTCTAGGCGGCGCATGACAAATTTCCCGGGCACTCAAGGTATGTCTGTCATGCTGATTAACGCAAAGTGGTGCCCTTCTCTCGTGCTAATCAGCACTCCAATTCTTAACCCGGGGAAGGACAATAGTCGGCCTCCGTTGCGTCCTCTGCAATACAGTCTTTTTTGCGTAGCATTTCATGCATCACAAATTATTTCCACGTTCAGCTTTTCCATTCTGAGGCTTTCATACCTCTCCACCAGCCTCCATTTCCATGGCGAGAGTTCCGATCTCGACGATTCGATCTGCCTCCACTAACGTGTTCGTCCGGCTGTTGCTGCTCTGCTGCAGAAGTCGCTGAAACTCCCCCCTCTCCAAACTTTGCGCCACCGAATCGCAGACCAGCAAGTCCGCAGAGAGCAGAACGTCGACACCAAGCTCCTGTTTTCCCGGCGCGTCCGCACCGACAGCGCTGATGTGCTGACGCTTCACCTTGCAGCTGCTCGGAGGAGGAGCTACTGTGGTCGTGGCTTCTTGAGGTTCTACTGCTAATGCAGCAGATAAGGCACCTCCGCCGGTTCGTAGTTCTTGCTCAGAACATCCCTGTTCCTCCACCGGACTGTTTCCGCGACTGTTACTGCGACTCTGATGGCTGTTGCTGGTGGAAAACAAGTGCTTTGTGATCAACAATTCTTCTCGGCTACAGGTCAGTGTGTGAATTAACTCGCAGTTCTGCCCCACGTCCCCCACGTCGCTGCAGAAGGTGACGTCCCACTCTCGGTCCGGAAGGTGAGCGGAGGAATTCAAGTTCTCGACGAATTCTTTTCCCTTTTTCGCATCGCGTGTCCAGAGGCGGACGTTTCTGCAAGGGGTGATCAATTGGAGAAAACGCAGTTGCCACCACGCTTGAACGCCCGCGCCGAGGATACCGATGGAAGTGATGTCGCTGATTTGGTTGTCGCTTTGTGCGTTATTTTCTGGTGGCTGCTCTGGTCGTGGGGCACCGTACTTCCATATCAGGCGCGATGCGTAGCCTGACAATAGTTGATCATGTATTTGGTTCTCCAAACAAGGCAGAAGAAAGTGCAGAATGCACGCACGCAAACCACAAAGCATAACTCATACTAGACTTAATGGAAAAATATCACAAAAGCTGCCCAAGATCAAGAAGAAATCGTACATGTCGCAGCCGCCGTCCTGATTTCGGTGAGAATCCCGCTGTCGTTGAGCTGCTTGCACAGTTGCATCGTTTTCTGCGAGAAAACGAGCAGAAACCCCGTATTCCCATACCCCACCGCGCCGCCCGCTGCGATCTTGATCACAAACGTGTCCCCGTTGTGCACGTATCCGGTCTTCACGCAACACTGCGCGCTGGGCCCGGCGGACACCGCCCCGTACGGCTGCTGGCCGACGGTCTGCACCGGCATGAGGGACACTTTGCCGGAAGAGAAAAGTTTGTACGCCTCTCCTTGGTTTTCCAGTGTTGTCTCCGCGAGGAGAGCCGTGAAACCGTCCAGGTCGGAAACGAGAGACGGGAAGGAGGCTAGTATGGGGGATGAAATCGCGGCACGACTTGTTGCTGTGTCACTTGCAACCGAGGACGAGCCTGGTGCGGTGTTGCCAGAGCTCTTTGTGGTTCCTCCTGAAAGCGAATGTAGTTGCTGCAGTAACGCCGGGTCGTATGCGACCAGAGCGCCCGCCGCGCCGGGGACTGGTGCAACCATTTTTGTTTTTTCAGTGCCAAGAAGGCGAACCGGCGAGAGCGAGAAAACTGTCAAACCGAATTGATTTTTGCTGAAAGCGCTACATAAAGCAGCACAGGGTATCCCTATCCGCCACGAGGACCTGCAGCAGGCATCTTCAACTTCATCCGATGTAGGTCCTGCATGTTACTTATGCGTTGACGTTGATCACGTTCATCTTTATCAAGCTCGCGTGTTATGATCACGTAAGATCGAAATCGTAAAAAAAGGTAAACCAAATCCAAAGGGTGTCCAAGCCAGCAGTGCATCAGAATCGATTACAACTGCAAAGTCCACCTCGTCTTTCTCCTCACTCGAATGAGCTTGTGATCATCCACTGCGGACCGCAAATCCGGTCATCGTCATGCGGGCAGCTTTTACATGGTTATCAATAGATCGGGAAACGTGATGCTCCTTGAGCAGTGCGCACTGGCATTTCATCAGACGGTTGGAACAAAAAAACCGCTGTGTAACTTCTACTTCTCCACTTGCGGTTTTCCCCCGGAGGAGTATATGCCCGGCTCCAAAGTATAGCTGCGGCACGGAAATGGAAATTCGTCTTGAGGCACCTGTTCATCTTCGAAATTCAAAGAAAGGCACGGCTTTTTTCGTCGGTGGTTCTGGAAATTTTACATTTCGCAAACTTCAGGTTTTGTTGAAACTACGGTTCGGCAAAACAATGGTCTTCAAGTGAATACAGCTTCATAATTCATTGTAATTGAGAAGCACTATCTGGTGTTCATTTGTTTTCCACAATCTTGGTGATTGCGGGATCATGCACAAGCACATGCATCACAATGAGTGCGCTGGATTATTGAGACGTTGACGTATTTCTCAAATTGAAATTCTGCTCATACTCGTCACTCGTTATTTGTACAAGCATCAAGCTAACATCCAAACGCAATCATGACTGCTCGTGTAAGCTATGGAATGAGATAGATGCCTAAGTGTAAGTGTCCTTCTTGTGTAGTTCCTACTTATCGATGATGTTCTCCTTCTCACATCAAAGACTGATAATTGGTCTTTGAGTCCGCGATTGTTGTCTTCGACTTTCCCACTCAGCTGTGAAAAACGCCGATCGGTAGTCTTTGCGCATCTTGCAGGTCCGCTTTGTTTCCGGCTGCCCGCCCCACGGCCAGCCGCTGGTGTTCACGACGGTGCTGTGCATGCGGCAGTAGAAGCGACACCAATCCTCCTGACCCGGTGGGGAAGTTGCACTTGGCTCTTCTTTTCTATGTTCCCCGTTTTGCGGTGCAATGGTGCTCCTTGTCCTTCTTGTATCAACAGCTGCTTCATGACCTCCTGGCCTTGTACTACCGCGACTCCCGCACCGCTCGCTGTAGCTCATTGTTGGTTCCCCCGTGGACTCCGGGAAAGCGGTTATCGGGTTCCTCGTGCCCGCCCCTGCCCAAGACCCCGCGAGGACGTTTTGCCGCATTGCTAATTCCTGCAAAGGGATGTCTCGCTGCTGGTACAGGCGTACGAAGGTTTTGGTCTGTTGCGCCTCGTCGTCGGCGTCATCTCCCCCCAGAGCGAACGCTACAACCCGGTTTTTTGTCGTCCCTCTCTGCGTAGAAGAATTTGGATTTCTGATGGTGTTTGGTGCTGTGTGATTATGATTCGATGATATCATACTTGAAGTCGCACCGCTGACAAACTGCCGCAAGGATGGCCTTGAGGGTGCTGTGGATGATCTCATCACCTCTCTTCGCGCCAAAATCGGGATGCAATCCCGTTCGCAGTCGAAGCCGCCAAAATCCACGATCTTCGCCATCGCCTCGATGTGGCATACGTTGCTTCCCGCCTGGACCAGAAAGTAACCCCGGCCGCGGTGGGCAATTGGTCCCCAGGAATTGCGCACGATCCAGAACGGACCGTTGTTGTCGTCGACTGCAGGTGGATCGTTACTCTTGCCTGCAGAACCGCGCGGGGAGGAGGTGCTGTAGTTCGGAGCTGTTGAACGAGGATTCCGATGAGGGTCATTGTTCCGACTACTTGCAACATGTGATGAAGTTGCACCAGCTCTACTAGTACTACTTCCCCCGCCTCCAAAACCACCCGTTTGCATCCGCTGATGCTTTGCCGACGCGGAGCTCTCGAAGCCGAAAATCGCGACACTGTGCCACTCCTTCGGCTGGTTCGAGTAGGACGACTGCGTGAAGAGGCCCCGCTGCGCCTCGGAGATTGCGTCGTGGTTATTTGTTGACCAGGGGCAGTCGGAGGGGAGGATTCGGTCCACCCAAAAAGCGCCCGCCCCGCCGTACTCGAGCAGGGAATTGGGTACCCGGATGCTGGACAACACAGGGCCGAGCAGATACACCTGGTCCCTATCGCAAGAAAAAAGTGTTACATTTACACATTGTGTTGCAAGACCGGCAACACAGATGCCCTTTCTCATGCAGGAAATGCTTGGGAGCCTCGTTTCCTTCCTGTTTTCCCTTATGATCTTCGCATTACAAGTTTTCCCTGCCACACAGAGAAAATTTGTGATGCAGTAACTGCAACACGAACACTTTTTTCTCGTGATAGTCCCGGATCATCGTCCACTGACTCGAGGCGTGGCGGGGCAGCGGGAAAATGCGCAGGAAGCTGGCGTCAGTTGGGAGAATGATTTTGTCCCGGTCCGGAGCACCGTCGATGTATCGCTTTGATGTTGGTGCTGTTTTGCCTTGAATGCTGGCGGGTGTAAGAGTTCTACTTTTACTTGTTCTGCTAGTGCTAGAAGATGATGTCGGGACAATATTACTATTTCGTCTCGCGTTCTCCGTTTCAATTTCATCTTGTTCGACCAGAAAATCCCGACTGTCTACTTCAGCAGACCGCGAAGCCGTGTTGGAAAACAGAGACGACATCAACGTCCAGGAGGCCGTCAGGTTCAAGTAGCCAATTGTTCCCATATCAAAACCGGACTTCGATGGTCGTTCTTTCGAGTACTTGCACCTCCGTCCGACGTGGTCCGCGGGCAGCATTCCGCCGAGAAAAGTGGCGAACATTTTTGTCGGGTACTCTTCTTCCGACACAACCCCCTTAGCGAAATGTAAATACTGCAGCAGGTGACTATCGTGGCCGCCGTCCGTACAGAGGTCCCACCCGAGGTATTCGGACCCGCATTCCAGCAACTGCGCGGTCGACACGGGCACCGCGTTTTTTCTCCGGTGAATCGCATACCGACTCTCCAGCACGGCGGCCAGCGCGAAGGCCGCGCAGCCACTGGCCAAGCCCTGGTCCTTGGTCGGGGTTGCGACGCCCGGGACCTCCAGCCAATTCACGCGCGGGATGTAGGTGGTCACCTTCAGCTGCACGCGTTTGTGGGGATTGTCATTGGTGGAGGTTGTGCGGGGGGAAAGCAGTGCGTCGGCCGAACTGCTGATTGCGGGGTGTCGAGGGCTTGTTCGAGGCGTGGTTGTTCTACTGGAATCAGAGTGACAACTCGGAGATCGGGGACTGCGCTGGTGCTGGGGAGATGGGAGAAAGAAACCAAATGGGCGGGTGGAATCAGCGCGGCGTCGTGCGGAAACCGAAACGAAATAGACGTCAGAAAAGATTCCCCACCATAAAACGACACGCAGGAGGGACGAAAACAGCGCCGGACACAATATAATGAACGGCAACGAGGAGCGCGGCATGTTTGATTTAAAACTCTTGCAGCAGCTGCAAGTCGGGTACCCGAGAGAAAAGACTAGAGGGGCGAAGAGCATACATCTTCAGGGGATCTTTCTGATCTAGGTCGAGCCAGTTACGATAGTCATTGCTCGGCGTCGGGTGGTCAAATAAACGAGAAGATGAACAAGAAGATCTAGATGAAGATAGAACAGGAAGACTAGAAAGTATACAAAGGCAAACCCAAACAACCTCGGTACATACGTAAGTTTGAGTCAGTGCCTACTCACAAAAATCCAGGAGTTCCGATATTTTACCTTTGCTGTGTGTGGTCTCATGTCTTGGAACACCTCCTGATAATTCTTTTTCCACCACAGCGGGGGACGTAGAGTTGCAGAAGCAACAGCTGCTTGATGGAGGGCTCCGGACGCCGGACACCAGAACTGGTGACGCGACACGCAATTTTATCTCGTGTTCCTCATCTCGTCTGTCGAGCCGAGCATCGCTGCGACCTAGAACGCAAACAAAAATACGTTTGTGCCACTGATAGTTTTCAAGTCGGATAAGATGCATAAATACAGTAAACAAAAATTCAAGCACAATTGCGTAAGTACAGTTACGTAAATTTTAATTCATATGCGATCTGTTGAACCAATGCCAATCAAATCCAAAAGGCATGGGCATCGCGTTCGACAAATTGTTTGAGTACAATGTGGCCGCGATAGGGAGACTTTTCTCTTCAAGTGTCACACGGTAAGTTTTTACTGTCACGACGAGATTCATCAGACGCACGTAAACCTAAACATCTCATCAACAACATGTGGTCATGATTGATGTTAATCGGACTCGTGTATCTGCTTTTGAGTTTGAGCACTTACAACTTCTGTTTGTGACTGTGCCGCTGCCGACGCACACGTGGTAGTAGCTACAGCCAGCTTCCTACAAAGAATTTCATCTGAACCATGCCGTTTGTGACGAGAAGCCAGGTATCGCTTCGTACTTCGGGCACGAAAAAAGCGCGTTTTTTACCCGCCGGCACTTGTTGTTCTGTCCCGGCACTCGCACTTCTTCGCAGCAATCCCCATGTGCTCTCTTCGGATTCTGACAGACTCCTGCCAGAGCCGCGGTGATACCGTAGTAGCAACCCTGACGGCGGAATCAAAAAAGAAAAACACTGCACAGAATACTCTCTTTATTCTTGATTATTTGCATCAACAAGTTTATAATTTTAATTTGTGGCTGTGGCTGTGGCACGACTGGCACAATCTCCGCCTGCCTCGGAGGTCTCTATGGAATTGGAAGGTCAACATGTTCTTATTTTTTACTCCTACTCAGAGAGAAAAATGACAAAGAACTCGCTGGCTCCTGACCGATCCATCTCCATCTCCATGGACCAGGACCATCCTGGTCTAGATCATGCAAAACCAAAAAAATGCGTCACTAGTGCTGTTTTTCCTGTCCATATGCGCCAGGGGAAGACGGATGCATCCTTCCACCAGCAGCTGTAGGAAAGGTGGCCCGTATCAAATGTAAAAATGTCTGGGTCTGGAAGATTCTGAGACTTGTCATGCATGTTTTGCATGACCCAGGATGTCTGTAATGCACGACCTAGCATCACAGATTTTTAGAGGGCTTCCTGATGGCTACTCCGCATGACAAACGCCCTCCCTGCATAGCACAAACTAGACTCCTCTTGCTGGTCATGCAATACAGATTTTTTTAGAGACCAAAGCTAGCATCACAAGTTCCAATTCTTCCAGACCCAGACACTTTTACATTTGATAGCCCGTGGCGTCACGCAACTTGCCAAACGCTGTCGTTGGCGGATGCAGACACCCGTTCGTAAGTCCTTCGCTGTCGCGCATGAGGCTGCGGGCGGTCTGCACCAACTCCTCATCATGTTCAATCTGGCTGCGTTGCGCGTCGGACAGCACGGAGTTGTCCTGCAGGCGCTGAGCGCTGTTGAAAGTGTTGTCGTAGATCTCCGACGCTGCCACCTTGACCTTGTCCAACATCACCACGGAAGGTTCTTCTCCACCTTGTTCAACATCATTATCGCTAGCCGGAGCGTCTTCCGCCTCGTCGCTGTAGTACAACTCGTTGCGCTCCTGCTTCTGGCCGACGTTTTCATCGGGTCCGACACTAACAACGGAACCATGGAACGATTCGCCCTCTTCCAGTTGCTTCCTCGTGTCCCGGTCCAGGACGACAGCTAGGCCTGTAGAATTATTAATCTTGATCCTTATCTTCGAGACACCGACATCTTAGTTTGTATTGATTTACGAACGTTATTCCTCCACCAGCGCATGCGCATTTTTATGTGCGTCATGTAGCGCATCACATGTTGTCACTGCATGTTCTTGCGTGCGGGTTTGGCCGGCTGACATGCATGAAAATCACCAATACACAAAGACGATTAAAGCCCAGCCAATTATTACCGTTTCCAAACGTAAACGCCAGCAGCTTCGCCGAGACCGAAAGTCTGGATCTGGTAACGTTCTTCGGCATCTTGTTGTTCAATCACATTCACAACAGCGTCGCTCCAGGAACCTTATCCTGTACGCCTCTTGTTCCGGAAAACCGGACGAAGCTAGTCTCGGCCGCTAGAAGAGGGAAACGAGTACGACCACGCCATGTTCTTTTCACGTCAACATCACGGGTTACGTCACCCCAAAGAATAGGAAAAAAACAAGACTCCCTCGTCCAACATTTTGATTCTGAAGATGACTGTCGTAATCGTAAATAATTGATGCACTGTTCCAGACTAGAAATAGGCTCGTGAAAAATTCTGAGCTTGTTCAATTTCATACTCTAGGTGAATAGCCTTTCCCTTATCTGTTGCACGAGCGGGGGCCGGGGCGTGGAGCCTTCTACTACGATAGATTCATCTTTGAAGCGCGACATGGAGCGACGACGACGAGCGACGCTCACGGAAGAACTGAAAGTTGTCGACTACCCCCATCATGTTAGTGTAGCTAGCTGTTGCTGTTATTTCCTCACGAACCCACGATTTTCCCTGGCAGCTCTAGTGCAGCTAAGTACTACAGTCTTGTCGGTAAGGTAACGAAAACGAAGAAGGTGGAGGCAAAAGAGTTGTAGCGAAGGGATAACAAGTTGTACTTGAGGTATTAAGTGGACCATCGCGACGAAGGAAAAAGCGTGCACCACCATAAAATTAAAAGATCAAGAGATCAAGAGATCACGACCAAGATGATGACTAGATCTTGAGGACTTATTTTCCGCAACCAACCCGAAGACTTATTTTCCGCAATGCAGCCAACCATAGCCATACCGAAGACGAAGAGTGAGTACGTACATACACTACACGACATGATCCAGGAGTTCCGATATTCCGCCCTTGCCACCGCGTGTGGTCTTGTTCGAACACGACGTGCAGCTGCACGAGCAACAGCTTGGAAAGCTCCGGACGCCGCTTAGAGAACGAACCGGAGAGAACGAACCGGACACGACACGAAATCGTATCTCGTGTTCTCCGTGATTTCGACGTCTGTGGTCGAGCCGAGTATTGCTATAAAAGAGTGCAAACAAAAATCTCTGACAACATTTATACAATAGCAATTGAATATACATTATACAAGCACAAAAATTGCGTATGTAATATACAATATTCGACTTTGCGGCCGTCTGGAGTAAATTGCTGCCTGGTCCTCGACATGGACGTCTTGCTTTTTGAATTCATAATAGGCGATCTCGTAGAGCCTATTTGTATTTCAAATCCAAAAAGTGTCGTGCGCTACGAGTTCCAGTACGTGGCGATCGTTTTTACTCTTCAAGCACAGCGCACAGCTGTGCATGCTTTTCCTCTCTTCATTCTATTTTTCACTTCTATTCCTTTGTCTACTAGTAGTGGCACTTCTGGTCGTAAGCAGCGTCATAATATCCGTATAGTCTTGCTGTTGCTCTAGTAGTTTACACTTTTGTTTGTAAGTTAGTATTTGTTTTTGATTTTTTTTGAAGTGATAGCGAAGGCGCACTCCTGCTGCTTCCCGAAGCTTACCTTGTCCAGGAGGCCAACTCGCCAGACTCGTACACCGGGCAGGTCACAGGCAATCTGCGCAAGTTCTGTCGCCGGCATTTTTTCCTTCCCGCCCCGTCATCCACTTCCACGCAGCAATCCGAATGCGCTCTCTTCCCCCTCTTTGCTCGCCCCGAAAAATAGGTGAAACCGTAGTAGCAACCCGCTTCGCGATATCAACAAAGAAAACGCGGCGCGCAGCACCACTGTTCTTGATGAATGACAATGCTCATCATCTGTTCCTGTCCTTATCCTTAATGTTGTTCAGGCAGGAAAATAAAGTTCGGTTGGTCAGGCAGGACAATAAAGAAAAAGTTGGCTCATGACCCATGCATGCACCAAAAGATCATGCAAGTGCAAGTCTAGAAAAATGCATTAAGCTGAAAGATGCAAAGCCAAATCATTCTTATTCATATGGACAGCGGCAATGGTGCTGCTGCTTTTGTTTTTCCCATCGATATAACCCACACCTGATTCGTGAATAGTGTCCTTTCTTCTGCCCGCCACCAGCAGGTGTAGGAGTGCAGTCTGGTGGCAGTGCCGGGGATTACGTTCCCGATCGACTGTCCACCGTCCACGTGTTCAGCCATTGCTTGCGCCTGCGCGGCCTCGGGCGAGATGTTGAACATCACCACGGAAGGTTCTCCAATTTGTCCATCATTCATCTCGCTGGCCGGAGCGTCCTCCTCTGCCTCGTCGCCGTAGTACAACTCGTTGTTGTTCTCCTGCTTCTGGTCGTTTCCATCGGGTCCGACACCAGCAACGGTATCAAATGCAAAAGTGTCTGGGTCTGGAAACTTGTGATGCTGGGTGGCGTCTCATGAGCACAAATGCTGGCTCAGCATGACAAGTTTGTGAGCTTCTAGGTGTTCTTGCCTATTCTGCATGACAAACTGCGTTTCTGCATGACAGAAAAGTGGAGCTCTTGGGTAACGTGCACGACAGATTTAAGAGTCATCATGCCAGACAAGCATGACAAACATCCACTCTTCCAGACCCAGACATTGTTGCATTTGATAAACGGAACCATGGAACGACTCGACCTCTTCCAGTTGCTTCCTCGTGTCCCGGTCCACCACGACGGCTAGGCCTGAAGAATTATTAAATCTTGTTAATCTTTGGCTATCTACTTCGATCGCTAAATCTTACTTTGTATTGATTTACAACATTCAAGTTAATTCTCCACCACCGCATGCGCAGCATGTGCCTCATGTAGCGCATCACACGATGTCACTGCATGTTCTTGCATTCGGGTGCGGGCGGCTGATATAATGCATGAAAATCACCAATACACAAAGACGATGGAAGCCAAGCCAATAGATGTCATGTGAATGAATATGAATTTCTTCCGATGAAATCGAATGAATATTACCGTTTCCAAACGTAAACGCCAGCAGCTTCGCCGAGACCGACAGTCTGGATCTGGTAACGTTCTTCGGCATCTTCAATCACAACCGCGTCGCTTTCGGAACCGTTACGCCTCTTGTTCTGGAAAACCGGACTAAGCTAGTCTCGGCTAGTAGAGTGAAACGAGTACGACCACGCCATGTTCTTTTCACGTCAACATCACTGGTTGCGTCGGTCACCCGAAAGAATCAGAAAAAAACAAGTAGATCACTCCCTCGACCATGTTTATTATTATTTTTCTGATGACTGTCGTAATCGTACATTGAAATTGACGCAGCTGCACCGTGCAAGACTAAAGCTAGATCCGCAAAAAATACTCTGCTGGGTGCATAGCTCACTTTGACGCTGTTGCACGAGCGGGGGCGTAGTGGAGACGTCTACGATAGATTGTTTCTCGAAATGGAGCGACGACCGATGCTCACAGAAGAACTGAAAGTTGTCGACTACAGAGCAAGGTGTTGCTGTTTCCTCACGAACCCACGATTTTCCCTGGCAGCTCTAGTGCAGCTGTACTACAGTCTTGTCGGTAAGAAAGCAACGATGAAGTCTTTCTGATCTAGCGAGTTACGATAGTCATTGCTCGAAGTCAAGTGGTAGACGAGGTCAACTAAACGAGAAGATGAAGATAGAACAGGAAGCACCACGATACGATGTTTATTACAAAGAAAAGCAAACAACCCCGGTACATATGTAAGTTTGAGTACTTACTACCTACTTACAAAAATTAAAAAGTTCCGATATTCTGCCTTTGCTGTGTGTGGTATTGGAACACCTCGTGACAATTCTTTTTTCCACCACAGCAGCCGACGTAGAGTTGCAGAAGCAACAGCTGCTGGATGGAGGGCTTCGGACGCCGGGTCCGGGCAGACCTAAGGCGACACGCAATCCTATCTCTTCGTGTTCTTCACCTCGTCTGTCGAGCCGAGTATCGCTGCAACCTAGAACGCAAACAAAAATACGCTTCTTGTGCCACTGTTAGTTTTCAAGCCTGATAAGATGCATATAAATAAAACAAAATTTCAACAAGCACAATTTCGTAAGTACAGTTACGTAGATTTCAATTCATATGCGATGTGTTGAAGCAATTTCAAATCCAAAAGGCATCGTGTTCGACAAATTGTGTGAGTACAACGTGGCCGCGATATTAAGGAGACTTTTCTCTTCAAGTGTCACACGGTAACTTTTTACTGTCACGACGAAATTGATAGATCAGACGCTGCAAGTACTTAAACATCTCATCGTCATCGTGTGGGTGTGGTCATGATTGATGTTAATCGGACCCGTGTATTTATTGCTTTTGAACTTGAGCACTTACAACTTCTGTTATTTGTGACTGCTTCGACGCACGCATGTACTAGCTAGAGCTAGCTTGTTTCTTGAAGAATCTCATCTGAACCATGCCGTCTGTAGGGGGTGGCCCGGTGTCGCTTCGTACTTCGGGCAGGACAGAGGCGCGTTCTCTACCCGCCGGCACTTCTTCTCGCCCGGCACTTCTTCGCAGCAATCCCGATCCGCTCTCCTCGGATTTTGCCAGGCTCCTGTCAGAGCCGCAGTGAAGGCGTAGTAGCAACCCTCCTGGATGCGGAATCGAAAAAGAAAAACGCTGCACAGAATACTATTCTTGTTCTTGATCATTTGCATCAATAAATTTATGACTTGTGGCTGTGGCACTGGAACAATCTCCGCTTGCCGTGGAGGTCTCTATGGAATTGAAAGGTCATGTTCTTAATGTTTGTTTATTCCAACTCAGACAGAAAAGTGACAAAAAAGTCGCTGGCTCATGACCCATCCATGCACCAGCACCATCCGGCTGTAGATCATGCAAAACCACATTTTAATGTTTATGATATATCTACTTATCAAATATATTGACAGCGTCAGTGCTGTTTTTCCTGTCGATATGCGCACTGGGAAGCTGGATGCGTCCTTCCACCAGCAGCTGTAGGGGTAGAGTCTGCCGCGGAAGTGGCCCATAGTGGCGTCATGCACGTTGTCGAACGCTGTCTTTCCTGGATTTATAGACCCGTTCGTGAGTCCTTCGCCGTCTCGCATGAGTTTGCGGGCGCCCTTCACAAAGTCCGCATTCCGTTCATTGCGGCCGCGTTCAACGCCCGACAGCAACGCGTTGTTCTGCAGGCCATGAGCTTGTCGTACATCTCCGACGCAGCTGCCACCTTGTCCAACATCCCCACCGACGGTTCTCCACCTTGTTCAACATCATTCTCGCTAGCCGGAGCGTCTTCCGTCTCGTCGCTGTAGTACAACTCGTTGCCTTCCTGCTTCTGGTCGACGTTTCCATCGGGTCCGACACCAGCAACGGAACCATGGAACGACTCGACCTCTTCCAGTTGCTTCCTCGTGTCCCGGTCCACCACGATAGCTAGGCCTGTTCGTTGTAGAAGTTTAGTGCAGAGTTATTTTTAATCTTAATCTTTATCTTCGCGAACGCGACATCTTAGGTTGTATTGATTTACAACATTACTTCTGCACCAGCGCATGCGCAGCATGTGCGTCACGTAGCGCATCACACGATGTCCCTGCATGTTCTTGCGTGCGGCTGCGGCTGCGGGTGCGGGCGGTTGATATGCATGAAAATCACCAAAAATACACAAAGACGATGGAAGCCAAGAAGCCAATACATGTCATGTGAATGAATATGAACTTGAACTTCCGATGAAATCAAGTCAATAATACAATTACCGTTTCCAAACGTAAACGCCAGCAGCTTCGCCGACACCGAAAGTCTGGATCTGGTAACGTTCTTCGGCATCTTGTTCAATCACATTCACAACCGCGTCGCTCCAGGAACCTTTACGCCCGTTGTTCCGGAAAACCGGACAAAGCTAGTCTCGGCTAGAGTGAAACGAGTACGACCATGCCATTTTCTATCTTTTCACATCAACATCACTGGTTGCGTCACCCGAAAGAATAGAAAAAAAAAAGTACTCCCTCGTCCAACATTTTGATCCTGAAGATGTAGATGACTGTCATAATCGTAGTGCCAGACTAGAAATAGGGTCGTGAAAAATTCCGAGTTTAATATACTTTAGTTGAATAGCCTTTGAGTTTGACTTATCTGTTGCACGAGCGGGGGTGTGGAGCCTTCTAGTGCGATAGATTCATCTTTGTTTCGCGAAATGGAGCGACGAGCGACGATCACAGAAGAACTGAAAGTTGTCGACTACTCCCATCCTGTTATTGAAGCGAGGTGTTGCTGTTTCCTCACGAACCCACGAGTTTCCCTGGCAGCTCTAGTCGTGCAGCTAAGTACTACAGTCTTGTCGGTAATAGTTAGATCAACGATGAAGGTGGAGGCAAAAGAGTTGTAGCGAACGCGGCAATAACAAGCTGTGCTTGAGGTATTAAGACCATTGCGACGAAGGAAAAAGCGTGCACTACCATAAACGATCAAGAGATCACGGGCACGAAAGCAATTCATTTGTTTCCGCCCGCAGATGAGTACAAGCACGATCATTTATGGTCTGCAGCGAATTTGTTTCCCGCAGGCGCAGACATGTACTCCACGAAAACCGAGGCTGCCTCGGGCCCTCACAATACGAGAAAAGAAACACTTTCACGGTTTACCTTTACATCCTATTTCATCCGCGACACTATGCTAATGAATCATTCGCTGTACCTACCACAACAGATTTTTTCTTGCCACGACTGGCATAGGAATGAGGCGCCGGGCTCGGGCTATCTTTCTGCCTGGTAATTATATATCCCTGCTCCTGCACCACGCCGACCGTTCTTGCGTCCTAAGTTCATATAAGACGACCAGAAGATGAACAGCAACTGGCGATACAATAATACATCGAGGAACTCGCCGGAGTAGTTTTTCATGTTCTCTGCACGCACAAGGAAAGTTCCTGCGGCAGCAAATTTGAATTTCTTTTTCTACCTTTGGACATCTACAACTGCGTTGGAATTTCTGATGCGACGAGTGCCAAGGTCCATTGTTCGCTTGTTGGATTGAGACCAATGTAAGTAAATGTATGTCAGTTCATCTTTTTCATATTCATTCCATATTTTCCGCACGATGGCGTTGTAATTTTTCTTTGCCAAAATGTCTTGCGGCCCTAAGCCGCAATCCACGCTCGCTCCGTTGACCTGTCATTCGTGTAGGCGATGAAGAGTTCGTCGCCAGCGGAGACGTCCTGTTCGAGGTACATCACCGTTGGGCAGTTGGGCGTTTTTCTTCTCCCTTCGATGTCGAGGAACCCGACATTTAACTTGTCGAGGGAGTGGTTGAACATGGAGATTTGTACGTGGAGAACCGTGTGCCCCTCGAGGATCTTGTTGTGAGCACCATTCTCCTGGCTGCCAAACTCGTTCATGGTGAGAATTCCGCCCAAGCGCGTTTCGGAAAGTCCAGCCAGAGTGGCACGGACGGAAGTCGCGACGAACTTTTGGCTCGGGGGTAACACTGGAAAAACGATAGGCGGCAGGCAATGCGTAAAGAGGGTCAGACCGTCCGCGCCCTTGACTCCGTCATTTTCGGAAGTTTCGATTTCAGCGGGGCTGGCGCGAAGTTTCTCGTAAAAGTTTTTGGACCCATCGTACAATTGGTGTAGCCGCCATGCCAGCGCCAAGTCATCTTGGACACGGGCAAACATTTGCTGCTGGATCTGCTTCTGCGTTGGGGACCGCAGGACCCCGTCGCCCTTTGCCTCGATCACGACGGTTCTGCTCTTGTTGACAGCGAGTTTTTCGCCTGCCGCGAGCAGCCCCGGATCTGGCTTGCAGACCATGAGGGCCGTGCCCCTTTGGAGAGTCGTCTTCGCGAACACCCCTCGTCCCTTGCTGCCGCCGGTGTCACGCAGCTCAATGTCCGGATGGATCCAGTCGCAGGTCCGCACCGTGTTCAGGTTGCAAGCGTCGCTTGCGAAATACGGAAAAAGGTCGGTGGTTGTCAGTCTCTTCGCGGCCAGCGGACGGTCATCGAAGGTGTTCAAACAGCGGAGGAATTGGGTCTCCTCCTGGTAGGCCTTCTTCAAGAACCCCTCCTCTCCGCCAAAGGAGGTTATGTTTGGCTCCACCTGACTCCAGAACGCGGCTACCCACTCCTCCTCGCCGAGGTTCACAAGGGAGGACACAACGCGCATCAGTGCCTTGTTGCGTATGGCGCACTGCTTGCCCTCCGGAGCACAGTGCGCCGCCGCGCCAAAGAGCCTCAGCGTGATGAGCGAAAGCGCGAGACCCTCTGCGCTGCGGCCCGTACGCAGTGCGCAAGTCGTCAAGTTGCCGAGAATCGCAGCCAGAGGTTGCGAGGAGCCGTCAGCGTTCAGTACCAGTAGGCCTTCGGTGAACATGGTTCGTGCAGCGGCCCACTTCTTCTCACGGAAGAGCGATTTCCCTTGCTCGTTGCACTTGTTTCCACGATCAAGAGAAAAGGTGACGGTCTCTTTTGCAGCCTCTGAACCTGATGTAGTTGTGCTGCTCAGCAGCGCCGGAACAACAACTTCTGTCAAAAGCTGTTCATAAATCGCGCGCTGCTCTTGCGAGAAAAGCCGGAGACGGCAGTGCGAAGAGGCAGTTGATGCGGACGTAGACGACGCAGCTGCTGGCTCGGCCGCCCTACTTTCAGGAGCGAATTGCTTCGCTTCTTTATGAGCGCCGGCGTTCTTCGGTTTCTTGACTTCCGCGAAGGCCGCGTCGCGCGCCAGAGTCACTTGCTCTACCAGATGCGACGCCCCCTTCTGCAGTCCCTCGAGTGCAGAAATGTAGCGGTGCCACGCCTTCTCGTTGTCCGGGCGCAGGTACATCACGGCTGCCGCATCGAGTAGCGCGTTACCGAAGTTTTGCTCGTTGAGAAACATGAAAGCCCGGTTGTTCAGAAGACTGACTTGCAGATCCAGCTCCGTCGCTGCGAGCGCGTTCTGGTAGATTTCCCGTGCGGCGTCAAAGGCGCCCTTCGCGAACTCGGCGTTTCCTCTCGCTTTCTCGGCGTCCACGCGGATGGAGGAGGGATTCACGGCACTGGAGAGGAACTTCACCTCCCGGGGGTCGTCGACCCGGATGGCCCGCGCACCCCCGGCACCGATCTTGTAGAACGGGTTGGCGATCTGGAGCTTCGTGCCCACCGCAAACCGCTGCTCCACCATTTTCTGTCCGTCCCACTTGGAGGTGGAAGGCGTGATGGCACCACCCATGCAGTTGTAGAACACCGTCGTCGCCTGCCCGCCGGCGTCGTCCTGGATCACGGTGCGCACGGCCGTTTCCAATGCCGGTTGCCCGACAATGGTCACGTTAAGAAAATAGCCCGTGTGGGTTTGAAACAGCCGCAGCTCCTTGATTGGCATCGGCTCCAAACTCACCCAGTCCAGGAGTGCGGTCGAACCGTTATCGGCGTCCTTCTTCTTGACCGTGCTGCTGGAGGCCTGGTACTCGAACATCGTGCCATCGTTCTTGTCGGGCCGGTGCTGCTCCAAACCGGGCAAGAACTGGTGCTGCATAAAGAAATTGTGCACCATCAAGGGACTCATTCCGAGGTTGGACAGGCCCCACCGGACCACGCCGGGCTTTATTTTTTCCTCCCAGAATCGCGTACCCCGCAAGTCTGCCAGCCCTCGGTCTTGAAATAACTTCGCGAGCAGCGCGTCACTTTGCAGGACTTGCTCGCTCTTGGCCAGCAATTTCCCCATGTGCTTCTCTCCGTGGACTCGTGCCTCGTCCAGTAACTGGGGCATGATCGTCGTCAGCGAGCCCTCGAGGGACCCCAGAAACCCCTCGCGAAAGGCTTCCTTCTCCAGCTCGTTCCTGCACATGCGGTACTCTTTTTGGACTTCTTCGCAGCAAAACTGCTTCAACACGGCCTCCACATCCGCGGCGGCGGACTTGCGCTTCTTGGGATTCTGCCGGAAAAAACCCTCCATTTTATCGAAGCTTTTCAAATAGAAAAGACGAAGCTACGACGAAGCAGAGTAAAGATGAAGCTTGTAGGACAACCAATAACTAAAAGACAACAACGTAGCGAAAAAGGACAACGACAATGCGCAACAGATTATGACCGGTAAAAAGGTAGTACCTACTGGATAAATGATCATCTGTGTTGTACTTGTAAAATTATTTCTCCTGGCACAAAGGTGGTACCCCTGTCAGTCGGTGGTCCGATGCTGGTGTCAAAAATGACTATGACACAAGGAGAACTTCTTCGTAACCAGCAAAAGATTTCTCATAGGCTTTGCATTGCAATTGATCTTGCTCATCCATCCTTTGGGAACATGGTCATGGAGCAACAACCACTCGCTTGCTGTACATTAATGTTGCAAAAGAGAACAGACAAAACAGCTACTAGATGACCTACATTCTTGTTGTTCGGTCATTACAGAAAATTGTATCTTAATCTTCCTGAAATACCACATTATTTCCACCTTCCCTAATATAAGAATGAGGCTCAACAATTTGAACAGTTCGAAATCGGTTTTTGTAAGAATGAGGATCATCATCATGATCAGTTGTGCCCGGTAGTAGATACTGCATGTCCTAGTACTTTCCCTATGAAAAATGAGTGCGGGAGGCAGAAACGAAAGGGTGTTATTCTTGATGCCGACCATAAACAGAATAGGTCTGTTAATTTTAATATCAAAATGAGATGAATGTGAGAATGAGGCTCAAAAATTTGAACGTTTTATCGAAGAGTCGTACTTTTTTAGTGAGAATGAGGATGAGTTGTGCCAGGTACAATTAGTAGATTCGGTACGTACTTGTACTTTTCCGCATCTGAGATAGGAAGGTAGAAGCAAAGTGGCGCTCGGCTCTTGTCGAAAGAAATATCATAAACGAATGGGGGTCGGTCCAAAAGAATGTACATGGATCCTCCATGATGTGATCATCATGGAGGTATTGACTAAATGTTGAATGAACCTGAGATTGATAGAACCATTCCTGATAAGTAGTTGCAAAGTGTTGCTTCAGGAGCCAGTGGGATTAGTGTTGAGCGTTGCAGTCTGCGTCTGTGTGAGCGTCGTTTACTTCTTGACCTCCAGCATTTCTTCGGCGAGCCGGAGCATGTCCCGGACCTTCGCGTCCTCCCCGTGCCCAAGCTCATTGGCCAGCGTTAAATCGGTCACGGCTTCTTTCATTCCGAGCGTCGCCTGCCCTCGGCGGAACAGTGCTTTGATTTTGAGAGCTTCGAGCCGGAGAACATCCTTTTGCGCCGGCGAAGTCGCTGGCGAGTTCGCGGCCCAGAGTTTCAAGTACTTGTCGGCGGTGTCGATTGCCGTGGTTGCCGCTGTGTGGGCCTTCATGTCGAACATCGTAATATTCATTCTCGGGGGCGGCTTAGTTCCCGATCCGGTTGTAGTTCCCAGTGTCGTGGTGCTCGGCTTCACTTCGCTCTTCCCGATGTAAGCGTTGCCCCGGAGGTAAGCGCTGGCGGCGTTCGCAGAGCACGCAACTCCATCGAAGACCTCCGCAAAGGTAGGATTGGCAATTTTGGAGAAGCACTCCTCCCCCGCGTGAAACTGGTCCGCCGCGTCGGTGAAGTACGACTTCTGGTAAAAGTGGTTGCCCTTCGCTTTGAAATCGGCCACAGAGGATCCGCTTGGTGCTGCAGCCTTGATGTCCGCCGGCTTCTTTTTGCTGTTGCCTATCAGCTTGCTCGCGAATTTTGCAAAGCTGTCGTCTTGTTCCTGTGGAAGTTCGCGGTGAGGAGCATCCATGTCGAGGTGGTCGCGCGACGAGTCGATTGAGTTCATGGAGGGAAACAGGGGACCGAGAAGGACGCGCACGCAACGCTGGCGGACCCAGGCGGCCTTTTTGCCACAGCTGACGAGGCTGCGCAGCTCCGGGTGCTCGGCGGCCATGGAAGGTGTGCAAGACGCGATGGAATACCGACACCAGTTACAGAAGAAGGCATACTCCTCTTCGGACAGTGTGTGCTGAGGGCAACCGTGCATCAGTTCCGGACGGACAGCGGTAACTGCTACAGTAGCCCAGGATTGGCGGAGCATGCAGACAGAAACATCGACAAAGGGCAGTCCCGACTGCCGATTCATCACGAGGCCGTGGTGGAAGACGATGCAAACGCAACCCGCGTGGTCGAAGATCGCGTGGACCTTTTCGTCCGAGAACTGTAGCAAAGTCATGCAGACGTCTTTCATGCGCAGCAGAACCGGCTTTTTCTTGCGCGGACTCGTTATCGCACTTCTAGTACGCTGCTGTTCGAAGTCCTCCCGCTGCGCCCTTTCCGTCGTCGAGAACAGCATACCGCCCACGCATCGCAACATGGAGGCACAAAAAACTCTACCGTCTTCGGGGACAAACATGTTCGCCGTAAAGATCCGTCGCGCGGACGAAAAGAACGAATGCGGAACCTTCTTCACAATAAATGTGCCGTCCTTGGCCGACCACCAACCGTCCGCGGACACGGGGCAGGCAAACTGCACATCGTGGTTGATCTCGGCTGCTTCTACTGTTTCACCTGCAGCCCCATTCATCGTGGGATGAATGCGCACCTTCACTTGAAGCCGAGTAGAACTTAGTGCTGCTACTTTTACGACAAGGGCCTCGCGAAAGACCTGCGGACATTGTGCACAATAGCGCAAGTGGAGGCTTTTCGTAGTTTCTTCTGCGATGGTGAACGTGAACAGACCGGGAGTAGTACTGGCCGTACAGGAATTATTCGGTGTCAAGCCCGCCAGTGTAGGTTCTAGACCGTAGTGCTTCCGAAGGGTGGCTACATCGCGCTCCGAGGGCGCGCCGATTATTTCTACGGTCCGGGATACGGAGCGAAGCTCAGAAAATCCCGATTGGCCAAACAAGGAAAAGAACAGCAAGTTCTGTTGTGCGATCGAAAATAGCTTGCAGTTTCCGCCGGCTTTTTTGACGTCGCTACGGCTTGCGAAGAAGAAAATGTTTGACAGCGGCACCTGTGAGTCGTCGGTATCTGCCCATGTTCCGAAAATCTTGGATGTCCCAAGTTGAACGCCAAAGGTTGGAGTGATGTTATCTTCCCCGAAATGTTGCTTCATCTCTGTTGTGGTCAATGCAACTTTGCACAAAACGACTTCGTCTTCCTCGCTTTTGTCTTCTGCACGGCTCAGGGACGAGAGGCTAGACGGATTCGACAAGAGCCCGAAAAGAGTTTTGACTTCGGTGCAGTGTGGGTTTTTGCGCAGAGCAGCTTCCAGTGCCGTTTTGTCCAGCGCGAAGCGACCAGAGAGCAAAACCGTGACCGAGGCTCGCACCGGGTGAAGTAGGGTGTCACTTTCACACCCAAAAATCTTGTCTGTCAGTGCTGCTCCACGAGTACCGCCCTCCGCGGCCACTGCATGTCGAATGTTGGCTCGCGGGCACGCGATCCACGTTACATGAGCGTCCTGCCTGTCACTCTGCATCTCTTCCGGCTGAACACCTCTCGTAATGGTGGGTACATCCAGCTCGGAATTTGTCTTGTCTAGGGGTGGAGCGAGTACATCGGGCTCGAACCCCACCGCCCGGAACCCGAAAATGCTCTCCCAGTGGCACGGATCGATCTTCAGTAACATGTCATCGAAAAATTCTCTGTAGGTCCCTGATCCAATCACTGGCTGGCTCATGCCTTGGCTCCGGTGCACGAAGGTGCTGGTCAGCAAGACGCCGTAGTCGCGGAGTAGCGGACGCGTCATGAGTACAACCGTGAGCAACCCGATGTGATCAGCCAGATTCGAGCTCGTAATGACGTCGAAACGAGAAGCAGGCACGCAATCTTTGTCAGCTTGGTCAGAAGAATTCAAAAAGGGCGCAAGATTGACAGGACGAAGGAGCAGCCGGGTTTTGATTTTGGAAGAGGAGGACTCCGATGTGCTACTCTTACCAGCTTCGATGGCAGCTGAAGAATATAATCCTGCGTCGTGGTTTGCTGCGTCACAAAGTTCATCCTTCTCGAGAACACGGACTCCGATACGACCCCTGTCAGCGTCAAATTCAGTGGTGACCACACCGACGCAACCATTGTGTTGAGCCTGGGAAACCAACCCAGAAATTTTCACCAGAGATCCCCGCTGGATTGATTCCATTTTTCGAGCATCTGCTAGTTCGTCCGCGAGTTCCGCTTCTTTCGAGTCCGCTTCAGAATTTCTTCCTAGATTGCTGCCAGGAGAAATTGAATTTTCCAGTCGCTTCAAACCCACACTGCTGCAAAAATTCACAGCGTTCTGGCAGTCGAACGTCCATTCAACGTTTAATCGGTGAGCCCGCGTTGCCGTCACCCAGGTCTGGAACTCGTCGAAGCATTGCGTGAGCTGGCTCCGGCCGTCAGGCTTCACCATCGAGAAGGCGTCAATCGGGTTTGTTCCGTAGTGCAAATCGAACGCGCTCTCGCGCCAAAAGAGCGTCGGGTTCACGTGCCAGGCAGTTGTGGTCGTGTCGATCTTTTCGATCAGTGAACTTGGGTTAAAGACGCCTGTGCACAAATAGTCCGTGTTTTCGTCGAGAAGCGATTCGGTAACTCTTTTTAGACCGGAGGAGAGAGAGAAAACGTGGAAGGCGCTGAGCATACCACCAGAAGGTCGCCCACGGAAGAAGGTTTTCAGGGCTGAGCCTTGCGGCGCGTTGTGTGCGAAGTTACGGACTTCCGCATTCACCCGACCTAGGCCTTTCAACACAGCGGCTTCGCGCATCTGTTGAATGTTTGTCCACGTGGAGTGTACGCCCTTGGTGTTTGAGTTATTTTCGTGTACGCCCTTGGTGTTTTGAGTTATTTTTCGTCGTTGTCGAAATCTGGAAGAAATGGTTGCGCTTTTTCAACAGTTGAAAAAGCGCAACCATTTCTTCCAGATTTCGACAATGCGCACCTTCTCATCGCGTCCGCCGGTAACCCGTCTTTTCCAACGGAAACTCGAACTGGTCGAGGTCTTCACACCACAAGGACTAGGCGCTGGCTCTCCCTCCTGCATTGCACACGAATCACGAGGCCCTTCTCCTTCCTTGGCACCTTCTGGATGTACTACTTTGGAAGCCTCGTGGTCGCAGGAGCCCGTCGCTTCCCATTCTTTGATGAGGTGCCGTAGTTTGCTGTTCAGTGCGCGGCGCTGGGTCGCTGTAAGGCCCAAGGAAAACCATATCGCAAAGATCGTACGCAGCTCTTCGACCGACAGCGTGCTGCTCTTCATTTTTGTTGTGGTTTTGCTGTTCTTGTTTTCCTTTTCGGTGGTTCTTTCGTCCGCAGGCGCAGTCGCACTGTTGATGCCGTTGTAAATGCAATCGAGTATGAGGATGTTGCGTGCCAGAACGTGGGGATCGAAGTCGTTAATGGTAAGCCGTAGGGTGGTGTTGGTGGGATCTGCGTCAACCAGCGAGAACAGTACATTGCGAAGATCCCCGCAGCCGAGGCATAACACGTCCAGGTCCAGTCGGGTGTTCACGCCTGTTGTTGCGATTTCAGATTCGCTGGTGACGTCCTTTCCCGTGCACCAAGCGCCCGTTTCAAAGGTCGCGCACTTCTGCAGGTTCGCATGGCGTATGAGAATGTTGGTCGCGCGCGTGTTGCCGATGGCGTAAATAAAGAACTTGCGCCGCTTGAGGAGGGTGGTCTTTGTCAACGGAAAATGCATGGGCACGGCGTCATCGAGTTTCGACGATAACACCCCGTCCGCGGCACCTGAAGGTGGCGACGAATTGCTGCCCATGCTGAAAAATATAGTGAGTCTGGATGAAACAAATCTTCAAAAGATAGAAAGGTCGTGCGCAAAATTTTTGATGGCTGCTACGGCTGAGATCGAGGTGGGAACGAAAACTATAACTAGGTTTTGTGGGTATCGGTATCAGAATAAAAGCGAAAGCTCATATTTTCATTTTGTACGAGCGAAATCGATAATCATATAATGGTGCCGCCTATCAACATATATACGCTCCTGTGACAAAAAATATATAACGTCAAACCAACAGAACAGCTCGGAGATCCAAATCAAAAGATATCAGCTGGGATCACAATCGGTTGACTCTGAGAAAGAGTTAGATCCCACTCCCAGGACGATCTACTGGTGCATCGATGATCATGAAGGGAGCGGTTTTTCTACGGTGTAGTAGAGTTTTGATCTTGTTGATTAGCACTCCCGTATATTTTTCTCGCGATTGCAAGATAAGCGCGCAGCCAGTTCCTCACTAAGGAGCATGATCAAGGTATAGGAGAGAGCGCGTTCTGTAGATCAAGATATTAAGCACGCTCGTCGTTCTTTGATTGTGTCGCTTTTGGTTTTGCTCAAGACGTGAGCCCAGAAAGGTGCAAAACCGCATACGACACACCTTTCTTTCCTTGATAGTCATGATTTGACACGACATGGAGGGACAGGGAGCCGCGGCGCTGCTTCCGTCTGCTAGACCTCGATGATGATGGCTAGATCTTTTTCTTGAGGACTTATTTTCCGCACGACGAAGAATGAAGAACGAATCTGCCAGAACATCTTTCTTTGGCGCCTGCAGTTGTCGCCTGCGTACTAGTTGTAAGGGCAATTACAATATCGACCTTCTAGTACTAGTACTTCACGACTTGTTCATATTTGGCACTCGTGCCGGCAGTGCTATCGTGCCACGACTCGTCTGGTTCAAACGCGCCGTTGCAGCGGATTCCGCGAAAAAGCTAGCACCTTGAGTGAGAAAGGAATTGGTCTTGTAACACGTCTGTACAGGATTCCCGCTCCACCAGCTACTTTTCTCCGTCTTCATAGTACCTCCTCCTCCGCCTGGGCCCCCGAGCATGGACGAGGACCCATAATTTCCTCCACCTCGCCCCCCCAGTCCCTCCTGCATTGCCGCTGCGTTTCTCCCCCATTCCGCCGCGTGCTGCTGCGCCGCCTTGGTGCCTGAGGACAAAATACTGCGTCTTGGTCTCGCTCGTCCATCGAAGTCCACTTTGGCGTGCAGGGATGCGCTGCTCCGTGTGACGAAATTGAGGCTTTTAGTACTTGTCTTCGCAGTTGGACTGAACGCGCCAAATTTGGTGGTGCTGAAAGCGGTTCTACGGGCAGTAGGCAGTTGTACTTGATGTGGTTCCGCGAGTTGGTTGTAGTAGTCCAGATGCAGAGACCTGGTGGACGAGCTCGAAGCAGACAAGTGCTGGCGTTGTTCCAAGTGGTCTTTTTGCCGTGGTTCGGCCTGGTGCGTGTTCCGTTCTTCTTGTAGTGACAGAAGTTGGGCTTGTTCTAGTACCCCAGCGCCGCCCCCAGCATCTTCCCGATGGTCCTGGTTGTTCGAAGTATGGGTCGTGTGCGTGCGGTCCTGGTCTCTATTTGGGCGCGGTTGATGTATATCCTTTCCAGGAGCACCACCACCGGGTGGCCGTGAGTCAACATTTTCCCGCAGGCTTCCCGCACTTTGCGAATGTTTTATCTGTTGCGCTGAAGGTCGTGCAGTACCAGCAGAATTTCTACTTTTATTGAAGTGCAGTCCTGCTCCCGTCCGTCTGCCTGAAGATTCCAGAGGCAATGACTCGTTCTGGTGATGCAGCCGCCTTTCTTGATTCCTGCGACAAATATCCTCGTGTTTTTTCAATCGTGACGCGAAGAAGGACCGACCGCAAATGCTGCACTGCTCCAGAGGTTCAATATATCGCAAGAAAAAACTGTTTCACTGTAAACTTGTAATGCAGATGAAAATGTATCCGAGAAATGTTTCTCTTGCTACACATGCAAGACAGTGGATTTTTAGCTGTGTTTTCCCTTAGGAATCTCGCATGGCAAATTTTCCCTGTGATGTAGAACGAACTTGTGATGCACAACTTGCAAAATCCTTACAGTGAAACACTTTTTTCGTATGATACAATACCGGTATTTGATTCACCAGTTGCTGTTGCAGCTCCCTGACAGTCAATTTGTAGTCCACCGCCGGCATGAAGATCTGGGCGGTGCTGGAGGAGGTCTGGCAGCTGCGCACCATCACCCCCTGCTTCACCAACATGCTCTTCCACCTCCGGCGAGAAGCTACAACCATCTCTAGTACCCGCACTTGGCGAAAACGCAGCTGCTTCTCCATTAGAAGAATTTCTTCCTCTATGCCGATGGATCGGCAAAGTCTCAGTGCTGCTGTTGTTTACTAGAACGGCGCACTTTTTCCAGGCTGTTGGATCGCCCGGATCCAGGTCGACAAAGAACTTCTTCGCGCATTTCTTCGCGTGAAAAGGAAATCCGTCCCGGAGAAACTCACCGCCACACAACCGGCAACGGATGACGTTGCGCCGCGGCGGGGAGAGAGAAGAGGGCTTGGCATTGTGGTGAAGCATAGAAAGACAAAGATAGGTCTGTGGACTCACTGTAGTACTACATTACTAGTTTTCGATCCAGTTGCTGTGGGGGATTTGACGAGCAAGTGCATTCTTGACGTTGTGACCGCGGTGGTCTTTCTGTGCTAAGAAGCGGCCTATTTCATCTTCCGGGGGTTCCTCCAGAAACAAGCACAGGGCTACAACATCTCCCCGTAGTCTTCTTCATTGCAGTTTTTTAGTAGCTCGCTCGATTCACTCCACCAGCGTGACGAGTGTTTTTTCTCTGGTACTCCTGAATCCGAAATGCCACGGCCGAAGAGAGTCAGAGTACTACCAGGAGATGTACGCCGAACGTTAGTGGTTATCGTCGGCGCTGATGTCAAACAGGCCCAGCTGGGAGCGTTTGTTTCGTTTTTAATTTCATGTGTCTTCAACTACAACTACTGATGTGCATTTGTTTTACTTCGACGACGTGACGAGTCTCACTATCTTACACGACGCGCGGACAATCGACATCAGGAGGCGTCGACTTGCTCACAGTGGGGTATTCGTTTCGTCCAGAAATGCAAAAAGTGAGGAGCTCACATCAATGGACAACAAACTCTAAATCCACTTTCTCCTTCATACACATAAATCGTCTGCATTTTTGACTCGCAGCCTCGCACCACTTTGGAAATGCCAGCTAGAACAGCCCGTGCACTTGCCCATCCACTAGCCCAATGTTTTCCGCCGCGGGTGTTTCCGGTAAGCCGGGCATCGTCATAATGGCGCCGCAGATCGCCACGACAAACTCTGCCCCGGCGTTCAGCCTGACCTCGGAGACGTGCAGCTCGTGGTCTATTGCCGCATTTACCTTCTTCGCGTCGTCACTGAAGCTGTACTGGGTTTTCGCGATACAGACGGGGAGATGGCCAAATCTGAGGTTGATGATGTGCGTGAACTCGTATAAAAGGTAGAACGGTGCGATGAAGTGTAGTTCGCAGGAGCGAAAGCAGATACAACTGTTACTGATCGTGATCAAGCTAATCAACATCAGGATTCATCATTGTCCAACATGCAGCTTGTGTATTCGATGAAATGAACAGATGAACACCCATCTACTCTAAATATGGCTGCGCTCACCCCTTCTCCTGCATTCCCTTCAGCGCGGTCCTGGCTTCATCGGCGAAAATGACACCCTTTGCCCGATAAATATTCTGCGCGATGGCCTCGATTTTCTGTGCCAGCGGCAGGTCCGATGGGTACAGGGTTTTCAACGTAGTTGTTGTGCCTGTTCCACTATCCTCCACGCACTTGAGAACCGCTTCCGCCACGCCCTGAATGCCCGCCCCGCCGTGCGCCCAGTGGTCCCCCACCAAGGCCGCTTGAACGTTCGGAAAAGTCGCACAGGTTTCACACGCGAGGCTCAACTCCGCGTCCGTATCCGTTTATCCAGTGCAAAAACTAGTCACGTCGTCCCAAGTGCAGAAAAGAGCCTAACAAGGCTCTCATGCAGAGCTTCAGCTTTATCGATAAGAAACACGTGAGCAAGAGCAGCTAATGCAAATAAAATCCTGTCGTGCATCAAGACTAATATGACTAATGACATGGGGACCGGGGACCACGGCCACGTTTTTGCTCAGGATACCGTTGGGAACTTGTTCACCGAAATGACGATCGGCAGCCCGAACTTCGCCAGGTTTTCGCAGTGCCGCTCCACGTTGGCCAAACCAGTTTTGATTGCCGCTAAGTTTTCTGTTTTCAGCTCCTTCTCACCGACCCCGCCGTGCATTTTCAGTGCCCGGCAGGAGACCACCATCGCCACAACGTCGGGGATCAACCCCGCGGCTCGGCACTTGATGTCAATGAACTTTTCCGCCCCGAGGTCGGCACCAAATCCGGCTTCCGTCACGACGATGTCACCAAGCTCCAACCCGAGTTTGGTCGCCTGCACGGAGTTGCAGCCGTGCGCGATGTTCGCGAAGGGGCCCCCGTGGATCAACGCAGGGGGGTATGGGGCTCTCAACTGGTCCACTCTCAACTCCTGTTGCCTGGATTTGTCATGCGAAACTACCATAAACCGCCAGATGATCAAGCTACGTCGCATGACAAATCTCCGAAGGGCCCGCCAACATCTGAATCTGTGCCAAATCTGTGATGCAAAAGCAGCAAGCTTGCCACCTTCACTCTTGCTGTCCTCGCAATACAAGTCCTTGCAAATTCATGCAATACAAATTCGAGTTCGAGTTGAGAATGTAACGTTTGAGAACGCCATAGGGAGCCGCCGAGGGTTTGGACCAAATTCGGCTTAAACGCGTCCTTTAGCAAGGCCGCCATCGCACCGTGGGCCTTCAAGTCCCGGGCGGTTACCATGTCTCGTTTCCGCGTGTGGCCGACGACAATGTTGCCCAGCCGTCGCTCCAAATCGGGGAAATCGGTCGCGAGGCAAAGAATCGCCATGACCTCGGACGCCACGGTGATGTCGAAGCCGTCCTCGCGCGGGTAGCCGTTCCCCGGACCGCCGAGTGCAACCGTCAATTTTCGCAGTGCCCGGTCGTTCATGTCGAGCACGCGCTTCCAAGTGATGTATGAAATGCAAAAGCATCGTACTAGAAGTATCCTATAAAAATAAATCGCATGACAAATTTCCTCAGCATGAGAAAGAAAAAAGTAATGCGGATTTAACTTGAGAAAGAAAAATGTAATGCATGGATGCGATTAGTACGAGTACGATACTTTTGCAGGGGATATAATGCGGCGCACGTCGATCTCGGGCTGCTTTTTCCAGTAGATGTGGTTGTCCACCATGGCAGACAGCAGGTTGTGTGCATATAACAGTGAAGAACTCGTCGTACCCCTGCCCCCTCTCTTTTGTCAGGCAAAAGCACAGCTCAATCACACACGCCCTCATCTTCTAGCACTACTCGTCTTGCGTGGAAGATTTGTCACACAGACGCTAGTAATACATCGTTTTCGAGGACGTCGTCTGTACCCTGCAAAGGAAAGGGAGTGGGAGTAGAAGTTGCGCACCCTCATAGCGCGCTCGTGATCGCGTGGAAATCGCCCGTGAAGTGGAGGTTTATTTCATCCATCGGGACTACCTGGCCGTTGTGCATTGAAATTATGTTGTCTGGGAGTGGTTTTGAATGTTATGATGCGGAAGTTGAAGTAGGTGAAGGACAGCAGGAGCGAGACTTGTGTTGCATGGAAAGTACTACTACAGAAGTTTTCCTTTGTCGTGCCTCATGATGACACAAGCACAACCACAAGAAAATATAAGTAATTTCATACCTGCGACCAACCTCCCCCCGCAGCCCCTCCTTTCATCCCAAACACCGGCCCTAGACTCGGCTCCCGCAGACACGCGATGCTTTTTTTCCCGAGGAGCCGCAAGGCGTCGGTCAGCCCCACCGTGGTCGTGGTTTTTCCCTCTCCGGCTTTCGTGGGGGTCATACCAGTAACGAGTACGAGGCGTGAAGATGATATGCAATACAAATTTCGCGCACATGTACAAAATGCATCACAGATTTCAATTTCTTTGGCGTGTCGTGATGCTTGTCATGCTAAACTAAGATCGGGGCCAAGTTTTGTCATGCAGACACGGCATTTGTACGTGTGCGGGAAGTTTAGTTACTGTGGATAGATGATCGGGAAGAAGTAGACGAAGCGGAGGACAGAGACCCCTTTTCCCAAATACTCGCGTAGTACCTCTGCGCATCGATTTTCGCCTTGAACTTTCCATACGGATCGACAAACTCGTATGGGAGTGCCAGGTTTGAAATCGACAAAGTTGAAAAACTTGTGAAGCATAAAATCGGTACCAGTTGGACCCCCGCCCCATTTTTCAAGCGGTGCATGACAAATTTCGGGACCGTCTAAATCCAGTTTGTCATGCTGTTGCGGGACAGAAGGCGCCTTGTGTGATGCTTCTGTAGCAGCTCTACCGCAGACCCCAAACAGGCTGACAGTGGGCCTCGCTTGCCGTCCCTGCAAGAGAGGCACTTGATGCCTTGGAGTTTATGCATGAGAAAAGATTTCAACTTTGACGATTTCAATCCTGACGCTTCCATAACTCGTGCGGAATGTTGAGCAGTGCCGCGATCTCGGTCACCGGCCGCAGGCGCTATGCATTGCAAAAGTTGTATGATCTTGTTCATACTACTATTAGAAATCTTCGCATCACAATTTTTACCAAGTAAGTAGATCAAAAGCGGACGAGTTTGTCATGTCAGATAGGGTATAGACGTCCGTTTTCGAGTTGTACAAAGAATACTTTCGCAAAGGATAAGGGCACCTGCGCGGCTATCTGTTCGTCGATCGACTGCTTTGGTTTGGTCGGCTCGTCTTCGGTTTGTTGTGGGGGAGTCATATCCGCATCCGCGATTGCCGCAGCTGCTGCTGGCGGCGGTACTGCGGCGTCCTCGCTCATCGTTGCGAACGGTGGCGGTGGTAGGGGACCACGAGTCCTCGCTGGGCAGCGCAACAGTAGAACTCAATCCTCTACTCGTCAGATTCGTCACTAGAAGAGCAAGCGATATTAGCGCTAAGAGGTCTAGGCCTTTTTGCTCCGATACAAGAACTGCAAGGGAGCAGGGACGAGCCCATTTCATCTGCCTGCTGCGTGCCCTTTTCTCTATCGCTCGCTCTTTGATGTTGCTGTCTTTTGCCGCGACTGAGTACCGCGCAGTGAAGAACAAGAGGTGTTCTTGCCACAAGAGCAGGCGAATAAGTACAACTCAACGCCCAACCTCGTTCAGAAAGGGAATGAGGATAAATTGATCAGCTCTTCAACATGGCACAATCCAGCTGTTATGTGAAGACTCGGAAATCTGCGACAAGAATAGCGTCGGGTGATGGTTACAAGTAGACCACGACAAATATCATGGCAAGATTTTCAAAAGAAACTTTTTCAACATTATATATGGAATCGATAAAAAGTTATTGGCTTTCGGTCCGCGGTTGGTAGTTTTAGTTACTGGGAGGTGAAATTCTACAGAAGTAGCTGGATACATCGTTAGGTTTCAGGGACTAGTACGCCCAGGATGTGTCGCTTCCTTACATCGTCTGTGTTCAACTTCCTCGTCAGTCCTTGTCCACGGGGTCGATGCCCAAGCTCTGCAGCTGCGTATCCAGGAAAAAACACTTACGCCACCCCCATCCATTTTTTGCATGACAAACACTGCAGTTTATGGCATAAACTGCAGTGTTTGTCATGCAAAAAATGGATTTGTCATGCAAAACATGCAATTTGTCATGCAAAACATGCATAATATGCATGTTTTGCATGACAAATTGGATGGGGAGGGGTGTTTTATTTTCCTGGATACTGCGCCTCCAGTTCCTCCACTCGATCCTGCAATTGCGTGACCAAGATCTCCGCGTCGGAAACGGTTTCGTTTTGCTGCAATTGCTTCGTCAGTTTTTTGATCACAATGTCTTTCTCGTGGTTCTGCTTCAGCAGCTTCTCAATCTCCGCAACGGCCGCGCTCAGCTCTTTCGTAGCCACGTCGCGTTCGGCGACGGCCTGTGGTGAAGTTTGACATGGAATAAGCGCGCTCTTTTTCACACACAAGCTCATAGCACGACTCACAATGTCACTGGATGTCGTAGCATGCATTTTCATAAAAAATTATGCTGCACAACAACATCGAAGTCACATGCTCCGAAAAAAAAAAATACGTCCTCGGTATTCTTGTCCTGCTGCGCGAGTTCTTTTTCCAAAAATTTCGAGTTCACTTCCAATGTTTTAATTTTCTGTTCCAGAGCCTCGATGTACACACGGTCGTCGGCCAAATTCTCCGGTCGAAGTAACGGGCTCATCCGTATGCATTGCAAAAGTATCGTGAATCTATCTATCTATCTATCTATCTATCGGGCGGTTGGGAACTTTTTAGAACTTTAGGCGGTGCGCCCCGCTCCTCGCAGCTCGCACTTCTGATGGTGAGACACCGCAAAGAACGGCCAATACTGCACTTCTGATGGTGCACGTGAGGCTTGCCGCCAGTGCGGCTAGGCTTATGTTCTTAATTCTTATACTCCCACGGGCTACGCAACATTTCGCCCTGTTACTATCTGCAACTAGGTGCTACATGTTGACAGACTTTCATTTTTGCTGCAACACGGAAAACGGTAACGGAGCGTGTCGTGCAGCTTTTGCTCAGGAATGGCATTTGTCATGCGGTAATTACGATGAGAACGGGTCGCGCGATACTTTTGTACAGGATAATGTGCTTTGTGTTCGCGTTCGTTCTCGTTGCAGAACTACTTTGGTGTGTCGTATCCGGTATCCTGTGCAAAAGTATCGTAGTCGTACTAATTGCAAATATGCACGACAAATCTCCTTCCTAAGGTGAGACAGCATTACAAATTCCTCTTTTCTTCTTGCCAAAATTTTTTGTGATGCAATTTATACTAGTACGATACTTTTGCAATGCATATCCTGCCTGTCTGGCGTCCCCCTTGTCGTTCCAGCTGCCGACGCTGCAGTTGCACTGGTGGTGGCCGATGGAAAGAGGCCCCGGGCCTCCCTTGCCTGAGATTGCGATGCAGCGGTAGGTCGGGAGGGGGAATAATTCTGGGCGTTGTAGGCACCACTACTACCGCCGGCTGTGGATCTCTGCTCCTGCTGCTCCTGTTTGTCGCGGGTCAACAGGGAGGTAGAGATGTTCTTGTCGTCAAAGAGCCCACGAGGACCCGTAGTCGCCGCCGTAGTTTTACCCCGTTCCTCAGGCTGGAACAACTTCTGCGACAGAGCAGACGCAGACACGGGCTGCGGCCTGGCGGGGGGCGTTGAGTCTAAAAGGCCAGAAGAGCTTGTGCTGGTGCTTCTTATCCTGTCCTGTTCGACTTGGTCCGGAGAGACGGAGTTTTTCCCGGCTAACATGCGGCCCTGTTGTGATAGATTGCTCGTTTTATTTCATCTTCCATTTCTTTCGGGGACGAATGGGATTTTTCGAGATCAAGGGTACGGCTGTGAAGAATGTGTTTATGCAGCAAGGCGGTAAAAAAATCATTCGAATGCAAATTTTTATGATTTTTGCATGTAGAATTATTATTGTGTGGTAAATACGTGTGAGACTTCACTCTCGATTATCGCCTGCATCAGTTCCTCGTCTTCCCGGTTCCGCATCTCCGCTTCCTGGTTGCGGTCCGCCACAATTTTCGGATTGCGCTCCACTTTCGCCAATGCCCCGCAGCGGAAGCATTTGAAGTGCACGGTACCGGCCGGTACCCGGTTTTTCGTGAAACAGCTGCCGCAGGTGATGGTCTCCATGATGTTCTGTTGCAACGCTGCTTCGTCCACAGAGCCCAAAACTGCGTCGCCCGTTTCGTAGAAGTCCTGGAGGAAGGTGGAAGGAACAACCTCAGACTTTTTATCCAGGTCCTTATTCGACGAGGCCTGAGCCAAGGATTCAGCACTGGGGCGTCGTGAGGTAGTGGTAGAGTTTATTTGTTTGTCCTTGTCCTGTTTCTGTTTCGATTTCAGCAAGGAGGAGCGTCTCCGAGCCTGCGCGGTGAGTTCCGATAAGGTGCTGCGGAGACTTTGAAGTGCGTTTGGCATGTCTTTCTCTGTTTAACAACTAGAATATACTGCTTTTGAAAAAAGTATGAAACAAAAAAATGAATGTAGTCGATGTTGTGTCGAAGCGAATCAGAATCTCGTCCAGCACCTCCCTTGTCGCAGCGAGGCAGGCGGGTGGATTGCAATTGCTCACAGGGCGAAAAACGAACAAAATAGATACTCTCTCTGAAAAAAAGTGTATATGATCTATAGACTTGCTAGTAGCTATTATTTCGTCCACCTCCCGTGGTAGGCGTAGGTGCAGCGGTGGCCGCAAGCGCAAAAGCCAGTGGAAGCGCCCAAAACAATTATGCTGAAAAAAGTTTGTTCCCCGTACGTGTTTTGTGAGACCTCTTTGCCGCCTTCGTTTGCTGCCCTTTGCGTCTCTCATTCATCATTTGTGCCGCAACAAACCACAGCCCTCTCTAAAGTGCCTACGTAACCTCCTCTGCTGGTGCACTCAATACACTGACCTTTGACTCGGACTCACTGCTTGATCTTGCACTCATTGTGGCATGCATAGTGCTAGAAACCACGACGACCACGTGTTCGCACAAAATACTTAGAAGAAAGAGCGAAGGAGGAGGAGCGAGCCTGAACCTCCAGAAATTGATGACATCGCGGTAACGCGACAACGCGCGCGCGCCTTCACCTAGTTGAGGTTGCCAGAACTCCGCTTAACTTGAAAATGGCAAAGCTAGTAGAGCAGCACCGACTCCGATGCATGTACATGTTTGCAGTCCCCTCGTGTCTGTTTTTTTTGTCACTGTTGAAACTGTGCTGCTGGGTTCTGCCCTGTGATATTGTACAAGTGATAGCTTTTTGTTTCTTGGAAAATTTTCAACAGTGCGTCGTGTGCGTCGTTCGTCTTGGTCCGACGTTGTTGCTGGCTCATTCTGATTTTCAGCTCCGTACTTCAAACCATTTCATAGCTGTAGCTCCTGTTGTTGGATGTCGCCGTTGTTGTTGGCACACGACCTCCACCAGCTGCTCTACTGACATGCTACAACTTCCTTGCTTTTCTCGTCCGCCCTACTAGTACTCCCCGTCGTCGTCGTCGACCCCCCGATCTTCCTTCGCTGCTTCCACGGCCGCCATCTGGGCTGCAAACTGCATCAACGCCGCCTGGTATGGATTGTAAAAATGTCTGGGTCTGGAAACTTGTGATGCTGGGTGGCGTCTCATGATGAAGCCACAAATGCTGGCTCAGCATGACAAGTTTCTGAGCTTCTAGGTGTTGCCTATTCTGCATGACAAACTGCGTTTCTGCATCACAGAAAAGTGGAGCTCTTGGGTAACGTGCATGACAGATTTCAGAGTTATGCCAAACAAGCATGACAAACATGCATTCTTCCAGACCCAGACACTTTTACAGATGATACCTGGTCCTCCCCTCGGTCGCTGATAAAGTTCACCTATCCCGTGCAAAAGTATCGTACTCGTATAAATGCAAGTCTAGCATTACAAATCTTTGTCTTAAGGTAAATCCGCATTACAAATTTTATTTTTCATGCTGAGAAAATTTGTAATGCATTTATACGAGTACGATGCTTTTGCAGTTCATATCACCGACTCCCGGTTTTTCGGACTCGTTTCGTCTCGCCACGTCAGATGCTTCTTCGGGCTGGGCGGATCCCCGTCTTTTTTGATGATCCGCTTGCCCGCCTTGGCCTTTAAGTTGATGTTCTTCACCCCGAGACCGTCGATAACCAGCGTCTGCCCAGAGGACCGGTCGGGGCCACCTTTCTTGGGTGAACCTCCGGAAGAACCACGGGGAGACGGCGAACTTGCAGTGGCTTTGGCCTTCGGGGCAGCTTTCGCGACGGAAGCCACGTCTGTGGAAGACTTCCCAAAGGCCGTGCTCCCAGTGGCGATCGTGAGCGACCCGCCGCTGCCGGACTTCGCTTTCGCGGCGGGGGCCTTCGCTTTCGGTGGTCTCGGGGGCGACGGTGGAGCTATGCCTTGGAAAAGTATGCTTGTACGAGAGTGCAGGGTTTTGTCAACATGCTGATCTAGCAAAAATGCAAATCCAAATCTGTAATGCTTCACTGCAATGAGTTGTTTTTCGTTGTACGTCGACTTCTACCACTACGATCATACTTTTGTAGTATGCATAACAGCTGGCGCCTCCGCTTGGAAGGAGCTGGTGCTCATACTGGCAAGATTTCCGACGCCGCCGGCTTGAAGAAGGGCGAGAAGGTCGGCAGCACCCTTCTCGCCGCCGCCACTCTGTCATTAAAAAAAAAATTGTTCACACGATGAAAAACATGATGCGTATCATGATGCGGGACTACGAAATAAAGGTAGAGGTACAATCCATGATCAGCAAATCTTAATCTAAAGTAATAGTTGAACAACAAGTGAAGAAAGTTTACCGCAAGTTTTCCTTTAGAAAATCCCAATTGGTAGGACACCGCGGCGACCAGGCCGACCCCCACAAAGGACATTCCAGCGAGAATCATGTCTGGGGCCTCGACCGTTGTGTTTCCCGTCTTCGTGGTCGTTGAAGATTGAGACTCGGCTTGCGCCTGCGAGAAAGACGCCTGCTGGGTGGGACTGGGACCACCTGTACCTCCACCAAGGGCAGAGGATGAGCTGCTGCTGCTGCTCGGCGTGGTGCCGGCAGCTGCACTCCCGGACTGCCATGACGATTTGGATTTCATCGCTGCGAGAGTAGAAGTTGCACGACCATCAATCTCCAGCATGCTGCCGCCCCCGTGCTCTTTCCGCACGAGCTTGTTCGCGACTCGGGCTACTTCGTCAGAAGTGGTAGACAGGTCCTCGTGGTGGTAAAAACCGGGATGTTGCTGCTGGTGTCTGCTTTGTTGGACAAGATGATTGGGATGGTCGTGTTCTCGACCGGTAATGTTCAGCTCTATGAGGGACGAAGAAGAGGACGACGAAGACCCAGCTTCATTTTCGCTTGACCCCGTCATGGAACTTCTTCTACTAGTCTCCCGGCTACGTGCAGAACGGTGCACCGGGCGGCTTCCAGCCCTTTTTTCGTCTCGCAGGTCGGCCGACGTCTCGGTGCCCTGTCCTGTCTTCCTTGAAGACGAGCTGCTGCTGCTCCCGCCTCGTTGCTCCGATCTCAACTGCTGTGGTTGCGCAGCTCTCGACGTGGCGCTGCTCGTGGTAGGCTGATCGTCAAGGAAGACAGGGTGGTCTAGGTCCACCTCCGGGGGAGCAGTAGTGCCACGACGTCTTGTGCTCCTTGAAGTAGCTTCTTCTAGTGGCGCTGTCGCGGCCCCCGGCGAAAAAACGTCGACATGGGGAAAAAATTCGGAAGTGTCTGCGTCCGGGTCCAATTCAAACTCGACACTGGCACTGCTGGCAGTTGATGAACTGGATCTCAGCACGTCGACGCTGCCTGGGTTGTTGCTGGCTGCGTCATGGATCCTTGCCACGACTGCGCGGACGAGCTGGAAAAGGACGGGGAAGCGCGGTCCCCGGGAGTTTTTACCACATTTTGTCCCGCAGCAAGAACTACGAAGCCCAGTGGCCGCGCCACTGCCCAAGGCTGCATGCCGTCGTCCGCTCGGACGCCCGTGATGGGGTCGTGACAATGACATCGTCTTCTGTCTCTGTTGCTATCTTCTTCTTGATGTTGTATGAGAAAAATGAGTACTTAAATCATACAGGCTTGTTGCTCAACACACCTCGTCTAACATACCTTGCTTGATGCGATGAGTCGTGTGCTCGTGTAGATCTACATCCACGACTCCCGAGCGGCAACGCGGTTTGATTCGATTACCGTGCGTGGCGGTCCCACATTCGATTCATACAACTGGTCGAGCGCAAGAAGAAGATAAACAGAATGCGCACCCGTTGTAACCATATTGTTCCTGCGTGAGGTCTACGAGTGCTAGTCAGCGATGTTACGAGTCTCGTCTCAAGTACTAGAACTCTCTCCAACCATTCGCTCTTTTTCTCTTACTTCTTCGTTCTTCCCATCGCAGCTCGCTATATTAGACAAGAAAAACGACATCGCCCACACCATACGTTTAAACGACATAGATGTTTGTTTTGTCACTGTCACATCAGAGACGGAATAAGGGCTTCCTGTGCAGCCGGACGCTGTAAATTCTTTCCAGACGCAGGCGTTGTTTGAGTGGCAGTGGGTAGAATCAGCTACACGCTTGCCGCATCTGTAGACAACATCGTGGTGCCACGGCGTCATCATCTATCTTCTTGTGGCAGATGAGCATGAGCGCTATCTTCTCATGGAAGCAGGGCGTAGCAGAATATGATCAAAAGCCAGGAGCTATTAAATCAGAAGAAAACCATCTTCATGAAACCCGCCCGGTCAAGAACATCATGTGACTGACGCCAGCTTGCGTATTCTGGTTTTCAAGCTCGCGTTTTCCGATTCCAGCACCCGGATTTTTTCGTCTTTCTTCAGACTGTCGACCTGCAAGGTCCGCACCTGCTGCTGCAACTCGTCACTGCTCCCGTAGCCGCCCATACCCGCGGACGTGGCTGCGGCGTGGTTTACCGCGTCAGCGTACAGTCGCGACACGCGCTCCACCTCCCGCTGCAGTCGATCCTTCTCCTCCAAGAGTCTCGCGTTGCTCGTCATGACCCGCTCCATGCCCTGATCCTGACTGGTCTTCGCCTTCTCCGCGTCCTGGGTAAGTTGCTCGACCCGCTGCGCCAGGCGGTTGCGCTCCTCTTGCAGTGCACGGTAGCTGCGGCCACCGGCGGAAGATGAGCTGAGCGGGAGTGGTTCGTTGAAAAGTGGAAAAGAATCTTCAGTGCGACCAATCTAGTCGAAACACGAACATTTTGGAACAGCATGTTTGTCACAGAAAATTCTACTTCTACCTTGATCTACTTCTCAGCACAACTACCACAAGAAAAAATTACGACGACATGAAAAAATATATCAATGAATACTGCTCCCCGCCTCCGAGCCCGGGTGAAACACCCGCGGAAATACTAAACGGGTCCCCAAACGGTGAGGTCGATGAACTTGCAGACCCGCCGACGGTGAAATTGTTCATCCCACTACCACCGCCAGAAGGAGATGACATGCGGTTTTGCAACTTGTCATATTCCCCCTTCACGTATACAAAGTTGCTACTAAGCTCCGCCTTCTCCCGGTCCGCCCGCTCCAGCCTGCGCACTAACTCTTCCCTCTCCTGCAGAATCTGGTCGTTGTCTATGCGCAACCGCCTCATTTCCGCGTTGGACGGCTCTTGGCTCCGGAGAAGTCGCCGGTTTTCTTCTTTCAGCCTTTGCAGTTCCTGCTCGATCTTCGAAGTTCCGGCGCCACCAGAGCTGTTGCTTCCAAAACCCATATCCCCAAACGGGTTCCCGGCGAGCTTGGCCTTGTGCTTCTCCTGCAGAATTTGTCTCCTTTGCTCCTCCAGCTCAATCTTGAGGTGCGTGTTTTCTTGCTGCAGGTTCTCGTACTTTTTCAGCGGGACGCTGGTCGCGGCATGGAAAAACGGATCCGGGTTCAGTCGACTGGCACTGGTGTGGTCTGTCGGAACGCCGGGACCACCCTGAGCAGACTCGTTGGTGGTGACCTGTAGGTGTGAATGAAAGTAGCACTTGGCCAAACGAAATAAAAGTACTTACATGACCAAAAACCATAGAACCGACATACCGCTACCGATAGCGAACTTTTTCAGGGGAAGAGGGCTAATCTTACTTCATCAACCTGCATTTTTTTCTCTGTTCGTGCATGACAGGTTTCTTCTTCTTCTACCTGATCCTGCAGATCCTGTATCATGCCCGTGAAACTGGTAATTGTGTCGTGGAGCTGATCGTCGAGAAAGGTCTTCTCGTTGGCAATTTTGTGGTACTGCTTCTCGATGGCTATTCGGGTTTCCAGCTGCCGGATTAACTCGCCCCGCAGCCGGTCGGTGTAGAGACAGAGATCCAGCTGCGCGGCTTGGTAGTCCTCGGTGTTCAGCATGCCGCCGTGGTTGATTGGGTTCGAAAAAACCTGTTCCAGAAGGGCCGCGGTGGCGATGTGCCTGAAATTTTTGGAAGATGAGCAGAAACTACAGGGAACCACTGAAACTTTTCGGAAGATGTGTCCCGCCTTGATGAGCAGGACGAAGAGATGAAATAAATCAATGCCGTCGACGAGGATCCAGTCGTAGAAGGTGGATTTGACTTCAGCAATCATGAGAGACTTGATACCTTCTGGAATGGAAGCAGCGAATGGTGAGCGCGATCAAGTCCCGGGACTGGCGACTCAGGGAGCCGAAATGCATCTCCGTGCTGGAGTCTACCAGGAGCTTGAATTTCAGCGTATCCAAGGGGTGAATCAGCACCCGCGGGTAGTCGCCGGAGTAGGTAATGGAGATTTCGCGGTCAAACCTGATGTTGTATGGGCGTTCTGTGCAATACAAATCCAAGGAGTGAGCACCCTGAAAAATATAGGCCTGCAAGGCAAACACAAGAAGTTCAGCGCCATGCTCTTGGAGTTGGAAATGGAAGCTAAGCAGAAATAAGACGTCGCTCCTTATGGCACCAGAGCCGTTACTACTAGTACTATGCACCTCTCCGTCATCCCTGGCTGAATCACTTTGATTTCGTCCGAGGTCACATGCAGCATGTAGTTCTGCTTCGGCTCGTTCTCCTTCTTGTAAAACGTCACCGGAAACCGGCTTCCTCCCGCGCCGATGCTGTTGTCCAGACTGCGCCTCGTGCTGGGGTCCAGCTGAAAGGGGCCAATCTCCCCGATGGCCACGCCCCGGTAGTGCAGGTGGTTCGGGTCGGCGAGCCGGGCCTCCACGACGATTTTGCACCCAATGTCGTCCGCCGAAATCTGGTACATATTGGTCGAGATGCCGGCGATCTCGACCAGGAGGCCCTCGGCCGCGAGGGAGGAGCTAGAGGAAGAGCTGGAGGAGGCGTCTAGGATCCTGGGGGTTTGTTGTAGAGAAAGGAGGGTTCTTGAGTGAGTTTGAATGTGCAGCACGAAACAGATGCAGCATGTTGTTGATCCATGGGAGGAGCTACAACTGTCATGATGCGTCTCCCAGAAGCAAACAACAGTCTTCTGGCACCACTTCTGCAAAATAACAAGCGTATGAAGATGAACCGTAACCATGTAGTTCGCCTGTAAAAACAGAAAGTAGAAACTGAAACGTAAAAAGAAACAAAACAAGTAGAAAAAATACCGGAAGATGATACCTCCGCTTCCAGGTGCACTTGATCCCGAGTGGGAGTTCGGACCCGGACTCGGCCTTGCGCTCGTTGGCGGACGCGACCAGGATGCCGGTGTTCGAAAACGCGGCCCCGCCCTCCAGGCGAACCGAGAAGTCGTAATTGTAGTCCCCGCGGACCACGCCGTAATTCTCGGCTCCAACCATCTGTCCCGACATAATGCCGCGGATGAAGTCCACGGCGCGGCCGTGCAACGGACTCACGCCAGACTGCATGTTGACGGAGCAGGTTTTGTGCTTCCTCCGTGTTCTTTGTGGTCTTAAGAAGAGCTCCAGCACTCACGGTGCCTGCGTTATTCGGCTGGTGGTTTACAAATCCAAGAAAACTTCAATAATGCGTCTACGACTGGTCAGGGTTAGCGTCAAATCTGTTGCAACATTTATGTTTCTTGAGCGGCGTGCGTGTGGTTCTGAAATACCATTTTTACAGTGATGAACCCATAAAAGGCATCTTCCTCGTCCACTGGCAACCAAAATGTCGAGAAGCAAGAGGATCTTCAGATGGAAAGCGCGCTCAAAATAAAGAACTTGCGCTACACTACAACAGAAACAGATCATGCTGTAGACTGCAACGAAACAAGAAATGCCAAACACAATGACTCCACCAACACAGGTTCGAAGAGAAGCGCAGACGCCACGCACCCACCGACGACGTTGGTGGCCGCCGCCGAGTCAGACCTCTGGGCGTGCGAGCTCCCCTTGCATTGATTTTTCATTTTGTTCTGTTTTCGATTGAAGCAACGCAAGATAGATAGAAAGGCGGCCGGCCGGTTAGAATTAGAACCCACTTCGCGGGCGCCCGGAAAACACTGGCCACCCTACCAGAGGAGACATAGGGCGGGGCACTACACGACGGGCCACCCACCGCCCCCGCTCGCGCTCGGCCCCTTCAAAAATAAAGAAAACAAAACACGGCGAAAACCCAAACACGCAACATGGGCGCGCGCCCTCGCCCTGTGTCTGGGTGCCAATCGCCCCCCCGCCTAGAAGCCCGCCGGCCTGGGAGGGGCGGGGGGGAAGCTTGCGGCGCGAATTGCGGCGGCGCGCCCCCGCGGGTGCCTGCAACGAACGCACGGGGGCGCGCTCGCTGCCGCCCGGCGGACTCACGCCCGCCCCCCCCGTGCGAGCGAAGGGCTGCGGCCGGCCGGGGATCGGATTGGGCGCGCGCCCCGGCCCTGGCTTTGACATAGATAACAACAGCGAGCGCCGGGGGCGTCGGGGCGCAGCGTCTGCCCGCGGTGTCCCCCGGCAGGCTTCGCGCGTAGTGGCATATGTTACCGCACGCGATTCGTCCCCATCGTTCTCTCGACGCCAAGGGCGCGCCCTCGGAGAAGCAATTTTCTGCCCCGGCAAAGTAAGACGCGGCCAATCGAATCCGGCAAAGAATGAAACGGCCGCGCCCCCGCCGGGCGACTCGGTTGCTTTGCCTACGCAACTTCCGCCCGTGTAGCGGTTGGCGTCCACATCTCGTCGCGGCCCACCCAGAGGGAAAGGCGCAGGCAGGTCCCCCACAGCCGCGGCCCTAGAAACACCGCGCCCACCCGGCCACGCGCCGGGTGAAGGGGCACGGAACGAGGGGCGGCAGGAACCCCGACCGGCGCCCCACCTGCTCGCAATGCCGGCAGCCGGCGAAGCCGCTCCACATGCTGGGTGGGCAAGCGCAGAACTTCACCAAAACAATGCCGCCGATGCTTTTGATGCTGATGGCGGTTTTCCACTTTGAAACGCCGACCCTTGGCTCATACACTTCCCCGGGGCTGGCGGCGCGGGTAGGCAGGTCGTCGGCGCTATGCGCGCTGGCAGGCCTTGCCCAATCGAGGGCGCTGCCTAGTTGGCCCAGTGCCTGGCCGACGGCGGAATGTATGCCCGGCCGTCATTGGCGCAACCTGTCCGGGCGTCATCTCATTCATATCCACGACGGCGGCGCCGATCACCAATCTAACAACGCCGCGCAGAAGTACACAGCTGGCGCGCTGTCCCCTCTATCTCACTCCGTCGCCAGTTTCGGCCGCGGGGGCCGCGCCTGATGTCGCTCAGTCGGGTGCTTGGCTGTAGCCAATCGAAGGAAGCGCGCCAAAGCTCGGCGGGCACGCGGCGCCCTTGTGCCGGTCCTGCAGGGCGCCCCGCTCGCACGAGAACGGCGGCCGGTGGGCGTCTATGTTCCGCGTGATTGCTGAGCGGAACAGGCTGGCTGGCCTGGCGTCCCGGACCCAAAGGGACCCGAAACAGGACGGCCCTGCTGGGAATGAAGCTGCGCACGCATTCTAGTCTTCGCGCGATGTATTTCCACAACACGATCGATTTTATTTTTTTGTTCCCGCTGGTAGCGCCTGGTTGATCGGCTGACGAACAACTCAACTTTACGCGACACGCAAGAGCAAGCCGAAGCCAAGACAAGATCATGGCATGCCTGTCTACAACTACGTACTTCTGCTGGCACCTTCGATTTCTTGAAGTTCGTCATTTTTTTACGAGAGCACACATCTCTACACTTCTCAGTTCCAGAAGGTGCCAAGCCTTGTGTGTGAGTCCTCGATGCATCGACATGGGTCTTGCAATCTTCTCTTCGGACTCATATTGCAACACATCGAAAGTGGAACGCGCTTTGGGTTGGAAGCCGAATCACGTTTGGTGCGCCGGCGCAGCCCCTCGTTATCAACTTCCTGCGCCCACCAGTCCAGGAACGCCGCCTGCTCTTCGCAACTGATCATACTCGCTTAGCGAATCTACACCGCGCAACGTGGTCACCACCTCTCCCGCCTCAACTTTATTCCCAGACACCACTATGCGCACCCTCGCCGGGGGTTTTGGCGGAAAGTACATGGCCCGGATGAAGCGGTCTTTCTGACGCCGGTCCCACTTTTCGTTGACGATCCCGTCCTCTGGAAAGCGCTTGTAGTGGTACGGGTACTTCTGCTCATCTAGCTCCACCGTCGCGGTCCGTGCCTGCTGTATCCTCGCGACTTTCTCTGCTTTAACTTGATTCCTAATATCAACTTCAACTTGTAGACCAACGGTTTCTCTATCTCCTTGTACTTCCTCGTCACCTGCTGCAGCCCCCCGTATCCTGCCCCCCACCTCCTCCGCGAAAAATAGTTGCAGCGTCCAATCGAAACAGAGCTCCAGTGCGTGGAGAATTTTCCGGTTCAGGGAGAGCGCCGTCTCGATCCCCTCCGATATCGGGATTGCGTGCTGGTGGTAAATGGGGCCGCTGTCGAACCGCTCCAGCATCTCGTGCACGGTCACGCCAGATTCCTTGTCGCCTTCGAATATCGGCCAGAACTGGCACAGGCTGCCCCGGTGCTTTGGAAGGAGGGACGGGTGCAGGTTGACCGCGAGCCCTTCCGGAACGAGCTGGAGGACCTGAGAGGAATAGTAGAGCACATGACTGTGCATCAACGTCAAGTGCTGCGGCGTACTAGACGATCTAGTCTTATTTACAAATTTTGCGTGACAAATTAAGTAAGATTTTTCCGGCAAACAAATTTTGTACGTAGTAAGTGGTACCTCAAGTTGAATTTTCTTCGGATACAAGACGGACACGATAAAGTCGGGCTGGAATTCTGCGCACCGCGTCGCCACGTCTTTGCGCTTTACCGCCGCTTGCTCCTGCACTAACCAGCCGTCGAAGAGAAAATCTTGGTTCGCCGCAAGGAGATTTTTCGGCGTGGACACCGAGGCCGCGGCGCTCATGCAGCCGCTGCCAGAAGACGACGTTATTTGATGCTCCTGAGAAGAAGTAGTTGCATGTCTGTTCTGGTCCACTTCTTCTACTACACCGGTATGCGCGGTCGTAAGAGCCGCTGCCTCTACTGGTACCGCCTGTCGTGTAGAAGTTCCTGCTTGTGTTCTTTGTCCTTGAGTCTCCTGGAACAAAGTGTTGTCTGCATTTCTCACTGGCACATCGCCCGCGGTCAGGACCAAAACTTCCAGACCCGGCACCACCGCCGCCTTGTAATGCTGAATCCAGACCAGCAGTCGGGACAAAATCTCGCTTTCCGTTCGCGTGAAAAGCAAGAGACGAGTGGGAGGAGGAGGAGGAGGAGAGACAACTGGAGGTGGCATCATTCATTTTTATCGGAGGGAAGAAGAGTGGCTTTGAAAAAGCAATTGTGTCGGGTTGAGACGACGAAACCCAATTTTCAACTCTGATCAATTCGCATAGGTCGCAGCCGCTACAGCAATATCTGATCTTCGAGTAAGTACAAGAAACGCATTGATTTAAAAAAGTAGCGCAGCGACGTTGTATTGTTGACCACCAGCAGAAAAATAAATCCATACTTGTTTGATAGAGCGGAGCGGGCAACAGTGCAGATCTCTTTTGTGGTAAATGCGACAATCAGCATCAGTGAAGACGGATGCTAGTACGCGCTATCGCGGTTGCGAAGCAAGGAGATCAGACACGACAAATACGAGCGAAAGCAAGCCGCACTTCAGCAACAAGCAAAGACAAAACACGGCGAACCTCCCTTCTACTCTGTCATCATTTCGTCGTCCGTCGAGTTGTTCCTTGGTAAGTTTTGAGATTCTATTGTATGTCTTTTTCAGCAGAAGAGAAAAAAAGTTGAAAACGATTTGTATTGGTTCATTTATTAGGAAGATTATTTCGATGTTGTATTCCATTCGTTTATTTGCGAGTCCTCGTCGAGCGCGTTCCCCCGGGAAAATTTTTGCTTCATCGTGTCTAGACCACGATTTTTACGAGTAGTTTCTGTCCGGCGAGAGGAAGACGTTGACGCACAAGATCTAGCAGTGTAAGCGGAAAGGTTCTTTGTTCTCAATGGGGTAAGCACGTCGGAGCAAATGCAATCGCTTAGTTAATAGCGGAGGTGGCGGTGGCTATATTCTTTAAGTAAAAAGAAGTCGAAAGTTGTTCAGACTTTGTACAGTGAGGAGCATGTCCTTTTCTTGCGTTAGTCGGTGCTAGAATATTTCAAAAAATTAGGGCCTGTGGAGTCGTGCGCGCTGTTGTCACTTGCAAAACCTAACAATATCGTGACATTTTTTTCTTCTTTAAACAAGAATAAACTGAAACCGATTTTGAAAAATGAAACGCATAGACTTTCTAGCTTTCGTCGGTCTTCTTTTCAAAAGAGCTACGGAACGAGTGGAATTGAAACGCCGAAGAGGAACGTGCAATAACACGCTGTCAAGGCGCAAAAGCATCGCTTTGAAAAAATAATTCCCGCACTGGCGGGGAGCTTGAAAGTAGGATCTACATCTACACACAATTTTCATAAGATGCCTGGAACTGGATGCCTATTGGCTTTTTGAAAGATGGCGGAGAAATCAAATAAGTAAGTATTTTCTTCAAAGGGACCACCACTTTTGTTCGCTCAAGAAGTCAAAACATTCGCGAAGCGTGGTCAAAACTTCTTTTAGTTTTAGAAATAGACGCGGTATGATGAAAATTATAATTACGAACAATTCGTTTTCGCAAGAGCAAGAGGGCAGGAGCAAGCAATGTCGATGGTAAAAGGAAAAGCGAGAACGATACCTTCACATGATATCAAGACATGACAATGGTCATGTTGATGTTGGTGTAGCTACGCTAAAGCAATTATGAAGTAGAGCTACATCCGGCGTCGCCGTCAGCTAGCACATGCAGACTGTACTAATTGGTGAAAGACTCACTAGAAGGAACTTGCGCAACGAGACCTCGGGAAAATTCTAAGGACAAAGTAACCAAATACTTTGAACTTTTTTATTGGAAAAGTTCCATCAAGTTATTACTGTAGACGCACAAGAAAAGTCAGTCAGAAAGAAAAGAAAAAGCAAAGAACGATGGAATACTTACTTTACAATTTTTATTGTTTAGAACGGCCGAGAATGAGCATTTGCTGCTGCATCCACGCCGCAAATATAAAGATCTTACGGAATTCTCATTTGGACTGGTTTTTAGCCTTTTTCTTTTTTTAGCCGAGATCACACGTCGAAAACTACCGAAGAAAATGTCAATAACAGGCACAGATACAGTACTCCCGTAACTCTACGCACCAGAGAAGGAAGACCAAAACAAAAACTCGTATCAACTATCAAGTTTTATTAAAGAAAAGAGAGCTAAAACGAAGACCACGTCAGAGAAGTAAGCTGCTTTCCTGCCTCTAAGATAGAACCAAAGCGCGCGGCTTGTCGGCGTCAGTTCGTATCCAGAAATAAAGTACTGCCGCGAATGGTATTTGCGCTAATTGTGTCATTTCTCATTTTTGGGTTCTTGCTGCCTGAGTATTCCTACTTATTCACCTGAACGCTACAAGATCATACACGAATTCGCGCTCGGGCTCGCATTCTAGATGTAGTGTTTCTTCCGCTGCTTACTTCCTAGTCCTCATCTGTCACGTTTTTTAGTCGATCGATTGCAAGCGACTTTCTGAGTGTCATCGAATTTTTATGTAAAAATATACAACAAAGAAGAGGCCGCCTGCTCTACTTCTAGTGAATTGATGTGTAAAAATATCACACGGATACTTACGCCAGCCGTCCGCCTCTGGCCGACTGTCGACGCGATCAGAACCCGAAGCAAGTTCAACTGATCACCATGGTATACAGAAACAAAAGACTGCTCCGCAATTATGCTCGAGTACTATGTATATGTAAATGCAGCCGCCGCCTGCTCTGCATCAGGATATTTGATTTCATATTTGTAGAAGAACCTTCAAAAACTATAATGCTAGTACTTGTTCCTGGTAATAATGAATCCCAATGTGGCGCTGAGGTTTCGTTCTATTATAGTTCCATGGAATCATTATTTTGTTCATGCGTGTCGCCGTTCTTGGTCTAGGAAAGTCGTCCCGCTGGTGTGGTTTGTAGCATGTGAAACAATAAGTAGACAGACCCGCCTTGCCACCGCGTAACGTTCCAAGACTTTATCCAGAGACGGCCGCACACAGAGGGTTCTAGTACCACTCTCACTTTTTCTTTTTAATTTTGTGTTATTCTTATTTGCTGATCATGATCTGAGAAATAAATCTATCATTTTTATTGCGGACCACTGGAAATGGTCCCTTCGCCACGCACCTCCTGTTTCACATACGGCCCCTGGTGCTCTGACGCAGCTGCTCCTGTAGAAAAGTAGAACGGTGGCACGTCCTCCTCGTGCGGCGGTCCTATACTCGCGTCATTGGCAATCGAGACGAGATCCGACAGTCCAGTGTGACTGCCACTGGCAGCACTTCCGGTGCTGCCCGTTCTTGAAAGAGTGCTGTTCTCGCGATGAAATAGTGTTGTCGTCGTGGCGAGGGAAGAGGAAGATGGTTTTCGCTGCGGAAGTGGATCTCCTCCTCGGTGCAGAAACGACATCTGCCCAAGAACCTTCCCCGGCGCGTGGTCAAGCACGTCCGGCATGGGTGTCTGGCACACAAAAATCGCCCCGGGGTCTTCTACTTCACGGATGGTGCGCCGCACTTGTCCTCCGTCTTGTTCCACCTGTAGTTCTTCTTCGCAGTCTTCGTCGCTAGTACTTTCAGAAATCTTTTGCGAGGACGGCGGGATCTTGCGCATGCGTCTGTGTTCGGCGAGTCGTGATTTCGAAGTTGTACTCCCATGGCCCCTGGATCTAGAAGTACTTCCGCCAGGACCTCCACGGTAATTATTGTACCAAAAACCTGGAGCTTGAACCGCTGAACAAGGAGAAGCGGCTCTACTTCTGTCATCCTCGGAGAAGAACGAGCCGTCATCTTCGGAACCGTCGCGAAAATCTCCCTTAACATGATCTCCGTCTCCCGGCAGCACTGGTAATCCTAGCATTTTCACGTCCTGAACAACATCATCCACGACCCGCGAGGCAGAAGTACTAGCACAATTCCCACTAGTACTAGGACTAGTTGCACCTCCGCCTCCAACAAGTTCCCCACTGGGATGCTGAAAGGCATCACCTTCAGAAGCGAACGCGGATGTGGAACTGCAGTGCGCCCCCTCTTCTTCAATCCTGAATAGCTCATGTCCGGAAGAGAAGGACCGTTGTAGGGTGGAGAATTGATTCAAACTACCGCGTCTGCGAAAGCTATCCGGATCGCCGGACGAGGAGTCGCTGAACGATGCCGCAGTCGGAGAAGATGTGGGTGCAGCACCGCCCGCCGGGCTTCCTAGTCCTTCGACTGGAGACTGTGTAACTGCCAAAAGCGACTCGTGCAGCGCCGCCTCAATCTCGTTCTGCAATATCTTCAGATCCTCCTCTTGCATTTTTGGGTCGGCGGAAGCGGGCTGAAGAACAAAGTCTCGAAGCAAGTGCTCATCGTCCTTGGCCGCACTGCCGCTGTGATGTAATTTTGTCGTTGAGATAACCATATCGTGATATCCATCTTGTCATGTGATCACTATTCGGGGGAAGATCAAAATTTGATAAAATTGAAACCACGACCAACTACATCAACATGACGGAACAACGAAGACGATCATCATAGAGCGTTTTAAGATCGATGCGCCTGAGTTGTATTTTGCCTAACACTAAAGTTGCGCTCCATCTTTCATAGCCGAAGCGCAGTATACTACCTTGTTGGTCCCAACCCCTGAGGTGAAAATCCCGACGCAGTACCCCTATCCCCGCTGCCACCCGAAAACTGTCGCAAGGGGGATGCGGTCAAAGGCGAGCTTGAGCCTCTCGTCGGGGAGGAAACTCCGCTTCCAAAGCTTGTGCTAGACGAACTGCGAGACCGGTCAGGCGGTGAGAAGTGAGGGCGAGGCTCCACTTCGGCCGCGCCGCTGCCGCCAGCGCTAGTCCCTCGTCCAGGTGGTGAGTTCATCCGGTGGTGCCTGCCGCGGCTGCCACACTGTTCCTCATCGTCGCTAGTTGTAGCTAAACCAGCCAGATTACAACTCACACTACTGGAAGACTTTGACTTGTGCATCCCCTTGCCCGCCCTGGAAAGACCACTACTGCTGGCGCCCTTCAGGAGTTCCGGTTCTTCGGCCCGAGCTGCGTACGGCCCCAAGCTCGCCAGACCCCCGTCCACTTGTTCTACGCGCTTCAAGGGTCCCCCGTCCGGCGGGGAAGGCACGCGTGGTCTACTACTTCTCTTGCCGGACCGACGGGACGAGGAGGATTTGGAAGGCTTAGGTGGGGCACCTCCGCCACGCAGACCCTGCGCCACACCGAGAAGGAACTGCAACGCGGCGCCAACGCCTGCAGGTGTGGGGGTACTAGACGTGGGGCTTCGGTCGGACGACGCGGAAGAACTACCTCCTGATGAAGACGCAGACCCGAAGGCACTGGCAGAAACACGACGTGGGGAAGATGCGGAAGCAGATGCTGCAGCTCCACCTGCGAAGCTTGATGCTCCATCGGTCGCAGCTGTCGTCGTGGTGCCGCCGACTACAGGCGTGCGCTGCTGTTCGGAATGATCACTTGAAGGCTCTTCTGCTTGTTGATGTCCAGGTGCAGCTCCTGGGGAAGACGAGCCGGCGCTCTGTTGGTGCTGCATTCGGCGTAGAAGTGTGTAGCAGCTGTGCGTCACTAGCCGCTGCATCTGTTTCACGCTCATCGTTGGGATTTGCGGCATTCGTGCGCTACCGGCCTGGGCGAGCACAGTTTCAAAGAGGCTCGCCATCAGGGTGAAGCTGTGTTGGCCCCCGCTGGCGCTGGGATTCGGATTCGCCTCTGCGGTTGCAATTGCTCCGGCACTGCTGCACACGGCTGCCAGTTGTTGTGCTGCATGATCCGGCGACTGGAACTGGGTCGACGCCGGCTGATCCTGCAGTTGGAGTTGCAGCGGGTTTGTGCTGGAAGTTCCTCTGCTGGTGGGGGATCTCACAAAAGAAGGCTGCGCTGTGATGTTGTTGTCCGGTGGTCGGGAGGGTGCGGAAACGTCGTGCAAGGACTGTACCGCCGAACCGCCGGTCGTGCTAGAGCCTGCTAGTGAAAGCGGGTCGACGGAAGTTCTCAAAGGAGACGTTGTGCTTGTAATGGGATTTTTTCTCTTATCTGCACTCGCTGCGGTGCCCACACTCCCATCTCCGCGCGTGGAGGGAACTCCTACGGTCCTTCTGAGTGATAATCCTCCGGCGATCGCGGCGGAGTGGGCGAACACCAGTGCGAACGCTACAATTCTCATTTTTGGCGCGCCAGAGTACAAATGCAATCGCTGTTCGGTCATTTTGTGGTTTTTTGAGACAAAAAATTGGAGAAAACCTCCTGGCGTAAATATCAACTGATTTGCCTTCTTTTTGATTGATTCACCGGCGGTGGCGGTGCATATCGATATCGTGTCCGAAATAAATATTATCGTTCTGTTGATGACTTAGCGTTGGTTAGGTTACTTAGGTTCTTTAGGGCATTTCTATTCGTTTACTCATTCTTGAAATCGTATTTTCATCGCTTGTCGTAAGAGTCAGATGCTGAAGACGATACCGCTAGTAACCTAGATAAAGAAATCGCTTTCCACTCTGTTAATGCTATTTGTCGTGTTCATCCATAAAGATATTCTATAGCTGCGCTAGTAGATACTTAGATAGTGCTGTCTGCTGCGCTGCTAGTGCTATAGATGTGCGTCAAAATAAAAAGATGCGTGTTGAAGCTTAAGCGCAACTCATCAATTTGGTCTGTGTGAAGATCTTATATTGGTTTCTTGAAAAAAAACGTGCACAATTGCAAGAATTTTCATTTTTCTTTATAGCTTTTCCTTTTCGACTGTGGAGAATAATTTTTCATTTGGTGGGAAGGAAACAATCAATCTCACAGTGCAGCAAGGCGAGAACAGTTCCAGCAGGTAAGTGTGCTGGAATTTGCTTTTCGTTTTCCGTGTTCTTGTTCATTCCAGCTACTTCATGTAAGCTGTTGGACAATAAAAGTTTATATCTTGATCGTCAGCGAATAGCACCTCATCATCATGAGCGCAAATCGCAAATAAAACGCGTGTGCGCGTCGGCTACTTACCAAGGTCTTTGCTCGTGTTTTTCATTCAAATATCTTTCGACTTCATCGTTTGTCTTTGTTCGCTACATCTACCCCTCATACTTCAAATAGTGATCGTGGAAGATCTCGCGTGACGAATGTGCTGTCCTCCACAAGCAACTGCGAATGAGGAATGTGTTTCCGGTTTGGCTCGTCTTAGTTTTTGCGATCTACTTTAGTTAGAACGAGCTGGCGCAGGAAAAGAACCAGGAGCGGAAATCTCCGGACATACAACTACCGCACTGACATTTTAGCAACACTCCTGAGCCTGGTGAAGATCTTGAGAGGTGGTTCCTCATCGTGTCCGCTCGGATCTTCCACTATAGAGAGCCGAGGTGGAGGAGGAGTCCACTATACGAGATGATCTTGATGTACTGTTTGCGCGTAGTACAACGCCCTTCCTCTACATCAACTCCATGAGCAACAGGTGAAAACCCATGTCAACATTCTATCTCAAACCTTTTCCGTGAGAATTTTGTCCAGTTCTCTCTCCAACGCCGCCACGCGACTCCGCGTTGCCCCCTGCCCACTGTCCTCTTCCGGGACGAGGTCGCCTATCACAAGGAAAAGTCTTAACGTTAACGCTTTTCACAGATTGCAGTCATGCATCACAAATGTAGCCCAATATGCATGCTATGCATTACAAGTTTTGGCATGTTTATCTTTATGCCTTGCGATGCATTGCTGCATCACAAATTCCGTTAACGTTAACACTTTTTGCTGTGATATCGCCCGAGATGTCATCCGGAAGAACGTCCGAAATCTCCTGCGAGATATGCCCGATGGAGGAGACACTCAAATTGTCCACACCGACTAAGTCGTTCCCAAACGTGAAGCCGTGATGGTGCTGTTGTGTACTAGTTGTCGCGGCGCCGCCACCGGAAGAAGCTGACGCTGCTTGCGCAGGTTCGTCCGGTATAGTCCCCAACCCGCTAGACAGGTGGGACGTCGACGGCTCCTGGAGTTCCACCGTGGCGACGGTGACAGAAGTCTGCTTGTTCGACGCGAGTACCGCACTGGAAGATGCGGAAGATGTATGTCCAGCAGCTGCTTTGTTATGCTGTGTGGAGTTCGAGTTGCGATGTTGATGTTCTTGAAATATTACCGCCGCACTTCCCGCCGTCTGTGGTCCAATTATGCCGCTCCCAACACTCCCTTCCCCCCGCTCCGTCCGCAGCCGCGCGACATCCGCGTCGATCTCCCGCATCAGACTCTGTACATTGCTCGAATCGCAATCCTGGGAGACGTTCGTGGTGGACCTTATCCTCGCAATGTCCTCTTCCAGCTCCTGCCTCAATTTTTCAATGCGCGCCTCATTCGTGGACTTGTTGTTACTCGCGCCAGCAGATGAAGCGTGTTGACTAGCAGCCGCAGCGGCGGCTCGTTGTTTCAGAGACGGCGAATCGGGACGATGGTGCTGTGTCGTGCGAGTGACAACAAACCCGGGCTCTCGGGTCTTCAAGCCCCCGCCGGAAGTTGTAGTTGTTGTGCGTGTAGTTGCTGACGTCGTGGGAGTGGTGCCGCTTGTAGTCTGTCCTCCGGTTGATGTTTTTGCTGTGGCTTGCTTGTTTTTTCTCGCCAAGAAGCAGCTCTTCACGTCTTCTTCTAGAGTCGTCGCTGTTGTCGTCGCGAACACACCCCTGCTGTTGTAATTCTCCGTTAAAGAAACGTGTCGCGAGCTAGACGGGAGCTCGTATGACCCGGAAAGGCGGTATGCATCAGGAACAACAACTCCAGCGGAGGATGATGTGGCTGCACTATGTGCTGCTGTAGTTGTGTGTTTCTGTTTTCTCTCCGCCTGTTCCTTTTTCAGTTTGTACTTTTCAAACGTCAGCTCTTCCTCCAATTCAGACGCCGACATACTCGCGGACGAATTCTTGCTTTCCTGCTTGTTGTTCAGAAACTCGTCTAAAAACTGCTTCGGAGTTAGATGTTGAGCGCCAGCGGTAGTTTGATGTTTATTCGGCAACCACGAGTTGGACACGGGATCTGCTCTTCGCCGGTAGAAATCGTCGCTGTCGGAAAACTTTTTGATCGGGCTCGCTTGGTTTATCTTTCCCAAAAAATCATCCACCTCTTGCTTCGTCACTGATTGACCATGTATTTGCGCCGGCCTGGGTCTCGATGAAGACGCCGAAAATGACGACGAAACGAATTCTGGCCTGCTGGGCCAGCCTCCTGCTGCGGCATCTGACGCGAAGAGAAACTGTGGCTGTGCAGTTGTGCCCGAGGTCGTTATTCCTTTGTTATTTTCAGGATCCTCGTCTGCACTACTTCCGCCGATCACTTCCTCCTCCATGCCCCCATCTGGATCGCCGACACCCAAAAGACCACCCGGCCCTGCCCCAGGATAAAAATTCCGCTCCAAATTGCCCGCGAAATTCCGCTTGGTCGCCGCCGAGGCTTCGAGCCCCGAGCTCAAATACCGCACCTTGTTGGAAAATTCCCCGAACAGGGTGTTCGACGAAGTGCCGTTCGTCCCGATGAGATCAATCTCCTCGGCTGCGGACAGGGGTTGTAGGACGGGTTCGGGGATTGGTTGAGAACCTGTTGTTCGAATGTTCAGGTTGATGACTTTGTCCCCGGGTTTGATCTGAACCTGCAGACCCGGGCCGCCGGCATTAAGTCGTGATTCGGTCGCGACACCGATATCTTCGTCAGGAGATGTAGTTGACGCAGCAGCAGCTCCAGAAGTACCACGGGGGCTGAAGACCTTGACTAGCGTTGGCTCCCCTGGTGCTTCCTCATAATGATCTTCCGCTTGCGAGTTTTTACTAGTTCCACTTCTCATCTTCGGCCTCCACTGCGTGTGCCCCGTGGAGATGACGTGCGAGTTTTTTGCTGACTTGGCCACCATACAACCGCTGTCTGCGTCCAAGCTGAATCGCATGGATGAGTCGCTGGACAACTCGGTGGGCGCGCCCTCGATGGAGGAAGCAAGCGGATTTTTATCATCGCTGCTTCTCATCTCTTTTTTCTTCGCGGAGGTGGCAGATGAAGTCTTCTGCTTGTTGTTTTCAACAACATCTTCTCGAAGATGATGGCCCGCAGTGCTCCTCTTTGAAGTGCCGGCCCCGCTAGACGTTGTTCCTCCAATCTTCTCGAAGCTGCTTGAGTGCAGCAAGCGCAGGGGATCACGTAGTCCTCCTTCTGTTCCAAGAAACTTCTTCTTCTCCGCTGTTGCGAAGAAATTGGTCAATTTTTCCACCTCGCTGTCCACGTGCTGCTCCATCTGTTTCTCAAACTGCATCAAATCCGCTTTCCTTACCGCTTCCAACTCCTGGATCTCCTTCCCGTGGTTCGTGATCCTGTCCGCCAGCCGGCGTTCCGCGTCCTCCGCCTCCTTCACGGCAAGGAGCCATTTCTGATGCAGTTCCGTTTTTTCTTCCTCGATCGCGTCTCGTCGTTTCTCCACCCAGTCTTTCTCCTGCTGCAGGAGGGTGACCTGATAGTTGGTAAAATTGCAACATAATAGGAGATTTATCGTTGAACAAGAGACCACTTGGCCTCTGCGTCAACATATCGCTACTGTTAAAGTGCTGCTGCATAATTTTGCAAGTTTGCAAGTGTCTTCATCAGTAACACTATATGTACCTTCTCCAGCAATTGCAATTTCTCTTCCCGCAAGTTTTTCTCTTCGACTTTCCACTGCCCCTCCTGCTCTTCCGCCCGTTCCTGCAAATTCTTCACCTGTTTCTCATGCTGCTCCCGCAACGCGGTCCTAGTTGCGTCCTCGGTGTCACAAACTTTTTTCTGCATCTCCGCCGCGATCTCGTCCTTTTGCTTCTGCAGGGTTTCGATCTGGCTTTTCATCTTCAATTTCTCCAGCATCTCCGACTCGGCTTTCACGGCCTGGAGCTTCGTGAAATTCGTGCCGTCAACAGGGTTTACCTCGTCTTTATTCAGTAACCGCCTCGCTTCCAAGGCCGCGACCCGCTCGGAGACGGACAGTGGTTTGGTGTTTTCTTTCTCGTCACCAGGCGAATTCGATTTGCTGTCCCGCCCTGCTGCGCCGCGAGGACTTCTTGCGACATTCTCTGGCGACATTGGGAGCAGGTGTTGGTACGACAGTTCCTCGGGAATTTCCTCATCTTCTTCAGCAACTTGCTGGTCTTTCCCGATCGGCACGCCTGCGGCTGTAGCACCCACCTGGCTCGTCTTAGTCGAAGTTCGGGTGTCGGGTTGACCTGCTGGGCCACCACCTGCCCCGGAAGATCCCCCACCGTAAAGTTTTTTCTTCAAGTTCTCCAGCTCTGCGTTGCGGGTAAACAGCTCTGCCAGCAGGTGATCCACCTGGCGGCTCAGAAAATTGTCATCTGCCCGGTTGTTCAAATTGTTCACCCGGCCGTCTGGACTGAAGAAGTCGGTTGCAGCAGGGAGGCCTGAGTCAGAATTTTTCATCGGAAAGTTACTTCCCCCTCCGGAAGTGATGGTGGAAGGCTGGATCGCGGTCGATCCCATCAGCACCGTGGCACTCAGCGATCCCCGGTTGTACTGGTGCATGCGCGTCGAATCCTTCAGGAGCTGTTGTTGTTGTGCTGATTGATGCGGAGCTCCGGGAGTCAGGCTGTTGCTGAGAAAGAACTGGCGCGATGACGATGACGGTGCTGCTGCTCCCGCTTGTTTCAACAGTCCTTCTCCAAAGCCTGCCGCTGCAGCGGAAGACAAACGGAGTTTTTCCTTCTCAGTAGAGGCAAAAACCGTATCCACCGACTCGTTGATCGCGGGGTTTTGTGCTGTGTCAACGGGTGGATTTTCATCTCCCGGTAGATCATCATCCTCCCCTGCCATGTCCACGTCGCCACCGAAGCGCTCCACGGCCAGCGGAATCGGCACCGCCATGCGGGTGCGCCGCGGTCGCTGCTGCTGCATGCGGGTGGAGTTTACGAATGATGTCATTTTTTGCGCCGTCTGCTCCAACTTTATTACCTTGTGACAACAGTCTCCTTGTGGGAGTATACCTCCATCTGCTTCACCAAAACGGAAACACTTCACACTACACAGTTCGCAAGACGTTCAGAGACAACCTGCTCTGCCTTTGACGGTTTGGTCTACCACACTTGCCAGAATCATTCCTATGCCCGGCAAGAAAGGACAAAATTGCAACACTTTGGCCGACCCAGCAAGTTTGACGCTCATCATCAGGAGCGAAGCGTCGGGCTCTCACTCACTCTTGCTTATCGTACCAACCAACAATCTCAGGCACAAGAGAGACACCCGTCAAAATGCGCACCCCTCCCACAAGAACAATTGACCCTGAGCCGAGCCGGAGCACTTCTGCATGCTGTCTCCTTGTGCTTCCGCTGCGTCCATGCCCGTCTAAAAGCCGGCTCATTCAAGTAGAGTCGCCATGGGCCGACTAGGCGCACGCGATCGCCACGCCAAAGGAGGGCAAGCATGGCACTGCCGAGGCTTAGTTGCACCTCCCCATGAGGACGGCGACAGACCGCAACACGAGCGGCCGAAACTTTCTCGGACCTAGAAGCGTCCAACACTAGATACGCTATCAATCTAGTATGTCAATGTCTAGAAAGAATCGCAACAAACATTCCGGGCCGGCGGCGCATAACCCCATGGCGCGCCACAGACATTGAAGAAACATACATCCCGGACGCCCGGCGCCGGCCCACACCGCGGCGCCGGCAGGTCGCGCAGCCTCCTTCACTGGGCTACAGAGTCCGCGCTCGGGGACGGAGGGGCACCTCCGGGGGCGTGCGTGCGTGCGTGCGGAGCAAGCAGAGAAGGGGCCGGCACGACCACAGACAAGGCCGGCGGGCGGGACGAAGGCGCGTTCGTCCGAAAATAGGGGGGCGGCCAGCAGAACGCGCCTGGTTGCTTGCCAGGAACTGCGGCGGCCCCGAGACTACCCCACGCGCGAGGGGGCCCGGGCGCCTTGCAACCGGGCGGGGGGCGGGGGGGGGCTGGTTCCTGCAGGTGAAAGAGCGCGCGGGGGCCCGGAAGAAATCCATCGAACACCTCAACCCCGACGCCCGGAGGACTCTGGGCCCATCAGGCGACCACACTCTTGGGGGAGCGTGAACATGTCGCGACCGATTCCGCCGCGAAATTGGGCCCGGGCCCCGACGCCCCCCGAGCCCCCCATCCGAACGAAATCAACCCAGCCGGGGGCGGGGTCGCGGGGGGCGCCCGCCGGCCGCGACTGCGTGCTGGCGAGGGCCTTGGCCGGGCGCGGGGGCTGCGAACATCCATGCGCCGCGGGCGCCGAAGCGCAGGGGCGCTCTGCGAGACAGTGCGCGCATGGCTCCCGCCAGCCGGCGCCCCATCGCGCGCCCGGCAGCGAGGTCGCCCGGCAAATGCCGGCCCGGCAGGCAGAGTCCCGCCCCCCGGGCGGCGGGCCCGGGGCGCGGGCGCGCCGGCCGCCCGGCGCAAGACAGAACGGCCCCGCTTGGAAATCCCCGCCCGGTCGGGCGCGCGGGCCGGGGGGGCAAGGTTCCATCCCCCCCGCCCCGGGCCGAGGCCGGTCCCAATCAACAATGCACCAGGCCGCCCACACACACTTGGCACGCCTGCCAGGCCCACCACACTCACTCGCTCCAGGGCGAGCGAGGCCCCAATCCCCCGGCGCATCGCCCCTCTGCGAACCGTCGACAAGCAGGGGGCGCCCGTCCAACACCCCACCGGCAACATCCTGCGACTGCGTCCGCCCCGATCGGCGATCGACCTTTCGCCGCCCAATACAGTTCTAACGGCAAGGGCCAGGAGAGAGGAAGTAGGAGAAGCGCCCGCGGCGGGGGCGGCGCTGCAACCGATCTGATCCGGCCCAAATCGGGCGCGGGTCGCCCTGGGAGGCAGATGGAAGCCGGCCCCGCCGTCTTCCGGGTTCCGGGCTGCCCACCCTCCACCAACCAGCAGAACCGTCCCCCGAGTATGTAAGCACACGGCAGCCGCCGCACTGATCGAACTTGCCACGGCCGGCGTAAAGCCAAGCAGCTCCCTGCCTCCGCCCCATCCGCTGAAAGCCAGCGCGCCCGGGCCTCTGGCTCGCAAAATTTATCGCGGCAAGCATAAACGCTAGGCCGGTCGCCAATGTGTCGGGGCGTGCTTTGGGCGAGTCAGCCTGAACGCTGAGGGATTTTCTGTAGATGAACACGTCTCATTCAATTTTTTGAGTCAAGAAATCTTCCTCGTTCTTTCGCAGCCTTACCGTGTCGAGTCTGAAAAGGCTGCAGAGTCCGGGCTCCTCACGAAAGGAGTGCGCGCGAGTTATCGACCGACTCCTGATGTTAAAATTCGAGATCCTGGCGCTGTAAAAGAGCAATAGGTCGTCCAGCGCAAGTGCTATATCTTTGATTCATCAAGTACTCCATTCCCTTTTCGAAGCTACGCTGTGGCTGTAGCTGCACGCAAAATCTTGAAGGATAAGTCACGCTTATTTCGATTGGAACCGCAAGTGGTAAAGAAAAATGTTCGATACGCAAAATAATGTACTTTTCTTTATCATAGATACTTCTACACTCCGCACAACATTGCAAAACCTTCAGTAAGGACGAAGACTTGCACCGCAAGCGCCACCGCACCTCTCTCATCCGTTTTTGGATTTTTCCACGCCCTCCAAAATCTGTGCGTGTTTCCGAGAGTCCATGACCTGGGCCAGGATTTGCATCTTCAAATCGCCTATGCATTGCAACAGCATCGTACTAGTAGAAATCGCATGAGAAACGTCCTCAGCATGAGAAATGGAATTTCTGATACTGATTTACCTTCTTGGGAATCAGATTTGTAATGCAAGACTGCGATTACTACGAGTACGATACTTTTGCACAGCATATCGCCCTTCTTGTCGTGGCCGAGGACACCGCCGGTCGGGTGTCCGTGCGACATCCACTTGGAAGACCAGTCGCCCAGGCTGGCGTTGTGCATGTCGTGGTGGTGGGTGGACATAGGCGCTTTGAGCTGCGCTTGACCGCCACCGCCGCCGGAAGTGCCGGCTCCAGCCGCGTTCACGTGGCGATACACCTGGAAGGAAGTAGATGCATTCGTGTTCGCTCATCAGAGTTCATCTCTACTTACGTGGTTGTCAGTCTTCTTGATGTTGCGCAATGAAAAGCAGCAGGTACTACTAGACATTGCAAAAAAACAATCTTCTCCGTATTCTTTTCATCACACAATCAGAAAAGATCCCCTTCAACTATACCAGTATCGGTGGTTCCTCGTCTCCGAATGCCGAGAACGCCAGCAAATGGTGCGTCCGCGACCACTGGACGTCCACAATGGGGCTCGAGAGTTGCACGGGAATCTGCGCCTCCCAGTCCACCACGTGCTTGCCCGAAGCGGTGTTGAAGAAAAACAGCCGGCCGGATTCGCACCCACTAACGATCGTCTTCCCGTCCGGGGCGATCGTGGAGCGGATCGGAAACTTGCTGTTGCTGGTTCCACTGATCTCCGTGAACACGCGCACCGAGTTGTTCTGCAGGGCGCACAGACCTGATTTTAAGTTTCATTCTCAACATGACGGTACCGTAGAAGTAGTCTCGTCAAGCAAAGTAGGGCGCGGCGGCGCTTGGAAGAGTCAAATGCTGCGGACATGACCAAGCCGTCGCATTTTGTCTTTGAAATGAAAGTAGCCAGAATCCCTCTCTACTATATCAATACGAATCAAGTTATCTTTCGCATTCAGCACGACCCAGTCGTCCGCGTTCGTGAGCGTCGCGCCGCCAAAAACCTTGCCGATCTGCAGTTGCTCGGTGACTATCTCGATGTTGTAGAAGAAAAGACCGAGCATTTCGCTCGACTTGTAGATCCCCACTTTTTCCAATCTGATACCCTCGCCACCGGGACCGCCGGCGGAGGCGGGGCCGGCTGTGTAAAATTCGAGTTTGAGTCCTAATATCATTTGTCACGACGTACACGTTCCGATAATGGTTGTCAAAATGAGGATAACTTTGAATCAGCGCCGCAAGGCTAGAAACGCAAAAACGAGAAATAGCAACATGTACATGTTGGAGCGTATTTCACTGTAGTATAACAAGTACCTCCGCCTCCAACTGAGCACCTCCATGCGGTTATGTACCCCACGCTGTGGGCGGTGTAGACCAAGTCTTGCTTACTGCCCTGGCTAAACCTGAGTAATGTATTGCTATTGTCATTGAATGGAAACTACACAGGTCTTCGTCAGCTCTAGGTGCGAAACCGAAACACCATCTATCCCTCTGCTCTTCGACGCAGTACGTTACTACTTAGTCACCAAACTAACGAGGGGGTGCAGCGCGCCTAAGTAACATAGGTGAGAAACTTGTGCTGGTGTCAGTGAAGGTTCTACTTGGCAACGTTCATCATTTTTGTCATTTACGACAATGGTGAACCTTTTCCTTACCTCAAGCAGGTGATGTGACTTCGATCGTCCATGACGAACTCCCCTACGATTTGGCTCTGCACAATGAGTATCGAACGCAAATGTGTCTCGTTCTGGAAAGTTGAAACTTGTATGTAATGCTGGTCTTGCATTCCTGTGAAATCTCTATTGCATCACCGAACAAAAGTGGCAGCCTCTCATGTCAGACAAAAACGCAGCTTCTCATGCGGAGTTCGTATGAGAAAGCGTGCTGCAAACATGTCATGCTTTATTCCTGCATAAGGGAGCGTTTTCATCATGCATATTTTAGCATCACAAATTTCCAGACCGAGACGTATTTGCAATGCGTAATGCGCCAGTCCTCCGGCACCGGTTCTTGATCGCCGCCTTGCCCTCCACCCTCTTCGGTAGTACTCTGCACGGTTTCCCGACCTCCGTCCCCGATGGGCTGGTTCAAGTTCCTCCGGTCGATCTTCCAGACCTTCAGACCGAACGTGTGCCCCCCGACTAGCAGGAAGAACCGGTCGACCGTACTCGCGGTGTCGAAGGGCCGCACCGTGTAGCAGTAACTTGGATGGTACAGCGTTTCCGAGGCCGCGATGGCGGTGCGCCACTCCCGCTCCTCCGGGATCTCGAACACCATCACCGTGCCATCGCTGCTGGCGGACACCAGTTGCCCGGGAAGGTCGTCCGTATTCTGGTCGGGCGCCGGCGCCTTCAAAGACGCCCGCGAGGATGGACCCCCGCTGTCTTGCTGGCCGGGTAAATTTGACGTTGATCCTGGCTGCGCACCACCACCTGCCCCTCCGTCTCCTCCTTGCGACGGACCTCCTCCTGCTGAGGCCCCGCCAGAAGTTGAGGGTAGCGTGACCCAGGACAAGTCGTACACCAACTCGCGGTGTCCCTGGCACACGCAGTGCACTTGCGCTTTCGCCAGGTCGAAGACGCGGAGCTCGAAGGTTTCGTCGTTGAGCTCCACTGCACAGGCAAGAAACCTCGAGGTTTTGGGCGAAAAGCACACCCGGTGGCACCCCCGGCCGTCGGAGGGGAGTTGGTAGGCGAAGTCTTCCGGGAGCGGAATCTTCGTGCGCTGGGACTGGAGAATTTGGCTCTGGCGGTAGAGGGTCATCTCCTCCGCCTCGCTGGCCATCTCGTCCTGGTCCACCGCGCTGCGCTCCTGGGGACGAGAACAATTACTCATTCATCTACAACATACGTTCACTCATGTCACCAATTAGGGTTTTGGGAGCTGACAACTACTTACAACACTTGCAAATTATGCAATTCCAAACTGAATGAATCAGAGAATCAGTAGACGAAACTTCTGTAACTGTCGAATCAGACCTCGAGCTCTGCATCAGTAAAATCTTTCCTATACCACTGCGGTTCCGTAGCCAGCGGCAAGATCCGCCCGGGCTGACCTCGAATCGGAGATCACCTGCTGGAAGAAGGAACTCTGCACGGCGGGGATCAACTGCGCGGACACCAGCAAACAACTTCTTTTTATCTTCCGCAGATCCTGCAGCTCGTGAAACACCATGGGCGTCTGCAAGTCCTCGCACACGTGCGCCTTCTCTTTCGTGTACTTGTACTCGTGCAATTGTAGCCACACGCCATTAAACCGCGGGTTCACCGGACTGGTGATTTGCGAAAACACGCCCAACCCGCTCGCCCCCGTGGCCGTGAAGGGGCTGGTGTTCAGTTCCCAGGGTAAATCCACCCCATTCGCGTACAACTGGTCCAACCGCAAATAGCCCCAGCTCATCTTCGTTACCGGCCCTCGGGACGCACCGCCGGCTTTGCTACTCGTTTTGGGTTTCTCGAGGATCTCCAAGACGATCAGGACGTTGGGATTTACCAAATAGTTCGCGGGACACTGGAAGACAAAATCCCAGGACCGCTTGTTGTTGAAATTGAAGGCGTTCTTCTTGCTGCGCGACTGGATATGGCGTTCTCAACTGTTACACTCCCAGCTGTTACATGATTTGCCATGCAAAACTCTCATCAGTATCACTATCATCAACCTGCTTCGCATGACAAATTTCCAAAGGGCTAAACAGCATCAAAATCTGTGCCGAAGCTGTAATGCAAAAGGCGCCATCTTCACCATTGCATTTTTGCCATTCTTGCATTACAAACTCTAACTCATTTAACGCCGGTTGACAATGTAACGTTTGAGAACGCCATACTGGATCCCCGGACAGTCGGGCGTGTCGAAGGGGCGCACGAAAGTCACTTGTCGCTGACTGGCAGCAGACAGCGGCTGCTCGTCATTCGCGGGGAGGTACCTGTTGAGATCAGGGTGATACAGATGAAATACATGAAATAAGCTGAATTCCTGAGTGAGGCTTCTATCTGAGTGATCGTGTGGCGTTGCACCAACATCATGCTCCTCCTGCGGCGCTATGCATCATGTGTAGTACTATTTCCGATGGATGGTGGATCATCATCACTTCATTCTACGCAAAAACAAGTAGAAATACAGGTCTGGCGGCGGCACTGGTGGACCACCGTCTTTCAAGTCCCCTCCTCCACCTGATTCTGCCGTCCCTGCCGGGGACGCTGCTGGTGTTGTTCTTTGCGGTCGGGGCTTCACCGCGCTGCCCGAAGAGGAGGATCCACCAGCGCCACTAGAGACTTGTCTGCAGGGGTAGGTGAAGACCTCCATGCCCGGGGGCTTTTGCAACCACTTCCCGCCGTTTTGCAGGTCCAAAACGTGCACCCGGATGAAGGGCCTGGTGGACTGCTTCGCCTGCTGAGCGGTTTTGGACTCTTGCACCTTGTCGACCCGATGCAGCCGCAACTTCACCATTTTCGTCTGCAAGAAGTCGTTCGGCAGCGCTTGCGGGTTCCGGAAACTCGGTTTGGTGTAGAGTATTCTTTTGAACACGAGTAGAGGGTCCCAGAACATTTGGAATCTAGTGTAGAGCGAGAGCCTGGGTTTCTGCGCCAGTATGTCCTGTCCAGAGCCGTCGTCCGCGGACAGGTGCCCGTGTTCGATCACCGGCGGTTTGGTCGCTTGGTTTTGACTAGCCGAATCTGTCCACGAGCCGGATCCGATCCCCGAACCAGCAAACACCGGGTCGTCCGACTGCATAATGCTGCTCGCTGGAAAACCACCTGGCTCGCCAGATGTTGGACCTCCGGCTTGTGTTGAAGACGGCATCGAGCCGCCGCCGGTAGTAGTACCTTGGCCAAACGGCGTTCCTGCATAATTATTCGGATCTGGTGGTTGCTGGCCGAAGGGGGTACTAGCCGGTGCTGGTTGCTGCTGACCGAAGGGCGTGGGCGCGGGTGGTGCCCCCGAAGATGGTGCAGAGCCACCCTGCTGGGGTAGTTGCCCGAAGGGCGTGGGCGCGGGTGGTGCCGCGTCTGGTGCAGGGGCTGCTCCGAACGGAGAGGAAGAGGGCTGTTGAGCTGCAGCCGGGGCGGCGCTTGGATTGTTCTGGGCGAAAGGATCGGCACCACCGCTACCGAAAAAGTCGGGGACATCGTCGGGCGGCTGTGACATGGTGGTCACAACAACTTCAAAGGTGAATAAAACGCTCGAAGATGTGCCAGGCGCGCAAAAGACTCAATTGCAATAATTCTTGGAAAATTCACACTATCCAATTCTTGCCCACGGTGGCGGCCACGTCGGCCTTCGCCGAATTGCTAGTGCTAGTTGTGAAATTATACGTTATGGATATGGTGCTCGTCGTGGATTACCGCAGTCTTGAGTGCCTATCCGCTCCGCCAGCTCGCTCAAGAAGTAGACATCCGTATCGTGGTCTCTCACTCTTCAAGCCCTCAATTGAAGATCTCCTTGACCTTGATCCCACAGCCGTTCTCCCGTGCGGGCGCCAGAATTGTTACGAGCCAAAACATTGTTGTGCCCGACTGTAGTGCTTCTTTAGGAGGTGAAGTATTCCACACGAGGTCTACTTTTTCACATTCACCAAGATAGAAGACGAAGGAAACAAAACCGACGTAGAATACACTACAGCGTGCCTGCTTCGCCTCCAAGGCAATGTACCTTTTAGGATGAGGACTGCAGCAGACAATGTAGTGCCGAAGTAGCAGGTCAGTTTTCCGCTTCAACGTTCATTCTGAAAACTTTCATTTCAATCATGCATTTGCATTGATGATGTTCAGCACATACTACAGCACAAGTGATGTTGCTCAAAAAGGTGAAGCTAGACGAAAAAGGACTTCTTCCGGGCCTTGGACACGTGAAGCACGCATGTCGGAAAATATAGCGCTTCTGTTTCCGTGCCCTGGACGAGGATCCATGCCCTAAAGTTACAGAGATCCAGATCGCGTGCAACTTCTTGTAGTTCTGCAAGAATGTGAAAGACGATGAGACTTGCACACCCGCCTGTGTTTGAAGGTGACGGTGAGCGGGCGAAAACCCGTCGCATACCATTATGTAGTAAGCTCCGATGAAGCTAGCAACCGTGGAGGTAGAGCTAAGAGAAATAAAATTTTAATTTTGAATGAACCATCGTGAGACGCTGATGCGCCTTCGGTGTCGTGAGGCGACATCGATAACGTCAGCTCGATTGGATCTAGCGGTGTGGCATTGAAAATTTGCGCAAAGGGACAACTGGACATGAAGTTCTAAATAAGCGAAGAAGGTATACATTGCTACCTGAAAAAGAAAAAGATCTAGATCTTCATACATACATTTACATTTTGCATAACGCTGAAAAGCAAGGACTTTGGAGGAGGTCGTTTCGCGGTACTTGTGCTCACAAATGATGCGTCGTGAAGTTACCGCGGAGGTTCTGTTGGTTGTACTTCGTTAGTGAGAAGGTCCCCATACTCGTCCGGACACTGCTGAAAGGCCGCCCATCATCATGCGAATGCTCGGGGGAGCCAGGAGCGGCCCCGTCCGGCCTGATGTCTTCTTCGTTCGGTGGCTGGTGATATTAGAGTTAATCATTTGATGCAGCGTTATTTCACCTCTTTCAATCTCGACTGATGAAAGAACTTGCAGGTGGCTACAACAAAACTTAATGCAGTTTTGTAAAACCAAAACAGTCCCGCACTTTCAATTTTTCCCAATGAAAAGAAAAAGCAACAAGCCTAAAAACAAAAGTACTGTCGTTGGTATCCGCTGCCTCGGCACGTGGTTGATGTGGTTTCTGCCGCCTAGAATTTCGGACTCACCAAATTCCTCCTCACAAAAACCCGCTGCATTTTCATCCGGACAACTTCCATCCTGCGATGTCACCGTCATCCGTTTGTTCAGTCCCGTGTCCAAAGGGGCCTTTCTTCTCGAGGAAAAGTTTGCCCCTCTCTCCAGATCGGGCGTAGTTGCGGAGGAGTTGTCAGAAAGTGCCCCACCCCGTCCTGGGGAGCCAGAGGAAATCGATTTGTTTCTGTTCATCGATTTCGAATTGGGTGTGTTCACGCTTTTTCGGTGCAAACTCGCGGAACTACGTGTGCTCAAACGCGGCGGACCCGCGGGTGGTGGTCCGCTCGTGAGATGTTGTGGAAAACCAGCTGGTCCGCCGCCAGTTGAAGAGGTTGAAACGCGGTTTTTGATCATGTAATTACCGCTCTGCCGGCTGGAGGAGGACGACAGCCTAGAAGAAATATTTTTACCGTTGTTTTGGTATTGGTTTTCCTGATTCGTACTATTTGCTCCTCCAAGCATACCATGTTCGCGGAGCACCGCATCCGCTATTTGCCGGATGTCCTCTATTCCCTCTAAATTAGCCATCCCCTTACACTTTTTGCAAGACAGCCACAGCTTTTGCTACATGTTTTGCATGACAAATTGGATGGGAGTGATTAATTTTCAGGGAATATCCTCGCCACCGGTGCGGTTCAGCTTTTCTTCGCTGCCCGGCACGAGCTGCAAACTTTCCGGCTTGCGCTTCGGCGGCGGCGGCATCAGGCTCTTGGAGGAAGACGAATTGTGCAGCGCGCTGGGCTTGCGCATAGGCGGCGGACTGGTCGTACTAGTGTTCAACCGGCTGCTGCTCTCGTTTTCATCTAGTACACCAGGGGGACCACCTCCAGTGGAAATTCGCGCTGTTGCTGCCCCAGCTCCTGCCGATACTCTACTTCCCGACGCGCCGGTGGCTACTAAACGCTGGCTGTTTGTGTTTCTCGAGCTATTTCGTCGCCGCGTGCTGAATATCCGGCTCTCATGGCGCTTGTTGTTTTCCGCAGTAGAGAAAAAACTGCTATCCGGGTCTACACCCGTTTGCACCGGAGTGCGCAGGTAGTCGGACAGTGGGAATTGAGCCCGGTCCGCCCGTCCTTGGTCAACAGATACCTGTGGTCCGGGAGATGAACCATTACCATGTGAAGGAGGATTGTTTGCGAGTTGGGTTTTTATGTCGAGCCACAACTTAAACGTACTAAGCACCAACGAATCAATGATGGAACAAATGAAAGTTTTTGTTTTTCTGTTTCTCTACAACTTGCTTGTTAAGTTAGTAGCATGTCAACATTTTTTTTCCTTTCACAGTCGTTCTGCTTCTGTCCATTGCAAGCCTTCCTCAAAGACATGAATCACAAGTACCTCTTCCAGCACCGAAATCCGACTGAGTTCGTTGTCGTCCTGCAGCAGCGCATTCGACGGCGGCCGGCTGTGCGGGCGTTGCTGCTCGGTAGCAGCTGCGACGACGTTGTGGTCACCTTCTGCTCGTCGTGCCACAGCTGTCGCTGCTGCACCACTCGTTTCATCCGCCGAGGAAGCTCCTGCAAGGCGCTGCTCCTCCTCCCGCATCGCATTTTCTTTGATCATCGTTGCCTCACGGGAAATGGTTTTCATGATCTCGGCCCGGCGGCTCGCTTGATTCAGAGCTAGTTCTGTATTCACGGAGGACTGCCAGACGTTGCTGCTCACGGCGCTGCCTGCTTTGAATTCCACTTCGCTGTTATGCAAGAAAAAAACTGTGCAAAGTGTAACTCTGTAATGCAGAATATGCAAGAGAGTTACACCTGTCATGCCAGACAACCACGAAGTCCTCTTTCCATGTGTGTCTGTGTTTTCCCTTGCAAGCCACGCATGACAGGTTTTCTCTCTCATGTAGAGCAAATCTGTCATGCTGCCAGCCAAAGAAAGTTACACTAACACAGTTTTTTTCTTGGATAGCTGTCCACCGGACTGCTCGTGTTGGAATGGAAGACAGAAAGAGGATATCCACAGAAAAAAACCCAGCCACATTCAATTTGTCATGCAAAACACGTATAAGATCACGCGTCTGTCATGCAAAAAATGGATGTGGATGGGTTTTTTTCTGTGGATAGAGGAGGAAATCGATTGATGTTCTGGGCCAGTAAAGAACTACTTTCGCCAGCATTATTCATCAAACCACCAGAAGATGATGAGCTGCCACTTGTTCCCCGTGCTGAGGTCAACATTCCACCGGCGGGACGAATGTTGCCCCGCGTGAGAATATGACCGAAGTTGGTTGTTGTGGTGGGTGCAGGTCCTGGTGCTGGTGGACCTTGACCTTGTGGGACGACTACTCCGTTTGATGTTGGTGCTTTATTTCCAGACTTCTCACCAGTACCCGTATTGATGTCTTCGCTGCCTCTCGCTGGCTCTGCACCGTTATTGTTCAGCACACGTGGCCCAGATGCGTTCTTGCTCGGCAATCTGCCCTGCTGGTACAGGTCGATCGTTCGGGTGCTGATTGAGAACGGGCTGGGTTGCTGTCCATTCCCGTTTGACACCACGGTCCCCGCTGGGGAGCAAGCTGCGCTGCCATGGTTATTTATCCCGTTTGCAGCGTTTGCAATGCTTTCAGCCCCTGCACCTGGATCAACGTGGAGCTCTTCTTGCGTAGCTTGCGACTCTGATGTTGGCGCTACGGGCGAGGGCTGCATGATCTGCATATTCACCACTTGAGTTTTGTCCGGTCGCAGGTGTGGTTGCATTTTGTATGTGTTCTCTCCCCCGCTTGCAGACGGATAGACTGTAGATCCCCCTGCTCCTGTATCTCCTGTAGGGCTCGATGATGAAGACGCAACTGCTGCTGAAGCATGGATCGCAGCCCCACCAACCCGCGGCATACTATTCCCGCTCGGCGCACCACCAGTCCAAACGCCGTTCTTGTTGTTTGTGTAGTCCAAACCAATGTTCAGCATTTTCAACTGCATCCGGGCTGATAGAGCAGGCTGAAGACCCGGAACGACGACTGCTCCGCCCGGTGCACCTCCCATCGTCCCACCACCAGCTCTATTCAACAACACCGGCTGTCGGGGCTGCGTCGCAGGCGATCCGTCCTTACTGTTGACGCCCGAAGACTGCGCCCGGCTCGTATTCCCCGATCGCTCCTCTGTTATCGAGCTCAACCGGTGGTAGCTCGGACCTAGATTGCTGTTAGATGACCCCGACGCGGCTGTAGTAACAGCTCCAGCTTGGGGGTGCGTTGGGTTGTTGTTGATGTTCGCCGCCACAATTGAAGATCCGACACCGCCGCTCCCCGACTGTGCCACGGCATTGGTCAACGGCCCCTCCTGCTGCATTCGCGGGCTCAGAGCCGCCGCGGCGTTTCGTCCATGCGGCGCCGGCTCGTTGACCAGTCTGCGCAAGAGCGCCGACCGCCCACGGCCCATATCCTGCAGCTCTGCGGAACGATCGATTTCGATGCCGCCGTCGGCGCCCCCAGCCGGAAGACCTTGATGCGATGGTCCGTCTTCTGTATTTTCAGCATCTTGCTCAGTGATTCGCCTTGATGCCGAGGAGGAGCTCGAAGCTGCCCCGGAGACCGCCTGTTGGTTATTTTCGCTGCTGAGCCTGCTCTTGGTTTTGTCGGAAGATGATGATCCGGAGGTGCGTAGAGGCTGCAGTCTGTTGCGCCCGTTCATGACGTCAATGATTTTGAACATCTCCTCGTCGTCATCCTCGATCACCTGACTGTTCAAGACCGCGCCGGGGCCGGAATCTCGTCGCGCTTTGGTTCCTATCTCGTCGGAATCGTCGTCGTCGTCGGGAAGATCAAGATGACCGCTCGCTTTACCTTGGTGTGGTCCTCCTCTGGGTTCTTCAGAATGAAAATCATTTTCCAGCAACTGCATGTCCACCGTGAGATCGCTCGTCGGCGTGATATGCTGCTGATGTTGATCTCCACCAGCAGCTGCACCCAAAACTTGCACCGGCACCTCGTGGCCGCACTCCGCTTTCGCGCCCGGAGCTGGTGGTCGTGTGGATGTAGTGGTCGGGACGATGAGGCCGGTCTGCGGTCTAATACCGGTAGTAGCTCGGTGGAACACACTCCCCTCAGACGAAGAAGTATTCCCTGAAAATTAACCATCCCCATCCACTTTTTGCATGACAAACACACTTTTTGCTGCATGTTTTGCATGACAAATTGGATGGGGATGGTTAATTTTCAGGGAATAAGAGGCTGGCGGCACAAACACAACCGGAACGTTGACATTTTCGTCAATGACAGTCTGCTATCACAAGAAAAAGTGTTAACGTTAACGGTTTTCACAGATTGCAGTCATGCATCACAAATGTAGCCCAATGTGCATGCTATGCATGACATTGACAAATTTAGGCACGCTTTGTGATGCATTGCTGCATTACAAATTCCGTTAACGTTAACACTTTTTCCTGTGATATCTGCTTCCCCGTGTTCACACTTTGGTCGGAAGAAGAAGAAGAAGAGGACGAACTGGACGTGTTCATCGGGCCGAGGTTTATGGCGGCAGTCGCTCCACCTGTTTTGGTGTTCTTACTTCCACCAGAGCGGATGTGCTGCAACACCAAATTTGAAGAGACAAAATGTGTGAAGCGGGGACGCGGGACTGCACCAGCAGCCGGGTCGATTTTATTCCTCTGAGGTGACGCAGATGACGTTGCAATTATCGCGGCCTGGGGAAGTATTTGTTCTCCACCTGGAAGAAAGCGCGGCGGTGGTCCACGACCTGCAGTTCTGTTCTCGATGCGTGGCGTGTAGAGCGAATTCTTGTTCAAATCGAAACTGAAATTCGGCTGCTCCAGCACCCGTTCGGCCGAAACCGACCGAAGTGTTCCGAGCTTGTCTTGGGTAAGTTTCGCGGCGAAACTGCTGATGCTGCTGCCTTTGGTCTTTTTCACGAACTCAACACCTCGCGGAGGTGCTGGAGGTGCAATCTGCGCGGCGGCAGCCCCTCCCGCTGCTTGCAATTGAAAAACCGCTCGTCTGTCCGGGGACGGAGACGCGGCCAGAACATTACTGTAAGCACCAGGTCCTGCTCTTTTGGCTGCCGGAGAAAGACCGGCGCGCGCGCTTTCCGGAAGAAGCGTCTTGGGCTTGTTTTTCACGGCTGCTAGTTCCGGCAGCGGTCCCCAGAGAGCACCGGTCCCGAATGCGGGTATGTTAGTCGGCGCTTTTGCAGCAAAGTTGGCCGCGGCAGGGTCGTGGTCACCAGGTCGCTCTTCCTGCATTTTGTTCAACATGCCAAGGTCCTGGACGCGGCTCATTTCGCCTTGCAGCTGCGCGTTTACAAGGTCCATCTGACTGTGCCTGCGACTCGTCGGCTGCGTGTCCGTGCGGTATGTAGAGGCATTATTCACGGTGATATTGTCGTGCTCTTCTTCGAGGACTACGTCGGGAGGGGCTTGCGCTTGGTGGCTCGCCCCCTCAATTTGCTCTGCCCCCTCAATTTGCTGCTCATGATCGACAGCACCGCATTTGCCTTCCTCGTCTTCAGCGGCCTTTTTCTCTAAGGATTCGTCGCCTGCTACTCTCTGCTCGGAGTGGTTCACGACACCGCCTGTAGTCATGGCAGTTCTTGTCGACACAGGAAATGCACCGAGGTTTTTGATATCGATCCCAGCGGTAGCTAAGATATCAGGCACGTAGTTGCCAGATGAACTCGGTCCGCCCGTCTGCACCAGCCCGGCCTTGTCACTCGCAGCACCATGTGCTTGCTGTGTGGTAGAAGCAATTCCTACTGCTCTTGCGGGAATGGTCGGCGTGGTAATCCCATTTGCTCCGACGCCAATCCGCGCCGGCATGAGCTGCGGTCGCAACGAGCTGAAGTTATCGGATGCACCGGTCCCGGAGGTCGAGGGCAGGATGAAACTCTGTGCGAGGTTGAACGTAGTCGCCGAAGAGGATTCATCCGAGGCCGACCATTCTTGTTCTTTTCTCGATAGCGTCCTGACGCTTTGTGACTCATTTTGATCTTGCCCGCCACCGTGGAGATGAACCTGAGCAGAACAAGAGGAGAAGTCCTGCTCCACCGATGAATACGCAGAGGCTTCGTTTTTATCAGTGACGAGCATGGCGTGGTTACTATTTTCAGCCGCGGAACAAGACGTCGAAATGATGTTGGCTTCGTTTCGCGAGGACTCTTTCGAGGAATTGTTAAATGAGCTGTGAATGTTCATCCCCCGCGGGGTTTTCTTCAGGAGTTGCGCCGCGGAATTACTCGCAGTCGCCGCTCGCGCGCTGCAAACCGCGGAGGGCAGCAAAAGAAGTCCGGGGTGCTGCTGAAGCGGCGGAACAAGCGGAGGCACTTTTTTCAAGGCAGCGCTGGCTCGTCCTGATCCTGTGTTACTCGTGCTTGCGGAAAAATCTTCACCGCCAGCAAGATGAATTGTTCCTGCGTCTTGCTGCTGGTTCTCTCCTTCAAATTCACGGCCTATTGCGCCTTGCTTGTTGATGCCCTGTAGCTGCAGCAACCCTTCCTGATTCATTGCTATGTTTCGGTTCAGGTTGTTCTGCAAAAAAGTTGTAACAACATCTCCATCTCGTCCCCCACCTGCATTAATATCGCCCTGCAGAACCACCCGTACGGCCGACCCGAAGCCGGCCACACCGACACTCGGCGGCTCTACCGACCAACTTCTCGGTTGGAACGGCGATAAAGTGCGCTCGAAGCGGTGCACCTCCGTCGGGCGGCCGAGAAAATGCGACGGGAAGCAAAGGTTGGGGTGCGGCACCGACTGCGACCGGGCGTGGCTGGAGGACTGCAAGCTCTGAATGGAGGCCGCGGCGGCCTTGGCCGTAGAAAAGGGCTCGGTGGTCGAGGAGTGCAGGTGGCTGGCGCTCCGCATAAATTCGTCGACCTGCTCAAACAACTGCTTAGACGTGAGAACCTCTGGATCTTGTTCACGAGCAAAGGCATTTGTGTGCTTTTCCCCCGCAGGTGCGTCAGACGATGAAACTGCGGCTCGCGCGGACTGCGGGTTGGCAGCAGGAGCTCTGGAAGTAGAAGAAGCGCGTTTCTTCAATTTCTGTGTTGCCCTCTTCGCCGCAGGAGCTGCACCTCCTGTAGAAGAGCTCTTAACAACCCTCCTGCTGTCTTCAGGCTCCTGGACGACCGGCACTCCTGCGGTGGCATCAGACGAGGTGACAAGAACCTTCGAATAGCTCGAAGCAGAATGACTACCTATCAAATAAACCGGAGCTGCCGCTCGGGGCGCGACCGACCGCGACCGACTCGAGGTGGAGAGCAGAGATTTACTGCCTAGGCGCGACTGCATATCGCAAGAAAAAAGTGCTACAGTTACACATTGTGTTGCACGAACGGCAACACAGACAACCTCTCTCATGCAGGAAATGCTTGGGAGCCTCGTTTTCCCTTATGATCTTCGCATTATCGGTTTTTTCTGCCACACAGAGAAAAGTTGTGATGCAGAAACCCCAACAAATGTGTAACTAATTGTAACACTTTTTTCTCGTCATACTGTGTGGATTCTTCCTGCTCTTCCAAAACGGAAGACAAGTCTTTCTTCAGCTGTTTTTGAACAGAAATCGTTGCGTGAGCTCTCGCACCCAGTTGTACTTGGGGAAGATGAGCTGCAACCTCTTTTTGCCCACCAAATTGTCCACCATGCAGGAGCCTCTGGGGCGACAGACTCCGGGAGGACATGAGATGACCCCCGGCGGCCTTCTGCGCACTGACGCGGTGGAATACGTCGCTGGTAACCGAGTTGCTTGCGCCTGTGGAGAAACTACAAGCGTTGTCTGCAGCAGAACAGCCCGCTCCTCCTTTTTTACCATCACCAGCAACTCCTCCCGGCCCACCTCCGAGTCGCTTCATGCTCTGCACGTGTCCCAGCGAAAGAGCGGTGAAGGGCGGGGGCGGACTTTGCGAGGGGACACGCAGTAGCCTCGCAGAAGACGCTCCGTTGAACATCTGCAAGCGGCCAAGCACGAGACCAGAATAGAAACGATTCTTCGTTGTGCCTGGGGATTTTTCGTCGTGCGACGCAGAAGTACTGCTAGCGAAAAAACTCGCACGCGCGGGCACCGCTTGTTGCGGAGGCCGTGCGTTTATTCCACTGTCAGGATCTGGAGCGCCAGCCGTTGTTGCCTTTACCTTCTTTCCCGCAACGTAATTCAGCCTCGGTGTGTATTTCAGAAACGCGGGCGCGGGCACCCTCTGCCTTGGTTGGTCGTCGTCGTTTGTCGACATCGTTCCTGCAACGCCACCAGTCGGTCGTGCAGCTGGTGTGCCTGTAGTAGGATCAACAAGCGTGCCAGTTGCGCCGAACGCAAATTGCGGTAGAAGCGAGTTTGCGACCAGGGACGCACGTTTGGGAAGCACCGGCACCGTTTCCGCACGGTTAAGCTGCAGGGAGAATGAGTTTTTCGCTGGTATTTGTTGCAATTGTGATATTTGGGGGCGATAGGTCCTCCCACTGGCACTGGGGGTCCTTCTTGTCCTCGTCGTGGCATCTTTATTGACTAGCGATTCCTCAACATCGGCCATGGTGCCTCCATTTACCTCCCCGACGACGTCCTTGCCCATTGCAAGCTGTTCCACATGAATACGCCCCCCTGCCCCCGAGTTGACGTGCGAGACGACGTTGGTGCTGGTGCTGCCACTCGCTTCAATTCCACCTTCTTGCGAGGACAGCTCGAAGTTGTCTCCATGTGGTGGACCTCTGTTGCTGACTTGCGTCTGCAGTTTTTTCATCTTCCCTTCGCCCCGCATGTCGTGATGTGCAGCCTCTAGTACTTCCTGTCCTCCTGGTGTAGTGCTACGAGGACCTCCGCCAGTAGCAGCCGCTCCAAGGCGACCACTTCTATTCGACAAGCTTTTTCTTGAAGACGAAGTGGATCGCCCGCGGTTAGGCACAGCATGACTAGTACTTGCAGGACCTCCAAATGCTTTGGACTTTGCAACTGCGTGGCCCGCTGCTTTGCTGTTCAACAACGACCGCCGATTCAGTGTGGAATTTACAGCTGTGCCAGCCCCTATAGAAGCGTCAGGTTTGAAATCGGCAAAGTTGAAATAATTTGTCATGCATGAAATGGATACCAGTTGGAAGACCAATTTTCAAGCGGCGCATTACAAATTTTCGGAGCACCGAAGTCCAATTTGTCATGCTGTTTGGGCACACAAGAGTGCTTTTGTCATGCTCCTTTAGCAGCTCTATCCCAAACCCTAAATAGGCTCACAATCTGCCTCACTTGCCATCCCAGCAAGACAGGCACTTCAGTCATGCCTTGCATTTTATGCATGACAAACCATTTCAACTTTGACGATTTCAATCCTGACAGATTCATAGCCCCTATGGAAACGCCGGTGATCGGGTCACGTCGATCTCCCCCAGCATTCGAGACGACGGGCTGGACGCTACTCGCCTTCCCAGTGACCCGCCGAGTTGATGCAATCGCTGTGGTGCAGTTGCCACCTCCTCCACCTGGTAGCAACGAACTTGATGCACCAGCGCTGGTTCTACTTGCAGGTGCAGCTGCAGGACGAGCTCCCATGGCTTTACTATTCGCGGCCATGGGTTTTGCAGCCGTCGCGCGCTTCAAGTTTCTGAGGAGCTTCTCTGCGGGAGGCATTCTTCCACCACCCGTGTTGCTGTTGGTAAAGGCACTGGACGAAGAGGAAGTAGATGCTGCACCTCCAGTGCCGGCAGTTACGACCCCACGACTTGGTTTCGTCATCGCGTTCGCGTCGATCGCGGTCTGGTAGTTCTGCTTGATGATCTGGTAGGCTTGCTCGAAGCTGCATTTCGGGTACGGCTTCGGAATATCGGGTTTGGATTTCAGCGACCGACTGGAGCCGCTTTTTGTTAGTGTGGTGGAACTCTTGGGCCTAGCCGAGGAGTTGTCGATCGGCGGGTCGGGAGCGGGTGCGGACGTATCTGCGTCTCGCTCCTCCGCATTGGTACCTGGTGTCATTAGGCGTAGCTCAATATTTCGCATTCATTTTCTTGAGACGCCAAGAGGCGCGTGGTTTCAGGTTGAATGAAGCGTCGACATACGGACGCGTCTCCTGATGCCAACCAATGGCAATGCTGCCTCAGCAAGTCCGAAGTAGTACGTGCTTTTACTACAATAGCCAATGTGTCCGGCGCTACACCAGCGAAGGTAATTTGTTGATGACAGGATCTACTGGTACTGTGCAACGCCAGTGTGCGCACTCTGGCAGTAGATGCCATTCCGAGTCCGCATAGCGAGGTAGTTGCCTAATTTACTTTACCACAGATTAAGTACGGAAGCTCGCACACCAGAACGAGCAAGCCCCCGGCCTATTCTGTGGCTAGCGCGAAAAAAGAAGTAGTGCAGCAGGTGGTTATTCTTATTTTATTTTTCTACAGACCTACTGAAAATTTCGTTCGCTCGTTTATCGATGAATAGTGCTCGTCAACATGGATTCCCTTAGGGTTACCACAACTCCAAGTGACAAATCTAAGTTCCAGGTGGCACTATCCTTGACTAGCAGCCCACCGCCAAAAAAAAAACGACGAAAAAAAAACTGCCTAATATCTAGCTTCACGTACCTTCCGCATTCTTGGCCGCTTTCATTACAACTTCGGGCGGCAATCCGCCTGCCGCTGAACAAGACGAAGACGAAGACGATCCTGTCGCCGCCACTCCGCCTCCGAATTTCGGCGTGAACCAGGAAGCCGACTTAACTTTCGAGGAGGATGATCCTGCTTGCTTCTTGTTCCCTCCCGATGCGGCCGCTAACAGACCTGCCTTGTGACCACCAAACACAAACTTGTTTCCACCTGCACCAACTACTAACCCCGTGGCCGCCGCGCTGCCGAACGCGATCCCAGCCCCGCCGTCCGTGATGGCGGAGCGGTTTTGCGGGTTATTTTCGGAGGTATTGGTCTCCGACAGCAAGCCACTGGTATCCAGCTTTGCAGACTGACTGCACGACAAAGTCAGATTCGGCTGCGTCAGCGCCAGCTTCGGGGGCGGGTGGTGTCGCGCTCCTCGCGACGTCGATGAACTGGCGACACTGCTGGTGGTGGAATTATGGTGGAGAAAGTTTTGATTGTATTGGGGCAGCAGTTTCTGTTGCCCAGAGGTTCCACCTTGTTCCCTGAAGCTACACACTTCTCCGTTCACCAAATCGATTCCCCCGCCTCTGGGGCTCGGAATCCTCTGATGCAGCTGCGGTTGTTGTACCACCATCGCAGACGGCGGATGAATAACGGTCTGGATCACGCTCTTCCCAGACGAATTTGCATAATTCGACGAGGACGAGGACCCACCGCCCCCCGCATTTAATATTGCAACAGGCTGCACCGACGTAGAAGAAGTTGCTCGGAACAATTTCTCCCGTCCTGGCGACAGCGTCGGTACCAAAACGGCGTTGTGTGTGTGGAAGGGACTCTGCAAGGCGTTGAGTGGCGGTTCGTCCGCCGGGCTGACGCGCTTCGCGCCTTTGCGAGGATTCCTTGATCGTGAGACAGATAACGAGGTGGATGACTGGGATAACAGCTATCCCCAGAAAAAAACCAATCCAATCCACATCCAATTTCTGCATGACAAGCACAGAACTTTATGTATGTTTTGCATGACAAATTGGATGTGGATGGGTGTTTTTTCCTGGATAACAGCTGCTCCGACTGAATGAAGTTCACCGGTGGCTGGGGGTGCGGATATCCTGAGTGAAAACGTCCCCACACCAGAGTCAAGATGGAAAATCTGCTAGACAAATCGGCCAACTTTGCTTGTTTCGCATGACAAATTTGGACGCGTAGTGTAGTGCTGTTTGAGCTAGTTCAGCAGCATTACAGACCTAGTCTCTCATGCTGATTGGAGCATGACAAATTTCAAAACACCCTTAGAAAATGCTTCTCATAGGGCTCCGCATGACAAACATTTTAAGCATGCAGATTTGCATGACAACTAACTATGGTGTGGGTACGTTTTTACTCAGGATAGCGGACTGGGACTCGTCAGTCGGGACGTGGGTAAGAAGGTACTGGTCGGAGCTGCGCCGGGCCGGTGTTTCGGAGGCGGTCCGCCGTGGAGCGAGGACGTTGCAAGAACACCTCCTCCGTGGGAGTACGTTGAGGAAATGAGCGTCTCGTCGGCGATCACTTTGGATACCGTCGCGTTCGAATCGGAATACAGCCCGTCGCAGATTGTGTAGTACCTGTATTTTACAGAAAACTTTCAAATTCAATTTCACACTATCAAGTGCCCTTGTCCTGCCACGACGCGAGCAGAAAAAATCACTACTGATACAAGGTCAACACGGAAAATCAAATATTATACAATCTTTTCTTCTTAAACTTAATTTACGTATGATCGGCATCGTAGAATTCGTCCATAAAAAATCTCACTTTGCCAAGAACTCGCTTCTGCCGAGTGTGTTCTTCGTGACTCCCGCGACGGTGGGTGGACCTCCACCCGATTTGGCCTTGTGTTCCCCCGGACTGTGCGGAAAGACGCGCACGCGACCACCCGGGGCCAGCTCGAAGGTTTCCTTGCTTTGCATCAAGTTCAGCAGCTCAATTTTCTCCCCGATGCTATCCGGATCTTCGGCGTGGGCCGGCTGTAATATCACGTCCTTCCCGCGCTCTTGCCCAAAATAAAACTCGAAAAAGTACCTAGACAGATACTTGATAGATGTTGATGTTGTTGATACGTTGTAACTCCTGCAACGAGGAATTACTAATTAGTTCGTCAGGTGGATAAAAATCACCTCCAGGTGCGCAATTTTTGAACGAAATAACATCGACCGGAACAAAGACAAGAAGTAGATGCACAATTCATAGCTTTTGTTGCACTAAATAATTAGCTGAGAGAGCTACATAAATTGAATTTCTTTTTTATTGAGCTTAAGCGCCGCAAATACGTTTCCGCCAGCTGAATTTGGTCCCCAACATAGACCAGAATGGGTTCTTGTCCCACTCCCGCTTGCTTCATGCCGTTGACGCGCAGGTACTTGTGCGAGTCCGTGGCCAGTGGGTCCAGTTCTACCGCAGCCTGTTTCGCCAGAAACCGGATGCGATACAAAAAAGCCGGTAGGCCGCAGAGCACCAAGTCATTCCCCGGATTGCCGCCGACGGAGCAGGAAAGCTGCTCCGAAAGTTCCACCTTCAACAGGCTGCTCAGGTGCTCCTCCCGGTGCAGGTTCCGCATGTACAGAATACCGCCGCGTTCGACTGTTGAAAATGAGAATGACATCAGGTTCAGGAGTCCGAGTCAACATGGCAAGCAAAATAATATCATGATGATCTTCTTGCAGGGCCAGGGGGCGAAAGAGCTAAACTTAAAATTAGATGCGGAAGCGGAAGAAGAGTGCGTGAGTGTGAAGTAAGTCAATCACATTTTTATATGCAGGAAGAGCCAAGAACATGACCGAACGAGTTGGGCTCTTCCACGTCAAGATAGGTACCTGTATCCATGTTCCGCGGGTTTTCTTCCGGCAGGTCGCAACATTGAAACGGTAGCGCCACTCATCACAAGAAAAAACTGTGTCGCTGTGAACTTGTGATGCATAGAACGGAACGCAAATGTGTTTGTCTTGCTACACATGCAAGACATTGGATTTTTGGCTGTGTTTTCCCTTAGGAAGCACGCATGACAAGTTTCCTCTGTCATGTGTAACAAACTTGTGACGCAGATCTTCCAAAATCGTCACAGTGAAACAGTTTTTTCCTGGGATACCACTCGCACCGTCGGCAACCCGACAGAGCGGAACCTGGTCTGCTCCCGCACTTTGTGGCAGAACTCCGCGAACTTCAAGGTCTTCGACATTAGTGCATCACGCCAAAAAGTAGTGCTAACGGTATCGGTTCTTTTCATAGTTTGCGGCGATGCATGGCAAATTGTACCTAGCGCGCATGCTATGTTGCATGATAAATTTGGGCATGTCGGGCACCTACCGCATTGCAAGTTCGAATTTTTCCGTTCATTTAAACACTTTTTCCTGTGATACAGTGCCTCCGATTTGTTTCCAACGACCAAGATCGCGAAGGTCCGTCCATTCCGCGCCAGCCCCTCTTTCACCGTTTCCAGAAACGGCGTCTCAACCCGTCCAGAAGTGCTAGATGAAGAAGTCGTCGCACCATCTGACGAAAATTGCACCGGCTGCCCGAGGCTCAGACGCTCGAACAAGTGATCCAGGTCGGCCAGGTCCGCCAAGTGGTCCTTGTCGCAGCTGGGTCAGTATCCCAGAGAAAAAAGCCGGCAGGTCGTATTTGTAATGCAAAAATAACTACACATAAAAATTTGTCATGGACGGCCCCATAGCATGCTGTTTGAGGCATGCAGTGCAGATCTTTTTCTTTTGCGCGTGTGTTTTTGCATTACACATATGACCTGCCTGCTTTTTTCTGTGTGATAGACAGTCAATGACCCGAATCTTGGTATTCTCTGAGGTGTACATGGAAAACGCCACGGCGCGCCGCTTCGCCGAGTCGTGCGTGGTCTCGCTCCACACGCGCCGACAGTGCGCGAGCCGCATCACGCGCCGCAGGTCTTCCACATTGGACACGCGAACGCCGGTCGGGCGGGGAGGAACACCTGAGAGGAAATTTAACTGAGTCGCATTTCTTCATTGGAGAAAGCGAGAGCGGTACGTACCGTTAGTAAAGAAGTGCGGCGGCTAGTATTAAAAACTGATGAAATTTGTAGATGAGCCTCATCATCTTTGTTCTAGAAGCAAATACGGCGCAGAGGAACGTACTACACTTCAAGTTTTAGTGAACCGCAGAACCGAAATTCTAAGTATCCGCCCTTTATTGGCTTTATTACCATCCCCTTCTCCGGCCTGCACCAGATCGACCCCACCTCCCTTCACCACGACATGATCCAGCAAATCCGTGGCGAAAGTCGACCCCAGCTCCACACATTCCACGATCAACGTCGTTTGCCGCAAATACGCGTGCGCGATCCGGGCGCAAATGCCGTCGCTCTCGTGCCACACTAGGCTGCTCTTCCCCGCATCGGCTTCTCCGTAGACTAAAATGTTGGTGACGCGAGGTGGTAAGGCTGCCGCTCCTGTTGCTGGCGACGAGGAAGATAAAGAACCAGAAGCGGAGGACGGCGAGGCCGCGGTCGTAACAGCTGCCAGGTGCTGTACGTGGTGCGGTAATACGCCCAAACCTTCGATCAGCTCCTTTCGGTAGGTGATCTGCTTTTTTGTGCCGTCGAACACGGGGCCGAGGTGTGCGGGCAGAAGCTTCGCAGCGTCCGAGAACCGCGAGATCGCGATGCCGTAGTTGAAAGACCGGTTGGCCACGCCGATGCTCGCAGTGGGACTGGCGGACCGGGCGGGGACTAGTTGTACAGCACCCGGGTGCGGGAGAGTCACGTCTTTCTTGTGCTGCTGCGAAGTTGTGGAGGTCATGGTCGTTTTAATATTTGCTGCAGCTGCAGCTCCAGAGCTTCGGTTGCGGTCCGGAGACAGCCCGCTGCTGGAACTGTTCTGCAGCATTGAAGAAGTCGACATGCAGCTGGCAGTGTTGACCAAGCGCTTCCTGTGACGGTTGGTTTGGCCGCCCGCTGCCGCTTTTGCGTTTTAGCTTTCAATTCGACTCGGTCTCAGGCGACGAATGTTGCGTCAAAAACAAAAAGCCCCTACTTCTGGCGAATATCGATTGTCCAGCAGGGTTGCATTTACAAGAACTTGATCATTAGCTCCGAAGATCACGATACCGCTGCGTCGCGATAGCCGCCATCCTCAAACTGTCGGACTCTGGAAGAAAAGCTACACAAGAGCACAACAAGCCCCCTCGTTCATCGACGACGTTGCTTCGGTGAACGCCTTCTTGCCGCTATGCCCCGGAAATAAGTAAATGGGCGCAACCGTTGGCGCCAAGTTTTGGTTTTTTGTTCCGAAACCACGAAACTACACAAAGTAGAGCCACTGCAGACAACTTCAGGATTGAAAAATAGAATCAGAGTTGCGTCATAATGACATAAATAATTCCACTTTGAAAAAATAGTACCCTTCGGATTTTTCGGTTTGAGAAGCAAAAAACGTGTTCTCTCAATCTCCAGATGAACCACAACGATGGCGAAGCCGCTTTGCTGCAAAACAGTTCAAATTCCGGAAGAAGTAAGTTTAAGCAGGCCACAGACACCTTGGAGCACCATTATCAATTTGCGTAAAAACCTACTACTCTCTCGTTACTCGACAGTAAAGACGTGCCGCTGGCGGCAACTGCACTTATCAAACCAAAGAAACTACGACCAGGAAAGCACCTGCGTTACTGGAAACACCTAGACAGAACAAAAGCGTTGTTGCAGCGACTTACTGCTGTGCAGCAACTGGTGCATATAGTAGCACCTGTATACACTTCTGGAGTTTTTTGTCGCCGTTGTATTATTCGCTTGATTTACAACATGGAATATCACAGGTTTAGCTCCCACGCTCATCGACTGCCTATTGAGTTGTGAGTTTTTATTACGTTTCAGTTGCTTTTTCGCGTTGAAAGATTTTTTTGAAAATAAACTTGAGTCCGGTCATTCAAAGTTCAAGTTGATTACCTAGGTCGCTACGGTACAGTACAAACAGGGTTTCAGGCTTTTGGTACAATTCGTTGGTGCTTCTCAAGCTGCTGAAGCGTGCGACTTATTTACAACATTCGCAAAATTCCGCCAAATCTTATCGTTGCTTGAAATCATCTGAGTTCAATTCTAGGTCGTTTTTCTGCTTCTCCACTACGGGCGCCACATGTTCTTCTCTCCCTGCGCATGAGCACCGTACGAGAATGAACCCCGGCAGCGGTAGGAGATGAGTCTGCTTTTAGTAGAGGTATGCTAAATTGGAAATTGGAATTAAGAATATTCATCAACACTAAGCAAATACAAGTTTAAGTTTTTGTATTGCAAACTTGATTTGGAAATTGTTTGAAACCTTTCATCTTGGATTGCTATCTGTGTCTGCGAAACTTCTTCGGGTCAATCCGTGCAATGCACGGTTGAAACTTGAATTTAGTTTTCGAAGCTTTTCCTTCAACAGGGTAAAGTCTGATAAGAACTACATCGCACAGCACGTGAAATCGTGCCGGCTTTTTGTAAAATTTGCTGAAACTCAGTATAATATTGGAATCGATCTTAATTTCTCTTCGCTTGGAATAATTCTTAAACTTGGCATTGTTTGTTCTATCTGCAAAATGGAAGTTATGGACGTTGATATTACTTCAGGGACAATCTAATCTTTTAGCAGCGCGAAACGGAAACGTGTACATTTTGAAATAGTCATTTTCGGCCACCGTCTGCAATAGTCGCAGGTTTTCGTTTTCTCCTCCTACTGGTACTGTCCCAGCTACATTTGTACAAGTCTTTGCATTTGAATCCATACATTTTTAATTTTTTTCTGCCTGCTCGAGCTCGAGCTACTTTTATCATTCTTCTTCTACAAGCAACCGCTACAGAAGTTGCGGCATCTTCATAGTCTACTCCGTGACGCCGCACACCGTTTGGAAGAAGGTGATGACCTCGGTGTGTCCCTTCTTCTTTGCGTGGTCGATCGCTTTCAAGCCCCGGTCGTCTTTCGCATTCACGTCCGCATTGAAGGCCGCGATGAGAAATTTTACGAGGTCCAAATCCCCGCTGCGACTGGCCCAGTGCAGCAGCGTGTACCCCCGATCCCACTTGGTGTTGGCCCACCCGCGGCGCTCGACTTTTTCGATGGCTTTCTTGTACTCTTCCGGGACCATATCCTTCACGTTCTCGACGGTGTAGGTGGTCTTCACGCCGTGGGGGTTCTCGATACCATGGTCCACATACTGCTCTCCGGCGTTGGGGTCGAAATCAAGCTCAGGCTGCTCGTTGCCGACCTGGGGGTGTTGTGGGTGTGCGTACGCGAATTATAGTTTGGAGCTTTTGACAACCTTCGACATGCAAACGCAGACTTTGACAACTTCCTCCGACATACAACCAAAACTGAATGAAAAACAATGTCGCCCAGCACTAAAACAAAAACTAGTTCAAATACCTCCCTCTTCACAACGAAGCTAATCGTGTCATGGTTATCTCGTGCGATTGTGTAGGCCTCCTTCAGTTCTTGCTCCGTGGTGCACTTGATTCCGCCGACGGATATGGACATTAACGATTCCATCTGGTACACGTACAAATTAAACTGGCTCGTCCGCATGAGAAATCTTTTTCGCAAGAACCCTGATCAGCATGACAATCATCATGGAAATAAAAAACATCTACGATGCGGCATTTTGTATGTGTACCACGGGGTTAAAATTGTTGTATTGCGTAACAGACACGATGATGTCTTCGGCAATGAAGTAATTCTTGCCCACGTACTTGCAATTAGCGGCGTTCAGTGCGAATCTGCGAATCCTCGTGGACCCAATCGCGAGTTCCAGGCCCAACGACTTTGGTCTACCGGGGAGAATATCCTGTGCAAAAGTATCGTACTTGAAATTAATATTTAGAAAAAATATATATTTTTTATCTTGGTCCTCGCATTGCAATCATGCATTACAACCTTTTTTTCTTACGGTAAATCCGCATTACAAATTTAATTTTTCATGCCGAGGAAATTTGTATGCATTTATACGAGTACGATACTTTTTTTGCAATGCATAGAGAAACTGCAGCTCGACTTTCAGTTCGCGGATGTTCCCCAAAACCCCGTTCAGCAGGTACCGGGCCTCCTCGGTGTCGTCGCAGCAGTGCCCCAGGATGTAGGTGGCATCCTCGCCGCCGGGCATGCAAGCGAGAGCGGACTTCAACGCGGCGGAACCGAGAATCATCATGTCTTTCCGCGACGAAAAAAATTGGGACACGTCGGGGAGCTGAAGTTGAATCGATGATGTAAGTAATTTAATTACATTACAGTCGAGTGTCTACTTCTTCATCCTACTTAGGTCGTGCCAGCGCAGCGGCAGGAGCGGCCTCGAAGGAATGATACCAAAAAATCGTCGCGGTCAACATACATATACTTACAAGTAGACGTTGGAGAAAGATATTTTTTCAAGATTAAAAAGTTAAAAAGTAGTGCGAGAAATAAATAAAAAAGCTGGACATACCACGGTAGAGAAAAAGAAAAAACATACCAAATATCCGTCGTCCAGTAGTTTCTGCATCAACTCCCCCGCCCCGCGCTTAATCCCGAGTTTGAGCACGCACCCTTTACTGGGCACGAGGTCCCGGAGCTCGATTCGGAGGGCCTGGCAAAGTTCCATCGAGCAGCCCACCGGGTGCCCGTCCACACTCACAATTTGGTCGCCCAGTTCGAAATCATGCACCAGATATGCACTGCAAATATGTCTGGGTCTGGAAGAGTGTAGTCTTGTCATGCATGTTTTCCATGACCCATGAGGTCGGAAATGCGGGACCTAGCATGACAGAGTCTGCGAGGTCTCTGTCATGCCCATCCTGCATCCGAAACTCCCTCCCAGCTTGGTCGAAGGTGGACAGCTTTTGGCACTCATGCAACACAGATTTACGCACGATTCGGGTTTAGCATGAGAATTTACGACGACCTTCCACACCCAGAAAATTTTGCATTTGATACCAGACGCTCGTTCGCGAAACCAATTATGTGACAACCGGAAAGACCTGGTGGAGATTGAATTCATATATTCATTTTTAGCTTGTGTAGTTGCGATAATTTTCATATATGGCATCTCGATAAAATCGCGCTAGTATTTCTTCCAATTTCATTTCACCGTTGATTTTCATGTTACGAACCCTTTGAAAATAGCTGTACCCATGACTAGCCCCAGGTCCCTGTCGTGTCGGTTGATTTGGAACATGCGCTCGATGATTGCCGATCGGTTTTTCCACAGCTCAGCGGACACACTGACACTGCGGTGCGCGTACGCTGACACGCTGAAGGCCTCGTCCCCCCGGTCTTCGTTGTCGTGGACCCCCTCGATGTGGGGACCGTGGTCGGGCACGATTTTGTTGTGGTGCTCGCCCCCGTCCATCTGTAGTGCGTTTTTTACCACGTTCGGCTCTTCCCGGGCGGCCTCTCGGACCATCTGGGTGAGCTTGTCGTACCGCTTTTCGAATACCATGTTGGCAAACCGGTCCATCAGCTCCTCGATGGCCTGCGGCACAGACTCGTCCGACGCTAGCATGTGTTGCACGAAGGGACGGAGGAGCCCATTCAGATCTGGGGTTAAGATGTTGGATACATATATTAGACGCGATCAATCATGAATTTGAAGTGGAAAGAACAAATCTTCGAATCGAAAAATTGATCGAAGTGCATTTGTAGCACGGCACTGCGCGATGAACTAAATACAACCGCTCCAATCATTCTTCTCTACCTGTATAAACATCGGGATCGCACTGCGGGGGTATGTTCATGGTAGCACTGCTCCCGCCGGCGCCCCCGGCCTGTCCTCCCGCGCCGCTGGCCACCGGTACGATGGCGGTTTCGGTTACCTGGATCTTCAAGCTCCGGCGCCAGACCATGTACTCCTTTATGGCGTCGGACTTCGTGTAGGCTACCGCCGGCTTGCCGTTGTCATCGACTTGGTCGATGTCCACTTCGTATGCAATGCAAAAGTATCGCACTCGTATAAATGCATTACAAATTTTAATTTCCTCAGCATTTCATTTCGTTTCATTTCATTGAGACGGACCCCCTGCGGTCGTCCTCGCGGTGCCGTCTTGGCCCTAGGCTGTTTCGGACAGATGTTGGCTGTGTCCGGCAAGAGGACGGCTCTGCGTGGGCAAATGTTGGCAATGTCCAGCAAGAACTCTTCCGTGGCCCCATTTTCTGCCGGTTTTTGGCTTTCGCCAGGATTACCCGCAACGCCACCCGTGGACAGTGAAACCCATGTCAGGCTTTCGCCGGGCGTTCCCGGGGGGGCCCTCCTCTTGGCACAATGTCGGTTAGATACCAAATTGCACCCCCCCCCAGCATGAGAAATAAAATTTGTAAGGCGGATTTGACTTAACAAGAAAATTTGCAATGCATGATTGCAATACGAGTACGATACTTTTGCACAGGATACTTCGTCTTTAAATTCGGCCTTCTCCACCAGGTGACGAACCACGTCGAGCCGGTTCTTCTTGCAGGCCCAGTGCAGCAACGAAAACCCGTCCGCCCATCGCATGCGCGCCCACCCGAGCTTGGTCACCTTCTCCAGCTTCTTCTGCAGGTCCGGCTCGAAGTGCAACGCGTCGGGCGCCGGGCCCAACGACTTGGCGTAGTCCGTCATAATCTCGAAGAGTGATTGTTGTAGGCGATGTACAATGGGGTTCTTTAATTTGTTCTTCTTGATGAACGATTTATTTTCTCAACTCTTCTATCTTGGATACAAAGACCTTCCAGATCTTCACGAGATAAACTCGTGATGTCTGGAAGATGGATCTTCCGCTAAGTACAAGTTTTTTGTTCATCGCAGGTTCAACAATTGAAAATAAATTGCGCGAAATCATTTTTCCGTGGATAGGACCACGTCGACCCTCCCATTAGACAAAATGAACGAAGGTGCTCACGACGATTCACAGTTTGAGGATCACGATGGCAGCGAATCTGCAAAACGCAGACGCACTTCATCCCCTCAGATTACGACATGATATCGACGACGGGGGACTACTAGTACTCGACTACACCACGAGGGAAATAGGAGCATGTGAATGATCACATCCGAAGTTCGCCGACGATTTTGTGTTTCTCTGATGTAGTTGTGTCTCTCATCAAATACGAGCGATTGCCTTTTCCGACTTGTCGTCCCACCCGCAAATACGTTGTGGCTTTTTCTTTTACTTTTTCCGTTTACAATATAAAAGCGGCTCTGCAGGGGACCACGAGAAGGCGAATTTTTACGGTGATCGTGATTGTTTGACGAGTGTCACAAGTCGCAAAGGCGGATGAACAAAGCAGCTTTGACTTTGTAACATTTGCAACAACAAACGCTCTTCGTGAGCTCGATTTTGTATTCTTCACGTTGCTTCGGCTTCGCAAGGAGAAACTACGACTGCAAAAAACTTAAAGAAAGTCCATCGCTTCCGTGCACGTCCACATTCTTGGAGTACATTGGATATTCGGTCTACAATTGAACTCATACGTTTAGTAGGGTTTTTTGTGCTGCCTTCATCATACGACAGAAAAACGAGATGGCAAACGAAACATCTACATCAGCTTTTTCAACAAGCGCAAACAAAACATATCAAAGAACAGACAGTAGAAACTCACTTTTCATTCACAAAAACACGTGAAACGAGGGCACGGTGAGTTCGTCGTGGCAGGGCCAGGCGAAGTCGCAGTGGCCGCTCGCGGCCCTTTTCATTTCCTTCGTCAGTGTGAGGAACGAAATCCGACTGGGACAGAGGCCAGTGTAGGTCGGGGGCGCGGAGCAGTACCCGTCGTCATCTTCGTCCCAGTTGACCGGGCAATTCACTGAGTAGTCCCGGATGCAGTCCGATGGTAGGTCGTTGTCGTGCACGGCGGTCTTTTTCGACACCAGCCGCATCAATTTTAGCAACGCGCCCTGTCCCGCGGAAAAGGCGGTTTTCAGCAAGGCCCCACCGGTTTTGAAGGACTGTAGCATCATGTCGTTGAATTCCTGTTGTTTCGACTTGTCCAGGTCCTGCATGTATCAACTGCAAAAGTGTCTGGGTCTGGAAAATTCTGAGACTTGTCATGCACGTTTTGCATCAGCAATGATGTCTGTGATGCATGCCCTAGCAATGCAGACTTTTTGAGGGCTTCTTGATGCCTATTCCACATGACAAATGCCTTCTCAGCGTAGCAAAAATTGCATTTCCGTTTGAGTTTGTACTCATGCAATACAGATTTTTTTGGAATCCAAATGCAGCATCACAAGTTGCATTCTTCCAGACCCAGACACTTTTGCACTTGGTAGCATGGCGACCTCGTCGATCTCCGTCAGCCGGTCACTGTCATCCTATCGCAGGAAAAACGTGTTACAGGTACGCATTGCGTTGCAACTGCCAGAGCTGCAAAACAGACAACCTTTGTCATGCAGGAAATGCTTGCGAGCTTCATTTCGTACGTGTTGGTGTTTTCCTTTTCCCTTAGGATCTTTGCATCACAAGTTTTGTCTGCCACGACACGGAGAAAATTTGTAATGCAGAAACTCCATACAAGTGTGTAACCGTAACACTTTTCTCTTGCGATACATCCCCGCCGCGGATGATCTTTCCCGGGAGTTTGTGCACGGGGTAGGCCACGTCGCACATCTTGCTGAAGAAGCTTTTCATCCTGGGTGTGAAAAACCACAGCGTTTTCTCCCCCAAGCAAGGTCCGTGGTACACCGGCCGACACTTGCCGCCTTCGTACTTGCAGCCCGTGCTGTCGTATGCATTGCAAAAGTGTCTGGGTCTGGAAGATTGCTGAGGTTTGTGATGCTGTGTCTGCTTGACACGGAAGGTGTGCCATGCAAGGCCTAGCATCACAGCTTTTGAAACGGCTCCCCACTGCTTAATCCGCATGACAAACACCTTCTGTCGGTGACGGAAAAAGGAGCTCCCTTGGCTGTCTAAGCATGACAGATTTTTGTGTGATCCAAGTATGCATGACAAGCTCGCATCCTTCCAGACCCAGACATTTTTGCATTTGATATGTCGCCGGCGTGGGCGTTGTACAGGTCGCAGTGCTGCCACTTCCACTGGTCGGAACACCGCTCGCATCCGGTGTGGTGGGGAAAAATCCTTTAGCCTGGCGAAGGGGGCGGGAGTGAATTAGAATTGGTCATGCTCATGCCCATGCTCAACATATGCAGCTTATGCATCTTCAATCTCTGAAGCACGACGAGCACATCATGTGCAAGCAACTAGAATACTTTACCATGCTACCACTCGCACTCCGGTCAGGGTGAACGGGTAGTGCACCGTGTCGAGGAAATGAAATCTACCTCGGCGTGGCTCACGCACAATGCGAAACAGAAAGTAAATCTTCATGTTTATCATATTACATCTTTTTTTGTTACAAGGCTGCAAAGCTGAAAATTCTATCTTCTTCTCCGCACGAGGCCCCAATACCGGATGAATAAGATGAGACCACGTGTTTCATGTATCATACTTTGACGACTTGCTGGTTGTGAAGACGCTCTCGGTCAATTTCCGGCACGATTTCATGTCCCGGGCGTAGCACACCCCGGTCTCGCTGTTCAGCTTCCAGCCGATGGGGCAGATGTTCCGTCCGGTAGCCGCGTAGTCCTCCGCCCATCCCCCTTGCGAGGTACAGGGCCAGGAAAAGTTGCACTTCCGCTCCATCCGCCGGCGCTTGGACACGTCCGCGTCCGTCACAGCCTCGTCGTCGGCCACGGTGGAATATGAAAAAGGAGCGGGGAACAGTTGTTGTGCAGCGGTGGTCAATTGTCATTCGGATTCAACTCGGAAACGGGGACAAATAACCGTTTTGGGATGTTCACAGACACACACAGAAAGTCGTCGTTCATAAAACATGGATCTCGTCATCCTCAAACGGAATAAAAAGCCTAGCTTCTACTTCTACAACATAAACGGCAGTAGTCTAAAACACCAACAGTAACAACTGTTTTGCCTTTCGCTTTCATATGCCCCTCCAGGTGTTACTTCCATTGACCGGAAAAGACGCCATCTGGAAAATTTGAATTGGAAGAAGATTTTTGTACAACTTCGAGGAAGATGAAATGCAATGTACTAGTACTTGAGTAGATGATGAAATGCGTGCTTCACTGACACCGCTCTAGATGCGCACTGAGTTGGTACCATTCAGGGGAAATAGGAACAACAAGAGCAGCTAGTACCTCATGATGTAAATCTAATTAAATGTACCGCTTTGCAACAAGAAATTTACATTTACCTGTTTTGCCTTCCCAGTCGTTTTGTCAATATCCCAGCCCGTGGTGATCTTGTAGGTGTCGATGCAGAGCTTGGAAAGCGATCGCTTGTATTTCTCGGCGTCCGACTATGCAGGAGAAAATATCTACGCCTACCTGACTTCCTCTGTTTGCCTTCAAAAAAATTCCTTATCCTTTTGGTTTTCCATAAACAGGTTTCCAAATCCAAACTGAAGAACAAGAAGTGGCACGACGAGTGCGCATACCCCTGCTTGCAGACAGCACAGTGCACTGTAGTACGCTGCCTTGATTACATCCGTGAAAAATGCAGCTGCAGCTCGCTGTTTCTGAAGGCGAAAGATGATCAGGTGGTTCGGATTTCTCATCTGAGCATACCGGACGCGGGTCTGTCGGTCCCGGCGGGTCGACGATCCGCGTTGCGTTACTCCCCGCACCCGTGCCCGTCCCGGTTAGCCGCGCCATCAGACTCTTGTACATCTCCTTCTCCTATCAACTGTAAAAGTGTCTGGGTCTGGAAGATTCTGACACTTGTCATGCACGTTTTGCATGAGCCATGATGTCTGTGATCCATACCCTAGCAATACAGATTTTTTGAGGGCCTCTTGATGCCAATTCCGCATGACAAATGGCTTCTCAGCGTAGCAAAAATTGGATTCCCTTTGGTACTCATGCAATGCAGATTTTTTCGAATCCAAACGCAGCATCACAAGTTGCATTCTTCCAGACCCAGACACTTCTGCGTTTGATATCTCCTGGGGCGTCTTCGCACTGCCGTACGCGTCCTGCATCTTCTGGTACATGGGGGTATGAAACTCGTCAACATCAGCAAAGTATAAGTAAATAATGGTTCTCGTTCTTGTTCTTCAACATCGCAAAATCTTTTCTTGAAAGGATATCACCTCAAACTCAATGCGAGGCTAGAAATCCTTGGTGCTGTCCTTCTACTAGACCACGCAAGCATGCGAGTCTGACAGTGACAACGCCGAACCGTAGTTGGTTCATAGAACCGTAGGCGACAAAAACTCTGCAAGGTATGAACTAAAAACGATCTTTGCCAGCAGCCGAATTTCCACCATACACGTCATCCGGTGACTCCTGCCAGTCCGGGCTGTCGGTCCCTGGCGCGCCGGTTGCCCCGGATGCAGCCCCACCTGTTCCCGGCGTGAAGAGTCGTTTGCAGACGTAGGTGGAGTGAATCGTGCCGGGAATCTTTCCCCAAGTCCACCCGGACGGACAGGCGGAGCGGTAGTCCTTGGCAGCGCAGACTTGGGCTGGGGTATGGAAGCAAAATTGTAAGTGCTTCTATAGCAGTCGAGTAAAGCAGAAACATCAGCACTTGGATTGCGATAAAGCACCGTGTCATCATCCTGAGCCGCGACACGACTACAGGAATACGGATTACTATATTCATATTGGCACAACGACAACATGGAAAGTTGCGTGGTTTTGCGTTGGTGCTATGGACACACGATTCCAAATTGTCATCAAGTACAAATTGTTATTGTAAGAAGAAGAACTGTACTTTATATATAATTGTTGTTGGATCTAAGACTCCTGCGACTCCCGGCAACTAGCGTTACAATCTGCATCAATGATACGGTGGCGGCGTCGGAGTTTCGGTGTCGACAAAGGAGGCGTTGACTTTATGCGATGCAGTAGTTGCAGATCTGTGAGCCAGCCTCGAGGAATGGCGATGTGCAAAGATCCAAAGTGGCTGCGAGAAGTCGGACCCGTTGTAGCTCGGTCGGCAAACATCATCTACAGGGCGAGTTCTGCCTGCCTCCCGTGCACCCCCTCTTCCTTGCGATAGATACGCGACTGCGGTGTGGGCGTGCATGGTCAAGCTCGAATGTACTCAAACTCCACTTCTACTTCGGTGCATCACGATACAACGGGGTGCACAGCACAAAAACACTGAAAGGACCGCAGCACGGTGATGAAGCGGAATTCCCAATCCCATGAGATCATCATCTGTGGCGTGATTCATTGCAATACCATTTATTTGCAGCAACTGTTGCACATGTCTTCCATACAATTAGCCAATCAAAAAACTACCAGGTGGTGCAGATTATAATTTTTGCAAAGTAGCTATTCTGCGTATGAGACGCCACACCCACAGAAACGAACCTCGAAAAATAGAAGCTATCTTATCAAATCGCTGGGCAGTAGTACGAACGGAGGATGCGTCCACTTCATTCCTGCGATGAGGTCCTACTTACCTCATCGGAAATAAGATTCACTCAATACGAATTTCGCCGACAACGAACACTGCGCAACAAACCCTCACCTAACTCTCGAGAGAATGCGACTTCGTTCACTTTCAATGCCGGTGTGTGGCTAGAAGTAGCTCATCTGCACCTCTGCATCCTGCGACATTCTGAAAGTACGCGATTCAGGTCGAGGTACCGCTAGTGCTAGAAGCCGAGACGAGGACAACAACGACGCACATGAGTCGAGCTGCTCGAGTGACACATATATAGTCATGAAGTCGACGACGATGAAGATGATGAGTTCGCAGGACCAGTCACTAACAATATCAATAAAACACTCATTGAAGCACTGACTTCTCCTGTGCCGCAATTGAAGCAAATTCATCTTCACTCCTTCTTTTGCAGGAGAGACCGATAAAACGGAACATCCACTGTGGTCTATCATGTGGCATCTTTTTCATTTTCTTCATGTTCGTTTCTTTCATAAATTGCGCAATCTTTATGCTCATCGCCGTTGCTTGAACAGGAAATCAAACCTCCGAGGGGAATAATGTTGAAGCTACACCACACGCCAAAATACAACTCCTCTGAGGCAATCATCTCCACAAAACAAATAATTTGATGTCGAATCTATATAAATAAACAATCATCTGGTGGGTGCTGAAGGTCTTGAAGATAAAGCTCGACCACGAGGGAGAGGAACATATTATAGCAAGCAATTAGAAAAATTTTAACCACATTGACATTCACAATCAGACACAAAAGACAAAAACAAAAATGGCGACAATGTAGATGAATGTAAAAACTGAAAATCATGATGTGATATTTAGTAACTCGTGTAACTCGATTAAAAAATCATCATAAATCACACTGAACCGTTTACAGTTACACAATCAATGGCAGTATATAAAAATACAGTATGTAAAATTGGTATGCACAATGTTGTCGAAACACAGAGGGCCCATGTATCTGCGAAGCTACTGAGTTGAATGCGATTTTTCAATGAAAATGAATGTAGATGTACAGGGTTTCAGAATAAAATCATGACTACCTCCTCCAGGACTGTTTCGCGAGTCAGTCTGGTTTGCTGTCCTGTGCGAGGTAGTTCTTCCGAAGAAAAAATTCAACGGTCGTTGTCTCGCGGCGGGGCGGCAGGTGATTTCACGATCGAGCTTGACTTAGCCATGTACAAAAGTAGGTACTACAATTTGTACGTACTAGTACCTACTTTTGTACTACAATTTGTAACAAGAGAAAAACAAAATTTGCTTGAAGTTGTGTCTTCATCGTTGCAACACAATTATGACAGAAATTCTTATGCTCTCAATCATTTCGGCACCGTTGTCATAATTCCGAAGGACAACTTCTCGAGGCCCGAATTTACAGTGTGGATTTCCCCCGGCCCTCGATGGAGGTAATCACAACGTAAAAAAAGCAGGCGTCTGCTCAGCTTACTCGTCGCTTTCACTTTCTCCGGCATACTCGAGTTGTTGCTCCTCCTGCTTCTTGTTCTTCTCGTACTCCGCCTTGATTGCAGCGGCTTCCCGTTCCAGATCGTTCAGTGCGACCGTTGCGGCGTTGGGGGTCACGAAACTAGCAAACCACGTGGACAATTCCACAATGTCGCCGTCGGTGATGGAACCAAGCTTGGGCTTCTCGGAGACACAACCGGATCCCGATTTGGCTTTGTCGATTTTCGGTGCGTCGTTTGCTTCTTTTCCATCGGGAGTGATGCACTTGGGCGAAACTGACAAGTGGTCAAGGCTGCGAGACAGAGTACACTTACCGCCCCCAGTAGTTCCGTGCACGGCTTGAAACTTGTAAAAACGGCAGTCGCGGTTCAGCATGCATTTGAGATGGCAAATCTCTGCCGAAATACCCGGGGCCTCTTCGATTTTTGCATCCTCCTCCGAATTTTCCTGCTGTTTTTGCGCGAGCGCCGCGCGCCTCACAGCTTCGAACTTCGCCAAGCCTCCTTCTCCGCCCGCATCCTTCAGTGCTTTGGCGGCTTCAACCCCGGCTTCGACATGTCGCGAAACACTCTTCACTGCATCCGTCGCCATTCGGCTTAGCTTCTTCGCCGTGTTGCTGTTTGCCATTTTTTTGAGCCACGCAAATGGCTTCTCGTGCATCGCCGTTGTCGTTTCGGTTTCGATGAAAGATGCGGAATCTTCCGCCTTCTCGCCATCGTCGTCGACTCCGTTCGCCTGATCCCCCGCTTCTCGGACGAGGAAGTGGAGCTCGATACCGAACATCACATTGGAGTCCTTGTCAGAGAGGACATCGCCATTGGCATTGCAGTTGTCGTTCACTTCCTTCAGGACAAGGTCACTGGGCCCTTGTCCGCGCGGACAAGCTTGATCAGCCGGGATGACATTGGGACTGATGCTTTCGAGTGCGGTTTTTAGTTTTTCCTTCTTCGTCGGTTCCTTCGGATCTGCTTTTTCCGATTCGATGGCAGCAGGGCCGGATGACGCATCAGGCTCCTGGCCACGCCGCTGCAGGAACCGTTTGCTCGTTCCGCGTCCGCCACCGCTCCCGGCTGCATCTGTAGAAAATAAAGATATTTCAAATTTCCTCTTTTTTTGGATATGTTCTTCCGGCTGCTTCGGAAACAAGACGGGCACAACATTGGCACTCTGGGCGAGACTGATGTCCTCGTGCACATCAGAAACAAATACTTATACTTAAATATACCCGCATCAGTTGCCGCTTGCGCTTTCGCGAACTTTTCGACAATGTGCTTCTTCGCCGCGCTGAATCCTTTCCCCACCGCGCTCGCCATCTTGGAAAAAAATCCCCCTTTATTTTTTGGAGGAGCTTCCACACCATCACCATCTTCCGTGTGCTTGACCGACAAGGATTCTCCCGGTCCTGCATCGCCATCGTTTCCACCTGTCGAAATTCGTTGTTTTTTTCCGCGTTGCATGTCGAGCGATTCAACCTCAGACTCATCGAACGCCTCCGCGTCACAACACTTTTGGTGGTGAACGTGGGCACAAGACTTGCGGCTTTGCGGCGCGACGACGGCGGAATAAGATCCATCATCAAGCGCTAGAAATCATTGCATCAATACCCTGATCCTTTTGAGTTTTTCGCTTTTTTGCCTTCATGATCCTTTTCATCTATGGATTAACAAGAAATGTGGGCGATGCAAAATGTATGCAAATGCGGGTCGTGGAGGTTCCGCAAAATGCATATGAAAATCAGACTGACTCTGACACTTCAGAGACAGAATTCTGAATTCACAATCACGGTGTATACATTTACATACAAACTCAAACTCATGCTGAGGCTTACTTTGCATGCAGAGGAAAAGTAGAACGTGAGTGTGTTGTGTAAACAGAACAAAGCTGCATGTGTTACTGTCTGTAATTGCTCATCCAGAGGATAATCGCGATGAAGGACGAAAAAATTAGCGTAGCAATGACACGACGAACAAAAGAAATGTTTGTCGTTTTAGGAGAAGACTCTCCAGAAGCTTTTCAGTCTTCATCTGGAGAATCTACAGGAGATGACCTTCAGAAGGTCGAAGCTTCTGAAGAATACGAGGAACCGGAAACATAAACGAGCTGCCGCATTAGAGGAAAACCTTCTGAAGGTTTTCAACCTTCTGAAGGTTGGCCAAAGTTGCGACACTTCACTGCCTTTTCTTTTCGGAAAAGTCGGAAAGTCTTCTGAAGGTCAAAAAAAAGCCCTGTTGTGATTTGCAAAGCAGTCACTTTTTACCTTCAGAAGGCTTTTTTGCTTTTTTTCCATTTTTTTTAATTCCGAAGGTCAAAAAAAAACCTACTTCCGAAGGTTAACAAAAAAACCTTCAGAAGGCTCGACCTTCAGAAGGTCAAAACGCTCCCGGGCGAAACGACCGATGCTAGGCTTGCCAAAAGAAAAAAACCTTTGCTCAATTTCTTCTGGAGGCTCCAGTGATGATTTTGGACCTTCAGAAGACCTTCAGAAGAAAAAGCTTCTGACGGCTCAGCAGCAATTTTGTCAAACCTTTTTCCTATAGTCAATAGATTACTACTAGTATGAATGAAATTCACGATCTTGCAGCACAATAGTCACGTCACGACTTGGACCAGCATTACGATTGCACCCTTATCCGAATGAAATTGATAAATCAAGGAAAACACACGACGGAAAAAGAGCGCTACCATCACGCGGGTCGTCAGAAGGGCGAAGGAAATCATCTTCATCACCTTCACCGTCATCATAATCCATGGCGAAGCTCTCAGGTTGTTGCAGTTGCTCCGCCCCTCCCGCGGGAGTCAACGCTGCGCCTGTGCATTTGTTTCGGGTGCTTTCACGCGCAATCGCAAAAGATTCGCCGATGCAATGCATCATATTTATGACAAATCGTAAATTTATAACTATATTCCTCAACATAAATCTTCAACATGATCATGTAATCATAGATTTATTTTTCTGAATCGAATTCCACTTTATTTGTCCAACACCCACGGAGCCACACGACGCAGAAGATCTGCATCTGCTCCTACTCATAGCCTCTACAACCCTTTTCCCCGCTTTCGGTATATACATTTGTTGCTATGGTTCATCAATCATGCAAGTATACATACTTAGCGCATCTGACTCCTCAGTCTCCATCTTGAAAACCGGCACTCAACAGTACGAGAGTCTCAGTTAGTCATACTCATACATGCTGCGGCGGACCATACCGAACTTTTTATTCCCCTAGTAGTTTCATACATCAACAAATATGAACTATCAGAAGATGCGAGATGAAAACGAAGAGCACGACGAAAAAACAATATGATTACCTTCGCCCTGGCCCACCGGTCGGGCGTCGTCATGTGGCAGATGGCCGTCATTGATGGTGAGTTGGTCGTGTTTCGCCGGCGGTGTTCCAAGGGCCGGAGGTCCGGGGGGAGTGCCCGACAAGTGCGTGTCATCATACCAATCTTGCAAGTGGTCATCAACAAATTGTGCTGTTTTAGTTTTTCTTTCTGTCCTCGCGATTGTTCTCAAAGCCGAATCACACTCATTCATCTTTCATTGTCAGCGCAAAAAAAAGAACTTCTGGTATTGCGGTGGTGCTGGTAGACGAGGAGGAGTGCGAGTAATATGACGTGTCGTTCTCCTACTCTTTCTGTCTTCGCGAACTTTCTCAAACTCTATTAACCACAGTCATTCATTGTCAGCGCAAAAAAAAAGAAATTCTGGCTTTGCGACACAACTAAATCAAATCCCTGCAAACACAAATAGGGCCCCAGTCAAGCCGTGGCGCCGAACGGGGACGGTCTCTTATCAAGACAATACTCAAACAACCACGTCTAAAAATTGAAAAAAAATGCGGTCAAAAACTAAGCAGACTTGTTCGCCGGCAGATCGCGATGTTCCAAACGCAATAAAACACAACAAAGAAGTTAGATCTGTGTAGCCCCCAACTGCAAGAGCGAATTACTCATGTGGGTTGAAACTGAAGACGAAAGCGGATGATTCTCTCCTTTGAAAGCAAATGAATCTAATACCTTGTTCGTGGAGGCCGTCATCAAACCAGCCATTCTGCTGATCAGGTAGTAAACCATCGATGGCAGTGCCCGGAGCAGCATGAACATGATGATCACCGGCATGCGCAAGAGTGGTACCATCGAAGGAGTCGCCAGCGGCAGTTGCACTCGCCGCAGCTCGTGCTTGTGTAGCAGCATGCTGCACAATCCCGGCAGATTGTGCAGCATGCACTGCGGAGTCCGCAGCAAGCTGCGCATAGTCTTGTGCGTTCTTGTTGGGTGCATCGCTTGCTGCTTTTGCGGCAAGCTCCTTTGCCTCCGCTTCTCGTTTTTCAGCTCCAAATATCTGCCCAACCGGACTATTCCGAATGGCAGTGTTCAAGCTTCCTCCCCTTGCAAGGGGACTGTTCCGGTCCCAAGCGTCCTTCAAAGCCCCAAAAAACGGCTTCTGCGTCGTTTTCCGCTCCTGCTCGTCGAGGAAGGCGCCTCCTGTGCCAATTTCTCGGCCGGCAACTCGGCCATCTTGTTCAGACTGAATTTCTATGCATTGCAAAAATGTCTGGATCTGGAAGATTGCAACTTGTCATGCTAAATCCGAATCATGAAAAAGCTGTGTTGCATGAGTGCCAAAAGCTGTCCCCTTTTGACCAAGTTGAGAGGCACTTTCTCACGCAGGAAAGGCATGATAGAGACCCCAGAGAGTCTGTCATGCTGGGTCTCGCATTCCAGACCTCATGGATCATGGAAAACCTGCATCACAAATCTTGCACTCTTCCAGACCCAGACATTTTTGCAGTTGATAATTTCAGAACCTTCATCGACGGCAACCGCCAGAAACCCCTTCGGCTTTTTCTTGGCTGTTTATGAAAAAGAAGCAATGTGACACTCTTCCAACTTGTCTCGTAAATTCAAATGCATCAAATTCTCATCGATACAATAATACGGTTTTCTATATCGCGCTTTCTTTGTTGCAAACGAAGCAAGAGAAGTTCTCAGTGTACGCTTATCGAGAGAAGTTCTCACCACAGATCAAATAAGAGTGGAGGCAGCTTTTATCATTATGGATTATCATGAGCAATTGCAATCATCATCATGTGGTTGTGGCTCATTCGACGTACCAAGGGATGCAAAAAGTGTCTTCGCTTCATAGTGCCAGTACACCGTTTTCGCCGGCAACCGCAGCCGCGACAAAGAGCGTACGCCGCAGCGCACCTCCGGTGCTGATTCCGGTCGCCATGGTCATCGACTTGTTCTTGTTGATGACAGGCCTTCAACACGTGCCGTCGTTTTTTGTTGAAGTTCGTTGTTCAGAGTAGTACTGAAGTCAACGACGTACTAGCCGTTGACTTCGTGGTGTACAGACCGCTCACGATGTCCGATCGTTGTGTTAGCTCTCGGAGTGGGAGTCCTCGTCCAGTCGATCTTCGTTTCGTCTCCTGGTCGTAGTCCTGATGATGAGAAATGCGCGCTTTCTTGAAAGACCACGTTGTTTTCGGTTGTCCTCGTTCTTCTGGTGTTAGCCTGACCGCAACTACCCCTTCCTGCAGTCAAAAACCCAATGTGATTTGTCAAGTTGTGTCTTGGTGGAGTTCTTGTACAACAAATTTTCGGTGTAAAGTAGTAATAACAAATTTTCCGTGTTGAGTAGACGAGTTCTTGCAACTGATAAAAGTAGAAATTCGTAAATTTTAGATTTTTGTGAGAATGCGTTTTCGTTCGTTTTTGTAGCAGGTAAGTGTGTGCGTCGTCGAAAAGGAATTGGAAAATTCAGTTTGATTTACGTGTCGAGTCCGGTTCTCCTCGTCCTCGTGGAAAGAGGAAGAAAAGCGAGGGCCTCGCAAATCTTCCGCTAGAAATAACTCAAACACAAAGTAAACCACTGTGCGGGGAAATCAGAGGGATTGCAAAATGGATTCGAAGTAGGAGCACCATGCCGAGATGACAACGTAGCCGTCGATGCAGCTATGTCACAGAGAAGGAAGTCAAGTACGAGTGGCACTTCTTAACATCAGGAACGAAGAAGGTAGAACCGATGTTTTTTCCAGTTGCGCTCCGTCAAACCGAACGGTTGGTTTTTCAACGAGTAAGCCGACGAGAGCGAATTCGATGGGCAATACGAATACCCATGTAGAAGTCCATGCATCTTTATCTTTTGATATCTAAAAACCGAGTCAAGCACGCTTGACCGGTACAAATTTGAACGCTGAACCGATTAAACTCCGTGCAGAGGACGAGAAACCGACAATCGAAATGCTATCGTTTTATTTTCGGTAGCTGGAGTTATGATACGACTCAAATTCAGACCGACGCATACGTTTACGTTATCACTCGTACATGATGTGCATCAATGGACTGAAACAATTCAACCAATTCACCATGGGGTGCAATTGATAATGGCTTCAGGAGGACATAGTACAAGTACCCTCTTCAAGAGGAACAGCAGCAAGCTCAATATACCAAAAACAACGACCGTGCCGCGCCGTCGCTTTCTACAATGCTCAACCGTTCAACGCTATTAATACTTTTTTTTGAAAAAACGTGTGACCTGACGAGCTCGAAGCAGTTGACTTGGCGATTCATCGAGGAAGGTTGATGCAGTACTTGCGTAGTCTAGTACTCTCTCTTATTCGCACGAGTAGAACTACTCGCGCGTCTGTAAGTATCTGTCTGTGGCCCTTCCAGAGGGTATCACTGCTTATTTTCGAACGTATCTGTAACTGTAACACAACATTTCTTCGTTCAGTTGATCATTGATGGCATTGGCATTCGCATGTCTGTGGCGCATCGTGATTGTTGACATTGACAGCACACTTTAGCTTTGCAATATTGCCCGCGTGTGCTGAGCGGAGAACGAGCAGTAATTCAAGCTCAAGAAGGTGAGGAGTGGGAATACATGCAGTTCGCGTGGCGCAATTCAATTCACGTTCACTAATTGTGGATATTTTTTTTTTGCTTCTAATTTTACGTGAGAAAAAGCTGAGTTCTCTGCTGCAGCTCATCTCTTCTGAAAACGAAAAACAGAGTCAGCAAGAACTTCACATCACCCCCGCAGACCAATTTTTCCTGTCGCGGGTCGGTACTCCAGGGTTTCGCACTGTTCGGCTATGCAGTGGTAAAACCGTTTTTTTAAACTCGCAACAAGCTTTGTGCAGTGAAGGTGCCTGAGTTTGCGTTTTCTCCGATGAAAATTCTGTGAATACAAGTTGTTCAAGTTCAACATGGTACTAGTGATGTTGAAATCAGACATTTGTTCGCGCAGTGCTATCGGTGGAACGGTGCCTGCTCTTCTTGTTGAAAAGAATCATGTTCGTCATGCTGCACGACATATCACATGACACAGCCTGCTTCGTTGCGTTTAAGACCGGTTTTTCCTATTTCCTATCCGCCGTTTTTCCACGATCGGCATCGGTGCCGAAAGGTGCCGCGTGACCCCCGGAGGTGGTAAAGGGATTCACCCTGCGCTTACTCGGCTTGACCGCGGCGTCGTCGCCCGGCGTCTCGCCCGGATCGTCGTGCCAGGTGATTATGTCGGCTGTGAAATGATTTTCATTTTCTGATTGACGTTTGAAATCTTTTTTTCTGCTAGACTGAAGTGAAATACGTCGTGAATTATGGTTGACGATATTCATCTTATCCGCATGATTTTCGCACTGAAAGCAGAATCAAATAAGTAGTGGGCTAATAGAAGCACAGATCGCAGCAGAAGTCTCGCTACCTAATCTCTCATGCTGGTGGCCCATAGCCGCAAGCTTGACGGGCATGCCCTGGTCGCCGCGCCATGCGATGATGTCTCCGGCGTTTCGATTTGCGATGGCGTCCGGGACAAAAGTCTTCGCGACTGACAATGAGTTGCAAGGGATTTGAAGTAGCTGTAGCTCGTAGCAGCTGCTGCAGTTTCATAGAAGTAGGGTTCGCATGATCATATTACGATCTACCTATCATTACACGCAAATCTAGTTGTACCTCTGAACGCGGCGCCAGGGCTGAGAACCCCGGTCTGCTCCCCGTCCGCGTCGACTGCGTCCGCACCGCCGCTCTCGAGAAACGCGCGATCCACTGCCCGCGCCCCGCCGGAAGAGGTCGCCGTCGGCGCACCGCCGCCGCGCGTTGTGAATTCCGTCGCGTAGGGGGTTGGCAGGGCGTTCTTGCCACTTGGCACGCTGGGGCCGGAGGAGGGTGCGGCCGCGCTGGTGCCCGTGTAGGTTGGTAGAAGGAGCTGTTGGTTCTGGCGCTGGGTGACGGCGAGAAAGTCCGATACCTTCGCGGAGTTGTCCGCCTCTTGCTGCCGGATGAGGTATGGAGCAGAGAAGTTGTGTTAGTTTGGTAAGCGATTTCATCTACTTCCCGTATTGCATTTTGGCAACGAAGACATTCGCAAGATTTGATGAAGGAATGTTTATATAAATTCACATTCCTGGCGCAATTCACCCAACGAGCGAAAGCGCGCGGAAACGATGATAATCGAAGGCAGTGCTGACGCGCGCTGCAGTCCTCGTCGCGGGACGCCCTGCGACGGTCACACTGGCGAGCAAGAAGAGAACCCGGCCGGCACAGCGAGCTACAAGTAGCAAGCCGCGCGAGCCAAGCTCTCAAACCCCACAGAGCCACGCCCCGGACGTGAAGGTGGGCCAAGCCGTGGAACACGACATGGCCCACCGAACATCTTCCCCAAATGTGACTCAACGGGGCGGCCTGGCTCTGTCGGTGCAGAGATCCAGGCGCGCGGGGCTGTGTTGTAGCTAGGTAGCGAGCACGTGGGAAACGCGCCGGGGTAGGGCACCGCCGTGGAGCCCGGAACCCGGGCGACGCAGCGGGGTCTTGCTCCCAATCGTGACTAAGTTCCGGGAAGTTCCCGCGGGTATGTGATCTAGCGGACGCAGCACATCGCGCTGCGACCTGTCTGAGACGCCAGGATTGGCGCTCCAAATGTAAAAAGGCAAATCAAGCGTCCCCAGGTACGCTGGATGAATCGAACGACTCTGGCTCGTGGAGCAGCAGAGAAATCCGAAACAGGAGAAGGACCTGCTAAAACTGCACCACAGCTCCTCGCCCCCACACCAACCACTGAACCCCTCGACTGCGCTAATCACCTGCAGGCAATCAACGCCGGCGGACCGACGTCGAGGGGCGAAGGACGGAGCAACGACGCCGATAGGCTAACGCGCTCAGCTCTCCTTCCAAGTCAGCACCCCTGATACCAAAGCACAAGCGACTCAGAGACATCCACATCGTGGACAAAACCAAGCGCCGGCGCAATGGCTACGACAAGGTATTTGCAAACCCCGAAGAGATGCAGCAACAATGTCGTGGACGCCCAACCCCGACCCAGCACCCGCAGGCGACATCATCGACGTCGCATGTGGTGCACACCAACGAATACTTGCAGCCTAGCCATGCGACTCAACAACATAACCGCCGCGCCTTCGGGGCTGTGCCTGTGGAGTTGCGCGTCCAGGTGCTGGGAGGTGTGGTGGGGAGAACGAAGCCTTCATCTCACCGGCACAGCCATCGGCTGTGCCGGCGTCTGTGCAACAGCAAGTCGCTTAGTAATAGTCAGCCCATCGGGCGCCCCCCTGCCATCGGCGAGGGGGGTATGCGGGCGCGGGGTGCCCCTTGTTCGTGGGTGTTTGTCAGCGTTAGCGTGATGCTGTGCGTGTACAGTGTGTTACTCTGGCCCCGGCCAGTGACAACGTCACTGACCTCGCGGGCATCGCCCTAAATGGATACCAGTAGCCTTGGCCTTCGGTGGGGCTCTTCAGTAGGGGATTCCTGTCAAAGTGAAGCGCGGCGCCCCTGCTCGCGCGGCTTCATCAATGACAGGCGAGCGGCCCGCGTCCGTTTGGACGTCTGGTGGTGGTGCTACATTGCGCCTTACGATGCTAAGCGCAAAAGCACGAACCGCCCGCGACACACAGAGCGGCAGGCCACAGCTGTAATCAGCTGTGCTGTTGACCGTTGCGTGTTGCCGAATAAAGCGGCGCCAGCCATAGGCTAAGCTGCCGCCGGACGTATGCCTTTTTCGGCGTGAAGAGGCGCAGGCACTGCATCGCAGCGGCTGCACCTCTCCACTCCCCGAGCAGTGGGACTCGCGAGAACCGCGAGCCGTCATCGACTTCTTCAAACCACCACCCGAAGATAGCCTGAAAAACAGCTGAAGCACGCGAACTCTTTGCACTGTAAGAGCCGCGCATCGGCCATCTTCCCACCAAGACATCCTCCCCGGTCAGAAGGATATCCCAGCGCCCGGCTGAGCCGGGCTACATGCACGCGGCAGTGTGCACGCCGTCTACTATGTCCTGCTCATGGCTTGAGCAGTTCAATGGCGACGGAACCGCCGGAGCTCTTTCCTTGTCGTACATCGCAATGATCCACGCTAAGGATCGGCGATGCCGGAAACGACAAGGCGGAACTGCGAAGCAGAACCAGAGCGAAGGCCTGAAGCGTACAAGTACGCCTCGCTTTCTCATCGAGACACTCCTCCGTAAACTATCCACTCTCCGAGAACCGAAGAGCTGAAAAAACGCCGAGTCCAGGCAAGCCCGGACGAAGCGGAGATTCTAGATAGAGGACAGAGAACCAGCGGAAGCTGGTCGACATCGGGCAGCCAGCCCGACGTCGGAGTGTGCAACCCTCTTGCTTGATCATGTAAATTGATATAACTGCTACGCACGACATA